CTTGGGCTAAACGACCGTATGGATACACACTGTGTAGCGTCCCCATAAAAGATAAAGGGTAAAGCTCTCAGCGTTGATCAATCCCTGGGGATGTGTCATGCATTCGACTTCATTAAATGTCGCTGAAGGTGATGAATGCATATCTGGCCTTTACAATGATTCGCGCTGGCCTACCGATGTAACAGGCCAGTGCTGCCATCCTCCCAGTCAGGTCTGGTACCAATTCGCCGACTCTGGAGGAATGGAGGGCCTGGTGGGCCGTGGGCGCGAGGGTCGATTCCACGAGTGTATCGCAGTGGGACCTACAACCATTGCGCCAAACGCTCCCTTTGGTACCAGTGTCCCTATATATCCATTAAATAGCTAGTTGAAAGGAGATCGAAATGAGAGAGTGTGGAGCCGGAAAAACCATTCTCTGCGCTTAATGATTTGCAAAAAACCTTCTTTGAAAAAGTTCACTTGCCAGTAATATGACCATCATTTAGTTGTTATTTCATTTTAATCACTGGTAGTTTTATAGAATGTGGTGGTATAAAAAATGCTGAAATGTGGAATGGACTCGAGATGGTAGCAAGGTACTTCCAAGTGCTGACAGCAATGTATTTGCGTAATGGACCATAGTAAGACACAGTAAATAGTAGCATGCAATCACAGTGATGCTGAGATATTCGCAAAATATAAAGAGAACAGACGACAGTTGGACGAAAAGAACACTAGAGTGGATTCCAAGAGAATGCAAACGTTCCTTAGGACGACCACCTACACGTTGGGCGGACGTGTTCGTAAACAAAGTTAATCAGCTGTACCCGTAGCTGTAGTTGTTTTACAGATCACGGTATGACACTCGCGAGCACTACCGTGCTCGAACAAGACCACCACCATGGAGTACGGTTGCGATAGAAAGGTACGAATGGCATATGTGCTGGGGTCCGCACAGCTCGTGAAGACGGACCGTCGATATATCCAAGTAAGTAAGTCTGCAAAACTTCGGGTCGCAGGTGTCTGCGGTGGAGATCGAACTCGTTATTACCCTTTCCAAGGGATAACGCGTTCACCACTGCACCATGCGGGTCCTTCATTTTATTTACTTAATACTTACTCGATACTTGAATCCTCAGTGGTTGTGCGGGCCCCAGCATAATCTCCATTTTTTGGAGGTTTGCTGGTTAAACCATTGTGGTTCCCTGGAATCCCTAGGTCAGCCTGGCCAAAGTCTGCCCCAGGTCTTCACCACCACAGGCAGTCGCGACCCTTGTGGACCAGAGGGAAATTCGTTACCATGTAAATTTGGTACCAGAACGGTGGTGGATACTGATATTGGTTTACTCTTAGCTAGGCTTCCTGATGGAAACACCGGAATCCTCAGCTTGGGAGACCCTGCCATGCAGTCCGACACCCAGGAACACCTCCTAGCCACGGTGAAGCGGTAAATAGTTGGGAGGCATTTTATTTATAGTATACATATCATTCACACCCATAGAATGATAGAGCGAAGTCTGTTTAACGTCATCTCCAGGACCTTTAAAGTACTTCATTTATTTAAAAACCATTTTTTACTGTCAAAAATTCAGAAAATCCGCGGCCGACAAAAAAGTACTCTTGTGCGATTGGGCTAGTCACGCAAGACGGCGTGGGGCATTGTGGGTTAAATGTGAGATGATACTGTATGAAAATTATATACGATTGTAACTGCCACGACCGACTTTCTATTAACCTCGGCATTGATCAAGTAATTTTCTTCGCATTTTTGTTGAGCAAACGCGAGGTGTTTCGGCGGATTTCGCCTTCCTCAGAGCCGCTTTCTATGAGGTTTCCACTGATTGTAATATGATATATATATATATGATTGTAATGTCATTACTTTTTATCTACTGCCTATTCTTTTTAATGGCAGGGTATTATACTATTATATTATAGGGTATTATAGGGTATTATACTACTATAATATAATCATAATGATGATGCTGAGATATCTATAAAACTCCAGACCACTGGTGTCCGCGGTGGGGACTGAGCGCGCTATTACTCTTTCCGGGGGCTAACGCGTTCAGTACCTATAGTTCAATTGAAAGCTGGGAGAAAGGCGAAACGAATGACTCGCATGGTGTGGTGGTGAACGCGTTAGCCTCCGGAAAGGGTAGTGGCGTGTTCCATAACCACCGCAGACACCAGCGGTCTGGTGTTTCACAAATATTTTAGCAATGTTTTAGTTATATTGTATATGACTACTTAGACAAGATCTCTTTTATAAATCTATAGAGTTTCGAATTCTTGAAGTGCGCTAGTGACCGGTCAATTATCGCTTATTGTCGAACAACCGACTTCTCTGTGAATCTGTTAAAGTGGTTTTGTTAAGAAAGAAGTGCACACGATGAAGCTGAGGAGAAGAAAAAGAAAATTGTTTCCATTAACTTATAAAACTGCGTGATTATGCGGCTTACATTCTTCTACTTGTGTCAGGGTATATTAATCTGCTAAACCTTGTTTCACTTCCATGTATTGTCCTCATTTTAGTTGTCTCGCTTTGCTTGTATTCCTTTTCCGGAGTTCTGTCCTCGTTTCAGATGACATCTAAAAGTAAAGATTTGTACAAAACATTTAAGAGGTCCATCTCGAATTCTGTGAACGAGGTAAGTCACATATTTGGATTTTAAAATCTTTATGGTTAAATGTTCTTAACTTTACCCATATCATCGTATAGGAACGGTCTAATAAGGTGTCTCTGGCCCTTAGGACTGGCTTGTAGTTTTTAGATAGGGAATCTTCTACAACAGCAGCAATTCCAACTGCAGCAACAATTACCTGGATACTTGGATAATGGATAGCCCGTCTTCATTGGTTCTGCGGGCCTCAGCATAATTTCCACTTTTTCGGAGTTTTTGGTGGTTTAGGCATTCTGGTTTCCCGGAGTCTCGAGATTATCCTAGCAAAACCCCTACTAGAGGCATGAATATCCTCGCTGTATATCACAACTCAACGCTCAGGAACACTTACCAGCCACGATGGAGCGGTGAACCGTTGGGAGGGTCAGAAACAGTTCGTACTATTAATCCATCTAACGATTCATACAACAATCTATTACTTTTATCGCATAAAGTTTCGTTATTCACTCTATAACTCGGGTAAGCACCACTAGACTCCACTCGAGGTAAGCACCACTAAACTCCACTCGACTCCGTTGCACTCCAGAACTTATCAGTTGCTTACTTATTGCTCATGTACAGGTTAACATGAGAATAGAAAGATGCGCATTGACATCAACAACAATCGTTGGCTTGGTGGGAAAATTGTTGGCTGACTTCAGCTACTTGTGTTGAAAGATCGGTCTACAACTGATGCTAAGGGAACGGTTTTTATAGAAAGGGGGCTAATTCTTGATGCCTTATTCACATTAAGTAGAAAAGCTGTCACAGAGTGTTTAAGTAATATGTGCCTCACTTGATAATTGAATATGTTGAAGACTGTTTTTGAATAGAGAAAAAGGAGTTCGCACCGGCACAGAGAGCACAATGGTCGGGCACAAAATTTCTTGCTAAACTACTAGGATGGAAGTACAGTTAACGTAATTGGAAGCGCTGTTGAAATAGTGATGCTTGAAATATTTTGTCATGCAAAAGCGAGGAATTGAATCCAGAGTTTCGACCTACGTCAGAAACCGAGTATCAAGAAAACCGGGAAAAGAGTAAAGTTGTCAGAAATCGAGTGTGCCGGACATATAATTTGTCGTAGCAGCAGCCGCTGTGCAGGACTCGAATGTTCAAGTCATATGTGCCTCACTTGAACGTCATGTGCCAAGAAATGTCAAGCGCTATGTGTGGGAAACATCGGCGCATTTATCAAGCGAGAAAAATATTGTGTCTTCTGTATCCTTTGAGCGAGGACAACCTATTAGAGAAGTTGGGCACATGAAAAGGATGAATGATTTATACGAGCTCTGTTAGATCCTCTGATGACTAGTGAAATATTGGCTGTTGCATTTGTAACATTACAATCTATGATGAGTTTCTCGTATTCATAATCGATGAATTGCTAAAGTAGTTGTTTTACGAAAGTACTCACCATGTAAACTCACATTTGATTTATACTGCGGAGCAACATTCTTGAGCAGGAGTGGTGCACATGCAGTCTACTCCACGAAAGCTGACGAGTATATGTAATGAAGATCTGGGAATGTTGAACATGTAAGAATTCCAGGAAGAATCGAATCGAGCGGCATTAAACGACATTCACGAAGAAAAGCAAAAATTCACAATCGGTAACCGAATTCGTACGGAAATCTGAAGACCTTTGTGGAGGATAGCTGCGAGAAAGCGAATCGAATGCAGGAAGCACGCAGTCCTCACAATGTTTGATGTTGAGCTGTGTAAAATTAAATGCTTACTTATCCACTTGGATTCATAGCTTGCCTGCTTTCACTGGTTGCGCGGGCCCCAGCATAATTTCCATTTTCCGAAGATTTGCTGGTTCAGCTATTGTGGTTCCGTGAGTCCCGAGGTCAGTTTAGCGGAAGCCATTCTCAGGTCGTCACCACCCCAGGCGTCGTAGCCTTTGTGGAACAGAGAGAGGTTTGCGACCATGCGATTTGTTTGATACCAGAACCGTGGTGATTCCTGGTGTTCATTTGTTCTTGGCAGGACTTCTGGATGACAATGCCTGACCCCCACTGAGCTAGGGAGGCCCTGTTCGCTGAGTGAATCTTCCGCTGTACATCGTAACCCGACACCTGGGAACACCTCTTAGCGTCGATAAACCGGTAAACCGTTGAGAAGGAAAGTAAAAGAAAAATATTATATTGCAGTCTTTTATTCTACTTGGGAGGTGGTAGGTTAATCAGAACGATGCGTAATGTTACTTTTTATGGACGGGTTTTGACTACAATTTCATTCACCTAAAATTTTTAATGCTTGCTTAATGCTTAGGAATTGAACCACCGCTGCGTTAGAAATTTTAGGTCCTTAGCTCTTCGTCACAAAGTACATCGAATTCCTCAGGTGCGAAATATGGTGGCGGGTCAGGAAAGACGTGGATTCACCCTCCTGGTGTGTGGAAAAGTCGTAAGAGCAATGGTTTCGTTCAAATCGTTGACTATACTTTTAGCATTATACATCAGCATGGAATTATCTAATTAGTGGCTTCTCTTTAGTTAGAGTTTAAAGCTTTCAAAACTTGTTCTTTTTCTCTTAGTAGCATTTTTTGTAGTTGGAATTACGTTACGCCATAGGCTCAGGTATTGATTTTAGTAATTAAATGTTTTTCATAAAGAAAGAACATATTTGATTGATAATATTGCCGTTCCATTGATTCAGATGTTCTTCTTAATGGTCGAGTTGAATATAACGTGAAGCTGTTTGGATCACAAGAAGTAAAGGAAGCTAAAGGGACGGATATTATTCGCGATGCAATACAAGCAATACAGTTCCAGAATGGGGTAAGGTTTACGGATTAGTTTAAGTTTGGATATAAGTTTCCTATGACGATCGTATTCAGACGGTACCTCAATACCTTTCATGGTTTTTTCAAGGTGAAACGTTTTGAATCCACGCAACCTGGTGCTAAACTGCAAAAAGTTGATCTTCAAATCAACGTGGATGGAGTGACAATTGTCGACTCGAAAACGAAGGTAGCGTTACATCGTTGTCCGCTTCAGAAGATATCCTTCTGTGCAGACGATAAGCAGGCAAGCATTCTGATCAGTTTTTTTCTTATTACAGAATGCAATTTCTTTCAATATCAGGACAAGCGGATTTTTTCGTTTATTACAAGATCGCAGTCTGATCCGGAGAAACATCAGTGCTTCGTGTTTCTAAGTGACAAGATGGCTGAGCAAATCACACTGACAGTTGGAGAAGCGTTTGATTTGGCCTACAAAGTGAGGAAAACTATGTCGTATATTGCTTCGAGGAACTATTATATTACATTATATTATTGTTATTATGTGACTAATCTTGTTACTATTACCTTATTATTATAATTGTTATAGGGCGCGTGTGGCGCAGTGGTTGGAGGCCCCACTGCGACACACACGTGGAATCGATTCCTGCGCCCATGGCCCACCAAGCCTTCCATCTCTCCGGGGTCGGCAAATTGGTACCAGATTTGTCTGGGAGGATAGCAGCACTAACTCGATACATCGGCAGATCACCGCGAGTCATTATAAAAGGCCAGATATGCATTCAGTCACCTCCAACGATACTTAATGAAGTCGAATGCATGACGCATCCCTCAGGGATTGATCAACGCTGGGACCTTTATCCTTTCTCATTGTTATATTATATATATATATATATATGTAATATCATTGAAATGCATGAAATCATGGAGAGGATGCTTCGAGTTTTGTTTTAAAATCTACTGCTGAGGTTTTTCAGCGGTATATGGACAAGAACAAGACCTCCCTGGAAAATCAGAAGCAGGTAACAAGATGTTTTATAAAATTGGTATCAATGTTTATAGTTTTCAAGACGACCGTCATTTAACCTCGGTAGTAAAGCAATCAATTTGTTGAAACTGTTGAGCTTACATAAGGTTAATAAAATTGTTTTGTTCGGTTAACATTTCGACGTCTTCATTTTCGACGCCTGCGACGAAAGCAGCACTTCGAGACGAACAACTGTGGACCATTGACTCAGAACATTGGCTCTGATGAAGAAAAAGACGTCGAAACGTTAGCTGAATAAAACAATTTTATCAACCTTCTGTAGGCTTAGCAGTTTAGACAAGTTAGTGTTTATATGTGAACATTGAAAAAATTGAGATCCGCTTGCATGAGAAAGTTAGTCAAATTTGGGAATACATCATGACCTTCAACGAATCTATTGTATCGTTGAGTAAGCGCATATTAGGTTTTCTCCCTAAATTTCATAGTTAATTCTTCAAAAAAAAAAAAATCAGTAAATGCTCATACGCGGTTGTCATGAAGTCCTCCTCCTGCTCAAAATCCGTGTAGAAGCTTCCCTCTGCTGAATTTCCGTTGACGCTTTATCGCGTCCGAAGATCGGCTTTTTCTTAACCTCGGCATTAATAATTCGCTGTTTTTCTTGATGAGAAAATGCGAGGTTGTTATTATAGTATTTGCTAATACTAACTGTACTGACTTTCGTGACTGTTTCGGCGGTTTCGAATCTAAAGAACTACGAAATAAATTGTGGAGTACAATGTATCCCCATACTAGCTCTTGGAGACAATTGAGACTGCACAGAAATACTGCCTTACTGCATCGCATCATCACTTCAGCTTCTAATGGGAGATTCCTGAGTGTTGAATTGCGATGTGTAACAGAGTTGTCGTTGCACTGTTGAATCAAATTTTCATGATCTCCATGAAAAGAAAACTCTACAGACCAATAGAAAATTTTGCGCAATCACTTTTCCCGGGTAAAGTAACCGACGCGGTGTTGATAGTTTCGTCCTATTTGCTTGTTGGTTTTGCTGTAGAAGTCCTAATGAAGGTGTCGATCCGCTTTCCTGCATGCCAAAGATCAATCACCTGAAGAGAAATTTCTTAATTGATCACTTTATTTGGTCGTTGAATATGCTGATCAAGTTCTTCACGTAGGCTATATCATCGCCTATATAGAGAATGGTTTTGGACCGAGCTCAGCTGATTGAGCAAGCAAAATTTCCACAGGGCAAGTACTGTGTAGGTTACAGAGACTACCAACCATAACCAAAGTTAGAAAATACACGGTGAACGACGCTGGACAGCTAACGCTTGCATATAAGCTGTTGCTGAGCAAGTAAACGCTTGACGACACCGAAACAAACGCCATTCTATCGAAGTTGGGAAACCAGTGTCTGTATATTCCACAAGCAACTGCTATCGTACTGCACTAAGGTGATATAATTCTTCAGTCATCCTCTTACCTCCTGATAGGGAGGCAAATGTGAAAAAGCATCATTTGGAAAACGCTGTTCGTGGCTAAAATGGATGGTGAACTCTCTTGATAAAATGTTAAGCCGGCAGATTGTTGCAATGATATTATCATTGTTTATGAAATTCCTCCTAACGCTTTACCGCCTCATCGTGGCTGGGAGCTGTTCTCGGGTGTCGGACTGTGATGTACAGCGGGGATTCATCCCTGGTAGGGTTTCCCAAACTGAGAGGGAGTCCGGCATTTTCATCAGGAAGCCTAGCTAAGAGTAAACCAATGCAGGGATTCACTACCGTCCTGGTACCAAAGTCGCATGGTGGTAAATCTTCCTCTGATCCGCAAGGGCTGCGACTGCCTGTGGTGGTGAAGACCTGGGGCAAACTTTGACCAGGCTGATCTCGGGACTCCAGGTAACCATAATGGCTTAACCGGCAAGTCTCCGAGAAATGGAGGTTACGCTGGGGTCCGCACAACCAGTGAGGACGGGCCATTCAAGTATGAAGTATCACGTAAGTTATGAGTTCCAGTGAAGCGGAGGTAATGCTCAAGCAGCCTAACAAAGTGGGCACATGGGCGTTTTATTTGCAAATTTTGTCTTTTTTCAATTTTTTCTCTTCAAATACTTTCGAGTAGCCCTTAAGGTATTCGTGCTTCGGAAAAGAATCGCCGAATTGGAAGCCGAGAATCAGGTACTTAGTGAACGGTTAGCAGAAGCTGTTAGAGCTAATAAGGCTCCGCAGGTATTTGTAAGAGTCGTTTGAATTATACTAGTCAGTAACCATTATCAACTTTTGTCTGTAGGTATCTCTACTTGATACTCCCGCACTACCGTCTACACCAATGCCTTCTGGACCACCTCCTGGGATTGCACACAATGTTGGTAATTATGTTACACAATGAAATATCAAAGTAACCATTTATCTTTACCTTGGGCCGGAGTGCGTACTGAATTTTACTCGCTCGCCAGCTCATGATTCGAAGATTTTTCTTTAAGGACCTTCCGGGGATGTCTGACTGTTGGGTTGAGCATATTCCAGCAGTTCTCTTAGAATCCCGTAGGAGCCGGTCGCTAGCAGTTGGTCATCTGTTATTGCTAAATCTGATCATTTCATCCAATATTTTGTCAGTCCTGATCACGTGGATTCGAGTAAATGATTATTGACCACAGACACTGGACAGATGTGGCGATCGTTGCCGTATGTCGTTTTCGTTTTAGTTTTTATGTGGCAACACCGTCTTCCTGGTTTAACATCTTGGATTCTCAAAATTTGAGAAAAATCCGAGAAAGTATGACATATTCTTCCTCCCTAACCTAATACATAGGAGGTGGGTAGACGTGGCTGTAGAAGGAAATTAACAATCTGAATGAAGTGGTTGTTACACCTCAATGAACAAGAGCGATAACCTTGGTGTGATAATTGAAGACATCCAGAATACGTTGCAGGTGCTCTCTCAGAGTATCCTTAACAAGTGCTGTTTATATCTCTTTAGGATTTCTTATCACTTCTCTGTAGAGATTGGGTGTAGGTTTTTGGTTAACGTATCAGGTTGGGAGTTTGTGGAGACTGGCATGTTTCCACGACTTTCCAACTCTTCAACTTTTAACACTGTCGTGAAAATGTTAGGTCAGCCTGTCGTTTTCTCCGTCATTGTTATTTGTAAGTGTACCTTCCTAAAAACGCTCGAAAACATGGAGAAATCTTAGTGTTTTGGGACTTCGTTTTTGTGTTTTGCGGCTTTTCTTTTTAGCGAAAAAACAATATTTTACCAGAGCGATTGTACGAACTTTGGTGCAGCAATGACATCGCTGAGGCGAAAACTTCGTTTTACTAATGTTTTCCTATTTCGTTATGGTACTTTCCATTACAAAACCGAGAGAAGGGCTTCGAGGATTGTGAATTTATTGTTTGTTGTTTGTGGGTCTGCCCACTGAAATAGAATCACACAGTTCGCTTCACCCTGTTCCTTCCATTCCAATCCATCCTAAAGTTCTGCAAAGTTCTATTGGACTACAGGGCGTATAATCTCTGTTGAACACATTCAAGTACCTATTCAATGTGTGAGTCATGTCTTCGTAAAAGGTGGGTGTTTGTGGATAGGCGACGAAGATTTCTGTTAACAAGGATACTAGCCGCCTGCTCTACTATCCCATCTCCCCAGAACCGTTCTTCCTTAGTATCATAAATGGCATTTGATGGGTGTTTATCTCTTTGTCTGTGGTAGTGCAATGATTTCTGCATATTAGTTCTATCCAAAGCGGCAATATCGGAGACACTCCGGGTTCAGCAGAATAAATTTAATCTTTTCTTTTGGGCAGTCAGTGTCCATAGTGAACTTGTCGAGCGCTGATGTGGGGCTTGTTAAGCTCACGAGTAGCTTGGCGGTCTTTCACGGAGTATGCGAAGGGCTTTATTATTGGAACCGACTCAAACGATTATCGTACACTATATTGGTGGGAAATTAATTGTTTCGGTTTCGGACCATGAATTCTGGATTATTATAACTACACTCAAGCACATGTTTATTAAAACTATTGGAAACTATTCAAATTTGTCGGAAAGGCACAGGCTTTTAGATGTTGTCCTTAGAAATTATGTTCAATACCTCTTTTACGTAAGAAAAACCGCACATTTCTCCATCTGTTTATGGCTTAAGATGAAAACAGTATCCTCTCTTTAGACTATCTTTGGCGTTCAGCGCAGTGTTTGGACTGAGATGAAGCTGCTAAGTTTTTTGTGAAGGTGAATTTACATCAAATGACCATGTTGGTTTTGTAGTAGTCGAAATCGTCCACTGTAACTCGTTGGAAGCTGGACAAACGATTAAAAAAGATAAATTTTGTCAGCAAGTAGATGAACCGAAAGTTAGTGAGACATTTGCGACCGATATACGTCAACGAATTCTATTGCGTCAAACATTAAGTCAAACTTCTGAACACAAACGTTGCTGAACAAGTTGGGCTACAGAACTGTTTCCACCACCATAGTTAAAAGATATCTGTCCAAATGGCTGACAATCTTTCAAGCAACTCGATAACGTCCGAAGAAAAACTTTTAAAGTACTAAGCTACTATCAAGAATTCCTTCGGAAAATTTGTCTTCCAGAATTCCAGAATTCCATTGTACCGTATTGAACCGTTTTCTTTGTTAACAGAAATGGGTGGTGTTTCATAGATGTTCTGATTTGTAATTAGTTCCTTGAGCTTAGTTATAGTGACTTACATTGAAAAGGAAGAAGAGGAACTGTAGTTGCATTTGCACCAAGCTCATAGTTCCCAGTTACTCCACTGCACGTTTAGGCTAAATTGACATACAGTATACACTCCGCTTATGACGGTCCACACATGATTAAATATCTATATATACGTACAATAGATATATGTCAGTTCAGCAAGGGAAAAAAAGTGAATCAGCTCTTATTTGTTTGTCTCTTTAGAAGAGTTCCACATTACTTTTGGTCAGCGTTTCTTGAGGCCTTTGACTGCCATTTGGGCAAGAGCTTTTTGGCCTCGTGTTTAATCCGTTGATGATCTCTCCATCAGGAGGATCCGTGGGTTACTATGTTATTTCCAAGTTTTCCATTTGAGGTAGCTTTTCGGTCATTGACCGTGAGATACTGTTTAGTTTCTTTTATTAATTTAATTTATTGCTTATTCTTTTTTTATGGCAAGGAGGTATGATGTGAAATGCAACCATGAAGATGCTGAGATACGGGCAAAGCACATAGTCTTAGACTGGCATGGAAACTGCGATTACCATACTCGGGGCTCATGTGCTATCCACTACAGCAATCGAGACTCTTGCTTTGCTTTTCTCTTAGCCAATTTTTTCGCAAACGATACGGGATACACCCGTCAACGAGCATGATCTGGTGTGCAAAATTCGGCATTCCATTTAGTGAATGATTGCTGTTAGCACCCTTAGAGTAGAAAAACTGGCTGGAAGAAAGGCAAAGCAAGGACGTCGATTGGTGTGGTGGATAATACGTGAGGTTTTCTGGACCTTTTTTCAGCATCCTATGAAATACTGTTTTCGTTCCATTGCAGTCCAATCATTGTCAGTTGCGTTTGAAATTTGAGTTCTTTTTAGGCGCAATTTAATAACTTATTTTTGGAGTGTAATAAATATTTGGAAGCTGTTGATATTTAGGCACTTTACTCTACTCCTCAGAATCTTCAACCACTCCCAAAAGATCTATTTTCCGCATACATCAATGAGCCTTCGGAATTTGCTCCTTGTGTCAATGCAGTTTCACAAATTAATGGTATGTATCACATGAATACTTCTTTTTCTACGTTATTTCTATTATATTTATCTTCTTTGATACCTGTACCACTTGCACCTTCTGTGATCCTGATAGACTTCAAATGGTCATAATTATGGCCAAGGTCTCAAATGGTCATGAAGCCTACCGTTTGGATATTATTACGAGAGCTTTTGCTAGCTTTTTGATCGAAAACTCCATCGTCCTTGCTCTTTTGTACGACAAATAATATAGTGTGGGTTATCACTTCACAAATGAATGTAAATGAGAAAATGTTGGGAGGGACCATATTTTGAACGAGGATCATAGTGTTTCTAAACCGGACATAACTATACAGACATGTATGAGAAGCCGACTTTCATTAAACGTAGGAAACAGTAATCAGTAGTTCTGTGTTTAACTGAACTGACATGAGGTTTCTATAAAAAATTTTATTCAGCTAGCGTTTCAGCGCTTTCGTCCTTCCTCAGAGCTATGTCGATCCGACTCGATGTTCTTAGCTGGTCGTTGTCGTCATGTAGGTGGTCGTTCTCACGTCGAGTCGAACTCACTGGAGAGAGCACCGTTCACATATGGACCTTAACTCAGCTGTTCCCTTTTATACACTACCAGTGTTGCTCGATTACCGCCTCCAACACCATTTACTTTGGGCGTGTAATGCTTCCTGTAGCAGTCGGTACTTCATTTGCTAGAGCGTCGCGTGACAAAACGGCGCCGCTGAATGACGTTCTCCTTGAGCAGTGCCCTCTCCACTGGATTTAACTCGATGCGACAACGAAAATTCACATCGGGACAACGACCAGTTGTGAATCATTGTATCGGATCAAGGCGGCTTTGGAGAAGGCGAAGATGCTGAAATGTTACTCGAGTAAAAGTTTTTATTAGTAAGCTCGTGTTAGCTCAATCGTATAGAGAATTATACAGACATAGACAGAACTAGCTGAGAGACAGGCGAAACGAAGTATCCGTATGGTGTGGTGGTGAATGCGTTAGCTCTCGGGAAGGATAATAGTGGTTCATTCCCCACCAAAGTCACCTATGGTCCGGAGTTTTGCAAATATCTCAGCATCGTTGTGGTTATCACCTGTAAAACTTGTAGACCCATTGATCGTCGAGTGACTCGATCGGGCGCCAGTAAATCTTCCATTTTCCCTGTCGCATGTAAGAGTAGCCCAGTGGGTCCTCCTTGCCCTAGGAACTCGTCGAGCATTACATCTTTCTTCTAGGCTCTTCGTGAAGAACTCTGAGCATCGGATCGGGGTCTTCCTGCAGTATGTTTGACATCACGAGGAATCCAGTCACTAACGGCTTTTCTCCATCGGTTGTCGTTAATACACATTACGTGTCCGGACCACTGTATCATCGACTGCCTGGCGTGCAGAACAGCATATTTGATTTTCGATCGTTGACACAGGTTGTAGCTTAAGACCGCATCCCTGGCTTGTGTGAAAAGGGATACTCCTAGCATCGTCGTTTCGACTGCGCATTCGATAACGCTGAGTGATCTTTCATCCTGCTTACGCAGCGACTAGGTTTCTGACACACGTTAGGGTAGGAAGCACCGTGGAGTCGAAAAGGTGGGCACGGAGTCGTGTGTTCTTTGTTCTCTTCATTACATCCTCGATGCTCTTGAAAGCTCTCCAAGTCGCTGTTTTCCTTCTGCTCAGCTCTGGAGCTGAGTCGTTCATCATATTGATTTCACGACCTAAATAAATATAACTGGAGCATTCAGAGAAATTCGTTCTGTTGAGCGTGAATGGGGCATGCAAAACCAATCCGTTCTTCATGAACGTCGTTTTTGTGAGATTTAGTCGAAGGCTAATCTTTCCACAGATTTTATCAAAGTCGTTAAGCATGCGTTCCGATTGGCTAATGTTTGGTGTTATAAGGACGATGTCATCAGCAAAGCGGAGATGGTGTAACTGCCGACCATCGAATTCACTCCCATATTATCCCTTTCCAATGTTCGCATGACGTTCTGGAAGGTGGCGGTAAATAATTTTGGCGAGATGGTATCGCCTTGCTTAACTCCTGTTTTGACGTCAATGTTAATATCGTTGTAGAATGGTGATATCTTGGTTGTGAAATTTTTCTACAGCTCATGAAGAATTTTTATGTACTGAGTCTCTTCCTTGACTATCAAGGGCTTCCAAGACTGCTTCTATCTCAACTGAATCAAAGACCTTCTATAAATCAATGAAAGAGAGACAGGGCGTTCTTTTGTACACTCGCGATACTTCAATGAGCCTTGTAATTGTGTGGATGTGGTCCATCGTACTAAATCCTTTTCGAAACCTTTCTTGTACACATACCTGTCCTTCGTCCAGTGTTCTGTCAATCCTGTTTAGGATGGCTCCAGTGAAAAGTTTGTAGGCGACAGACCGCAAGCAGATTGGGCGATAGTTGCCGATATCGTGTAGGTCACCCTTTTTGAACAATAACACGATCTTGCTGGTCTTCCACTGAGTAGGGACGTTGCATTCAGACAGGTAACGTTTGAAGAGCAGAGCCGGTGTGTTTACGAGTGCTGGCGGAAGGTTCTTCAGGTGTTCTGTTCTTATCCTGTTCGGACCTGGTGGTGTTAGATTTTTCACCGACGGAGTGGCATGTCGGATTTCGGAAGGGAGAACCGGTAATACAACATATCCATCCTCCTTTATTTCATATGACGGAAGGTGGACGCGGCTATTGAAGAGATCCGAGTAGTATTCGTGAACGATTTTCTCCATTGTCTCTCTGGACGCTGTAACTGTTCCATATGGGCGTCGGAGTGCAATCATTTTGGTCTTGTAATTGGCGAAGCTTCGGTGGTCTTTGCGAATGCCTTCCCCAGCCTCTTCAGCTTCGGCCATTACTGCTGCTCTTATCTCTCTAAGATCTTTTTTTATCGCCCGTTTCCATTGTTTTGCAAGGTCGGACGTTAGTTCGCGGTTGCCTGCAGCTCGTTCGATTCCACGCTGGCGTATCAGCTCGAGTGTTTCTGGAGACAGACCTCTCTTGGTGACTTTCGAACTCTGAGCTTTTATAGCGCTAACGTGAAGATGTTAAGTGAGCCGATCGTATTCTTCGTCGAAGTTATCGACAACGGCATCCTCCCAACAGCCGACTAATGAATTGAATAAGTCCCAGTTTGCGGTGATTCTGGTACTTCGGTTTTTGAATTTAGCGGCTTTTTCTCTTTCACGCGAGAAATAGAATCTTGCGCGAAGGAGACGATGGTCTGATCTTGTGTAGAATTTTGGGACAACAGCGACATCTGTTAGGAAAAACCCTCTATTTACTATAATGTGGTCTATTTTGTTATGGTAATCTCCATTGTGAAACTCCCATGTCCAACGTTGAGGGTGGGGCTTTTGTAATTGCGAGTTACCATGGATTGTCTTGTTCGCCATGGTAAACTCAGACAGCCGCTCACCCTGTTCGTTCCATTCTAATCCGTGAGTCCCAATGTGACGTTTTTCAGACGTTCTTCTTGGTCCAATCTTGGCGTTGAAATCTCCAGTGATGACCTTGAAGAATGTGTGGTCTTCTCTGCAGAGCTTCTCCAAGTCCATATAGAACGCTCCGACTTCTTCTTCGTCATAGTTTGATGTCGGCGCGTAAATGACGAAGTGTAAGCTGTTTGAATGATTCGATGTTCATGGACAAACTCGTGTAGACGAGAACGCCAACTCCGCTGGCTCCTCTACTGTTGCATGTTTCGAGGAACAGTTCTTTTCCGGTGTCGTAGACGGCGTTGAAAGGTTGGGGTCGTCTCGTCTCGGCCAGGCCGATGACGTCGTACTTTATCCTTCTTGCTTGCATGAGCAAGTCTTCTATCGAGGAGTCGGATGCAAGTGTACGTGCATTGTAAGTACAAATCGTCACCATAGTTTTTTGAAATCTAGGCAGCTTTCATTGGCCCTGAGATTTTAGCAGCCTCTCAGTACTCGTCCTATCCAACGCTGCGAAATTGGAGTCTCTTTCGGGGTCAGGGGGATGAGGCCCGTTTTTTTTTTTACTGTGTTTAGCATTTTAATACCCACGTATAGCTTGCTGGGCTCTGGACGTGGGGGCTGGGTATAATCACGGGTAGCTTGCCAGGCTCTCCCAGAGTGGAAATGGAGCTTATTTGTTGGAGGCGACTCGTAACCGCCTCCCATGTACCTCTCAGTCACTTGATTGGAAGCTTTTGGCCGAATTGACTCGTGTAATGCAATCCGAATAATTAAGAACGCACCCACACACGCATGCAGGAATACACATAACAAGTACAAAATGTATGTGCCAAATCAGCGCAACAGAAACGGGGAGTCTATCCCCTGGATCCACCTGCGTCTCAAGGAAGCAAACGTCGCTTTTGTTCCGCGATTAACCCCATATCTACCACCTGGGGACGCGCCACGTAGCCTCGTGACTGTCAATGATCTAGAGCCTCATTGAGACCCCGTACACAATGCTCAAGGTGTAGGAATAGTCAAGGTTTTCATTACCAGTTAGGTATCTATATTAAGAGGGATCACGAAATTCCCATCGAAAGCATGTCCAAGGGTACACTTATGACAAGTGTCTTTGCTGTCTTTATAAAATCCATTTGGACGAGCGTCTACTTATTGTAGTTACAACGTAATAACCATCTGGCGTGTCTTTCTTAGGACTCCAAAGAAATCATGAAATCAGTGCTTGACCCACACAGATCGGCCTTCCAAATGTCAAGTGGTGAAAACCTGAAGACTACTAGCATGTTTTTAACGGGAACTTGACTTTCTTTAAATCATTTGTTTAAAGAGAACTTTATTAAACAAAGTTATAATCATTACATTCAACAATCCTCTGGACGCTCCTCTGGTTCCGGCATTGCATAGTTTGTTTCCTCAAAGAACAAAAACAGTACCGTACTTCTTACACTATTTTCAATTTCCTTGGCAAAGTAGGCAATTGTGGCTCACGAGGCGCTGTTGCGGCTTATGTTTACTTTTAACTCAATGTTTAGAGGAATGTTTTACATCATAGTTTGGCAAGCAACAGCACTCTCTTGCCACTTTGAAGGAGTAAAACATATATAGTGTCAAGAATGAGTAAAGTGCTGTCTTTCATGGCCAGTTCAACAGCAAACACCGCCTCCGGCTTCTGTGCCCAGTCTGGCTCCTCCTCCGCCTATAGCACCGCGTCGAAATGCTCCCACACGTGCAAACACTATACCTGCTGTAGAAGTGAGTGTATTTGACATAGTCGTCATTTGTTGTGATATACAGTGTCAGGTTGTCCCTTTCATTTCCTTTTTTAACTTATGCTTTGGAATTTGTTTGACCAGTTGTCTTTCAGGTAGGTCCGCGACTGCAGAACCTACAACTGGATAATATGGAAGATGTGTTCGACGATACCTTTGATCCTCGTGCAGAGAAAGAATCGAAAACGACTAAAGAATACGGTATTCACATCCATTCAGTTGTCGCTTTTATGCTGCGCTGAGGGCAATTTATTCTTTATATACTTTTACGTTTTTTTCCTTTACAAAGCTTTGTAAATTTCTTATCAATGAAAAAGGGTAGGCTTTATCCTTCATCTTATCCTTTATCCGCGGAGGTCGCAGGCTGCCTGTATTGAAAATCTGGGATGGGACCTAGCACGGAATTCCTTGGAATACCACATGGCATCCAGTATTTCAGTGAGACACGAGAACGATTGGTGCTAAAGTTCCAGAAGAACCCACAAACATATTGGTGTTGATTTGCGTAAACGTTGACATTATTCATTCATTATCTGACAGCTATTCGAAGTTCCACTTTTACCCTGAATCCCAATATGAACCCAGAAGAAACTTACGAGCATGTGGGTTCGTTATGGACTGAGATGACAGAGACTTCCCACTTCCAGCCAGAATGCACCACGTAGTCTCGTCAATGTTATAGCACTTAGCCATCCTTGCTACCAAATCTATTAACACATTTTTGTGCGGGAGTAATAGCAGTGGTGGTTCTCCGACACTGGGGAATGAAGTCCGCGTCCGACAAGTGATATTGCATCTATTCAGGTCCGTTACTTTTGTGTAACCGAGTAAGTTCAGACGCTTCTCATTCGTCATAGCTACAAACTCGGTTTCGAATTACGCGAATTTCGAGAGTGTATAATCAAAGACAAAGCGGGAACACAAGCTAGACGTTGTGGACTTGAGGTGCTGTCTTCGCTTGTTGTTGCCGAACATATACTTGCAATGAGAGACAGTTTGAAACAACAAAAAATAAATCTCCAAAAGTCTACATCAGCATCACGATGCTCTGACTAACCTGCGCGAGTTCGGTGGTGCGAGTAATGAAATTGTTTTTTCCGTTTTACATGATCCAACATTATACATTCCACGAATCCCAGCTCTTCTTGCATTCGCTTCGTTCTCTCGCATCTATCGTTCATGAAGAACTCCAAACATTTCGCATGTTGTTTCGGTCGCTGCTTGAGGATTTTTGATCTTCTGATTGTTGTTGAATGTTGGCCGAGTCGATCGTCTCTAGAATCCTGAGCTAGATGTGCAAAGTCGTTCCCAGGTCTTCGCCATAACCAGTAGCCAACCCTTCTTCCTTTAGGGATCGTCATTGACAAGTCTGATACCAATTTCCCAACCAAAGAGAAATGGGAGGACTGCCAGTCACGGGCGAGGTCCTACCGCGGTTTTGTGAAGATTGGATGGTACCATTGCTACTGAACTGTCCGTCTTCTGTTAGTTCAAATTAGTCGGCTTATTGTTTTTTGTTTCCGTTACAAGAACCCTTAGAATAGAATATCCAGGCGATTTTATACGAGGTGTTAAAAAGCCAATGATCCTCGATAGGATATCGCGGAAAATTCGGCTGGAGACACACCATCGTTGTCTTCGCAACACAAACAGCCGTTCTCTTATGTTTAAAGACCATACTGGTGGTCTTCTTTTTCCAAGGGGAACTTTTAAGAATGGCACCTTGTTATATTTTGAGGTTGATTTCCATTTTTACTGAATTTTATTGATAAGGACTAGAGTTTTTCCCCTTTAAGTAACTCTTTCCAGATCACCACAGGTTTGTGGAGGAGTGATTTCGTGACAATTTTCCTCTTTCGGGATAGTTTTAGTATTAAAAAGACTTGATCTTTTTCTTAGAAGTCTTCATCTTTGAAAATTCACTCATCTGACTACAAGACATTTTTCGCATGGGGCTATCTGGAAAAGTTCCAATAAATCTTACATTTCCTCAGACCTCGCATCAGTTGTCTTCCGCTATATAGACGTTTTTAACCTTGAAGCTCGTCTTTGTGTAATCAGAATTTCAGAAATCTGAGTGGGAACTGACGTCTTCATTACTGTTTGCTCTCTTAATAATTTCTCCGATCCGTTTGGTGTTCATCGTGCTATGACGAGGAGTTCTCGGTTATATTAACATTGCTTTTGTGTTTTCATAGTTTGACATGATAGTCTTCCTAATGGCTATCAATAAAGTTTCGAGCGTTGTTTTAACGGTTGCGATACCCTCCGTTTTGCCTAAAATAAACAATAGCTTGAGGATACGAACATATCTTCATAGCTCCGAAAACGGTACCAATCGAGTGCATAAAACAGTGTATTAAAAAGTGTAAGTGTTAAGGAAAAGATGTAATAATTGCAATAAATACAAACTGAGACGTGTTATCAGTTACCGCGTTGTATCCCCAATACAGTTATATGAAGCATAGATTACGAATATTTGATACAGTTAACTAACCCAGTGCTTCTGAGTGTGGTTTCTTGAACTGCAATAAGTTAGTAGTCACAGGGCTTTTAGATCCTTTCGGTGACGATTTCCTGGACGATATCTTGAGGACTGGTGACTCAGCAAGCCGTGCAACAATAGCTCGTGCAGAAGCTAAGCAACCAACCGCAGAGGACTTCCAAGTAATGATTGACAAGGTCGATAAGAGGTTAGTCTGCATCAGACTTGATATTTATACAGAAACTATATTCAAAACTATAGTTTCATATTGTTTACCAATGTCAGGAATAGTGTTATTGTATTGTTTCCCAACGGTTTACCGCCTCATCGTCGCTGGGAGGCGTTACTGGGCGTCGGACTGGGATGTACAGCCGGAGAATTCCTCCCCCTGGCAGGGTCTCCCAAGCTGAGGAGTCCGGCGTTTCGATAAGGAAACTTAGCTAAGAGTAAACGAATACCAGGATTCACCACCGTCTTGGTATAAAAGTCGCATGGTGTCGAATCTCCCTCTGAACCACAAGGGCTGCGAGTGCCTGTGGTGGTGAGGATCTCGGGATTCCAGGGAAGCACAATGGCTTAACCAGCAAATTTCCAAAAAATGGTGATTATTCCCAAGACCGACTTTCTGTTAACCTCGGCATTAATTGATAATTCAATGTTTTTCATCAATAAGCAGACACGAGGTTGTTAATATAGAATTTATTAGAACACAATTGCTGACGTTTCGGCGGTTTCGCCTTCTTCAGAGCCTGGAAAGGTCAAATTGAGATGTGATCTACTCAGCCAAACACTTTCACAACCCTAGCAGATAAAACTTGACAATTCGATTTGCATTCGCATAAGAAACAGCTTCATTCAAACACCTACCGTTTATTTGTTGTAAGTATTTAAGTTAGTTGGTGGATAGCAGCCGCACAGAGTAATACATGGACGAGGACTGTGCCTTGGTCAGGTCATTGGATCGGCCTGAGGTATGGCGCCAGGTCACGCGTGATGACATGACACTCCTCCTTGCGGTTCATTTTTGAATTTTTGGCATTGATCCAAAACGCTTCAAGAGTTTTACGCGCTGATGCTTTCGATTCCTGCGTGAGGATGGTGACTCCTACTTCAAAATCTTCTCCGTTGTGTCCCTGCATCCTAGGCGCGCCTAGTCGAGTGTTTTGTTTTATTTAGATTTACCGACTAGGTGTTCTGTAATGCGGACACAAAGCGTTCAACCCGTTTCGCCAACGTATTCGTCCCCGCACGCTTTACACGAGATCAGAGAAACTGTACCCGAACTCATGCAATCACCGTCTCTACCATTTGGGCAAATTATGCAGTTCTTTGTTGTACATAGACGGTCGTATAGGCGGTTGCGAACTAGCTGGCGTTAAAGTGTCCGGTGGTATTTCTACCACTCTTACGGAATTCCCTAGAGCGGCCCTTATTAAGCAACGTTTTATGGCTGCACTTACTTCGTTTCAAATAAAGAGCAAAAGGAACGGAGCCTTGTTTTCGCTAGAATTTTCGCTCTGGGGCTTGGGATTTCCTCGATGCCTATGCCGAGAAGCAGCAGTTTCGTAACCATTTGAAATGGCTATTTGCCGCGCCAGTTTCGAGGATTCTTCCCTCTGCTCTCTACCTGTGCACACGCTGGCGACGGTTCGAAACATATTTCTTATAAGCGCCCTTTTAGTGTGTGAGCGCTGAGAGCAGAGGTAATGAACCACTATATTCTTACTGCTTGGCTTTCGATACCATTTTGTGATGTAGCCGTTTTCGGATAGTTTGATTTGAACGTTTAGAAATGGAAGCCAGTTTTCTTTCGGTTTCTCACGGGTGAATTTTATGTACTCTGACTGTTCATTCAATAACTTAAAGCATTTGGCCATCTCCTCTTGTGTGGAGCAGATGACAAAACAATCATCTATATACCTACAGTATATAGATGGCGTGAGATCGATTACTGGTGCTTCCACTTTAGACATAAAGGCAATGGCAAGGGTTGGTGCCAGTCGCTGTCCCATTGCCAACCCTCTAATTTGTGCGTAATATTTCCCGGACCATCTGAAGATCGAGCAGTTTAAACAGACCTTCAGGAGGACCATAAGCTGCTGAATCGAAAAGCCATACATGTTAATCGCTCCTTCGTGTTTCTCAAGAAGCTCACGGATGGCTTGCATTGCGGAGTCGTTCGACACGTTAGTGTAAAGAGCGGTAACGTCGAACGATTCCATAACGTACGCGCTTTTGGGACGTGCGTTACGCAGACGGTCTAGGAACATTTGGGTGTTCGTGAGATGGGCTGGTATGTGCCTAAGCAACTGGTTGAGAATTAGGTTTATAAACCAAGCAATTCTATCTGTAGGCCCGTCTACACAACTGATGATGGGTCTCACTTTAAAAGTGGAGGGGTCGGTAGACGCCATATCATCAGTGCGTATTAACTTATGGGTCTTGGTAAGTAAGTATAGGACGGGACATGTTGGCACTTCGATCTTTAGATGCGAAATGTCTGCTGGTTTTAAACCTGCTGCGCTTGCCGTTTTGACCCATTCGCTGTTCAGTTTTCGATTTTGACTTCTGAATTCCTTTTCAGCAGATGCGCGATAAAGAGACGCGTCTTCGAGATGTTTTTCTGTTATATCGACATCTAACTGGCGAGGAATTACTACAAACTCTCCACCCTTATCACTAACTGATAGCCTAATAATTTTTGATTTTATTAGCTCTCGAACCTGTCGCATACCAGATTTTTGCGTAGCTGTCAGGTTCGAACTAAACCTTTTCGCGCGGTAGTGGTTAAGGACTTTAAGAGTTGCGCTCGAAAAAAACATTGAAAAACATTGAATGGTGATTATGCTGTGGCCCGCACAGCCAATGAGGACAGACCGTTTAAGTATCAAGTATCAACTCGAAAGACCGACTTTCTATAAACCTCGGCATAGATAGTTGATATATTTATGTGATCCGTCATCACGTCTGAGCCTCTGAGGAAGGCGAAGTCAAGTCCCGCACGTAACATCACGGCTTTGCGGAAGGCGAAGTCGCCGAAACGTCAGCCATCGATCAATAACATCAAAAACAACGACAACGACAACAAAGATCTGTACCAACCTCGCGTCAGCTTAAGAAGATCAGTTTATAAGGTCACATAAATAAATATATCAAGTATCAAGTTATTGTATTGTGTACTGGCAGATTTAGAATTAGCGATGTCATCTTGCGTTTGTTTCATTTTAGCTCTGGTTCAGGCTGGCAGAGATGTCCAAGGGCTTTTCTGGAGGACGTCTTGAAATGGGTCAAGTGTCGCCAGAAGAATCATTACCTGACTTCGACAACGAGAACGAATATGGTACACCTGTGGATAAAGTGAATAGTGTTGTAATGACGGGTAAAAAAACAGTGTAGATTCCTAATTAATTTGTTTTACCCAAATTACTAATGTATCACCGGAATTAACACAGCAGTTTTGTAGAGATGCGTTGTACAGTACTGTTTCATATATGCATCTCCTTTGCTTCAACACATCGGCAATGGATAGTTGCGGCGTTAAGCGATACCCTCTTTTGCGCCAGCTGAACTATAAGTCGTATATAATCCTTGGCATAGGAAACACCTCTAGAATTAATAACGTTTACTAACAGTGTGTTCCGCATTGTTCTATCTATACAAAAAGTAAGGAATCGCAGCAAAACGCGAACCAACTCGTGTCATTTTTGTGAATGGGAATGCTTAAAAGGTACCCCTTCTTGGCGACGCGATGTGCCTGTTTATAGCGTGAAAAGCTGTCGACTATATAAAAGATATCATATAAATAGTTTATGTATTAAAACGAATTAACAGAGTGAGTCACATGTGATTCGCTCGAGATGTCCGCACGCATGACTGTGTTAAAGTACGCATCTCTACGTTTTGCAGGCTATACATTCCGGTGGTACTTAATTATTGTAACTGTGATATTTATGACACTATTCCAAACAACAGGCGTTGTATTCCATTTTCATGTCGAACTTGCATGTACATGTATCTATAATTCGATCAACATACGCACATTGTTTCATTTTGTATAGTCATGGAAGAGCTATTTTCAAGATATCTATAGAACGGCCCATTATACAGATTTCATTTTGGTTCACGTCTTCATTATGAATTGTATTCATGAGATACATGCTCACAGTTCATATTAACACAAAGGAGTTTGTTGCTTTTGAGAACTACCGATGATAACGTTCCGATAAGTAAAGTAGTTGAAGAGGTTAGAACTTTGCACGACTACAGATCGCACTCTCGTTTCGTTTTCAAAATTGTTTAGAAATGAAATTTACACAGAATTAGACATAGAATTTAAATTTCTGAGATATTTAACGTAAGTGCGACAGCCAGAAACATTAACGATAAATTGGGAAGGAAGGAACACCATCTATCCTATGAGGTCCAACACTTGTTCAGTTAGCTCGATATTCGAGATACGAACTTTGACAAAAGAGATGTAAAACGTATATACATTTCGTGGGCAGTACAACATCGAACTTCACCATTATAGAGTAGCAGAGCTTGTATCTTGTTGGCGAAGATCTGTAGATTTTAACGGCTCTCATTTCAAATATTTTCGGGCCGTATGCACTGAAATCAATGCGCATGCTTCATCATGTGTTAATCTTGATAGTCGGACTGACATCGTAAGCGAAATCCTGATGTGTTCGAAGGCTTGCATATTACCAACGTTCAGTAAATTTCAGTGTTAGAAGATTTCCTGAACAAATATGATATCCGTATAAAACAGTGCGACCCTCCAGTAAGGTTGTTTTGTTTGAATATTTGTGGGAATATTTTGATAACATCTGATTAACAAGTATAAATGTCTTCTACAATACCAAGCAACGGAAAATATGTCATTACCAAGATAAGCGGTACTATAACTAATACATTTCCCAATGGTTTACCGCCTCATCATGGCATTAAATGTTTCGAAGGTACCGTAAGCAAGTGTCTGCGTACTATAATGTCCAAACAGTATCATTTATATTTAACTAGAGAATGTTTTGTTTCCTGCATTTATTCATTGCATTTAAAAACTAAGTAGATGGCTCACACGACCCGTAAAAATTAATTGAGCTTCACATAAAGTATATACAAAAATAGTGCTATGAGAACTTCGAAAAGAAAAACACTGACGTTGATTGTAAATTCTAATCATATTAAGGACAACAAGGGCATGTTTTACCAAATTGTTCAATCCAGTCAGTTTTCGTCATTACTTGTGTTTGCTGCTTTCAATGATATTTGGAAGGATTGTGATAAACTTATTCTCTCCAAATGTCACCAAATAAAGAACCGTCCAAAAACTCATGTAGAGCGTTATTTCATAATCCGTGTACGCTGTGCCTCTCCAGTATGAGGCCAAACAAACAAGCACTACTCCTTTGTTAATGCTACTTTCCATCCAGAAACTCCCTTATCAAATCCGCATGTGATCAAATTGCAGCGTGGATGGTCATCCGCCCAAGCGGCACACGATACCATACGACTGTGACACTAGAAAAATTTGTGGATGCATAGATACTGAAGACGTTGCTACGAATTAGAACCTACTCTCCGGTTGGGCACACGTGGGAGGCGATTCCCAGCCATATCGTAGATGCGAACGTGGCGGTTATCAAGAGGAATAGCAATGACACCATGGGCATGGCTCACCTTGAAGAATGTGGATCGAAAAATCAAATTATATTATAATCAAATCAAAGAATGACAGGTAAATATATATCGAAAAGTAAGCTGACCGAGAGACGATTGGCAGGCGATGACAATCGAATAGTTGAAATAGAACTGCGCATATTACGCAAGTCCCACACCTGGAAAATATCTCATGACACGGAATTTTTTCAAATTGATGGGAAAAGCCGTTTTTAAACTGAAATTTTGCAAAACTATTATTCAGCAAAAACGCAACTTTAGTGATTAGAAAATGAGCTGTTATCCACACACTGTTGTCAACGAGTTGCAAATTTATTTCGATAATAGTAAAATCCTGTCTCTGGAAGCGACGAGTTCTTCGAATGCCTTTAACACCAGTGTTGTTCTCCCTTCTAATTTCTCCTTGTTTAAAGTGCCATTCTCCTCACAAGAGATACGATGCCTATGGTGGGTAAGACTGTGCTTCGCATTCCAAGACGTTCAACAATTGTAGTGCTAGTTCAACAATAAACACGTTTTATTTGATTTAAGCTGCGGAAACTGAAGAAATTGTCGGTAACATCGTTTGATATAAATCAGGCCATTAGAAAATGTTTGGAAGCACGAACCCATACCAATCTTTCTAGTAAACTTTGTCTCTAGTCGCACAAGATCCTCTTTTCATTGTAACTCACAATAGGGAAGATATCATAAGTCTGTGCGGGTATGGTACCACCTGTGTCCAATCACGTTTTTTAAGACAACGCACAAAAACAAGCTCATAGGACACACGTGAATTACAGCGTCAGAATAACATATACCCCAAATAAAGGCGATAACCTGCGTTGTCATTGCGCTGAAAAATGAACAAGTATTGTTAACACACCTTCACTGTCCTATCATCACCACCAGACACAATTCGGTCACCAGTTGAGAACACCACAGAGGTTACAGAACTGAAATTTCTCTTCTCATTATCAATAAAACTACTGAGAGATACGTTTGATATATGATTATTTTGCTACACTGTACAATTCGAGAGACATTTATGACAAGTGTCTGAGTAAATATATACAATGAATTTCTAACCCCCTACAGTGAAAATGGTGCTAGTTCAAGACGAAAAATTGATGCTCGATCTACCTATACGGTCTGAAGAATGTCTTATGAGAATGAGGAGAGAACGCTCTACCACAATAGTTTAAGAGCTTCAAAACAAAAAAAAAAGACAACTGATCAAGTAGCATAAAACTAGCTTCAACACTCTCAACTTCTGTCAACAAAGAAAAATCTGTCCGGAAACGAACGACAACATAACAGCGAATGTTCTCCAAAAAGTGGATTCAAGCTTCGCGAAACTCTACCTTACAGATATATCAACTATACCAAGAACATATATCATAGCTCGTTCATCAAACCGCTACCTTCGCTATAAGAAAACTGATCCTGTAGGATGACATAAATCGCGAAATATGTCAAGCACCGCATTGCAGTGGCTTAATTGGCTCACTAAGTAGTTTGATGGGGAGAAAAAAAGCATACTGGTTCATGAGCAAAAAAACGACGCTTTACCCACGATAAAGAAAGGATAGGACTGCAAACAAAATAAATATGAACTCTTTATAAAGTGGAAACGGCTGTGAAGAAAGTGAAGTTCCCGGAACTTTAGCCATCGAAATTCAAGAATACGTCTCGAAAACCTTGTATAGGCTAAACAAAAATAGTTCCTAAGCATAATGTAGTTCATGAAGTAACCATATTGGGATGGATAACAAATCAGAATGGATAGTTCTTAGATCAAGAAACAACTAACGTGTGAAAGAGACATGGAAAACGGCTTGAACAGAAGCAATTAAAACAGTTTTGTGTCCTTCGAGAAAGCAGAAAACAACAAAAGAACTCATAACTTAAAAAACCGACTTTCTAGAGAACCTCGGCATAAATAATCTAAATATATATACATATATACATATGTCCACGGATCTCCCTCATATGAGGGATCTCAAGCCGGTTAGTCGCGAGGCTACGTGGGGCGTCCCCATGTGGCGGACCAAAAGCGATCTTTGCTTCCCTGAGACGCAAGAGGATCTAGGGGATGGACTCCTGTTTCTTCTGAGCTGATTTGCACATACTTTCTATTTGCTAGGCGTATTCATGCATGCGCATGTGGGTGCGTTCTTGCTTATGCGGATTGTATTCTACGACTGAATTCGGCGCAAGATCTGCAATTAAGTGATAGGGAAGTATGTGGGAGGCGGTTAGGAGTCGTCTCCAACAAACAAACTCCATATCCACTTTGGGAGAGCTTGGCAAGCTACCCGTGAGTATACCACGCCCCACGTTCAGAGCCCAGCAAGCTATACGTGGGTATTAAAATGCTAAACACAGTAAAAAAAAAACGGGCCTCATCCCCCTGACCCGAAAAAGACCCCAATTTCGCAGCGTTGGGTAGGATGAGTACAGAGAGGATAAAATCTCAGGACCAATGCCTGCCAAGGTTTCAGGGTCTCCAATGGCCAATCTCAGGCTCTACCTGGCTTTCAAAGAACTATGGTGACGATCTGTACCTACAATGCAAGTACACATCCGAGTCCTCGATTGAAGCCTTGCTCATGCAAGCAAGAAGGATGAGGTACGACGTCATCGGCTTGGCGGAAACGAGAAGACACCACCCTTTCAACGCCGTCTATTACACCGGAGAAGAACTGTTCCTCGGAACATGTAACAGTAGTGGAATCGGCTGCGTCGGCGTTCTCGTCAACACGAGTTTGTCCATGAACATCGATCCATTCGAACAACTTACAACCCGAATCGGACGTTTACGATTAAAAAGACGTGAATCAATTCCGGCTTTGACAATCTTCGTCGTTGACGCGCCAAAATCAAACTATGACGAAGAAGAAGAAGTCAAAGCGTTCTATATGGACATGGAGAGGTTCCACAGAAAAGACCACACATTCTTCAAGGTCACCACTGGAGATTTCAACGCCATGATTGGACCAAGAAGAACGTCTGAAAAACGTCACATTGAGACTCACGGATTAGAATGGAACGAACAGGGTGAGCGGCTGTCTGAGTTTACCATGGCGACCAAGACAATCCATGGTAACTCGCAATTACAAAAGCCCCACCCTCAACGTTGGACATGGGAGTTTCCCAATGGAGATTACCATAACAAAATAGACCACATCATAGTAAATAGAGGGTTTTTCCTAACAGATGCCGCTGTTGTCCCAAAATTCTACACAAAATCAGACCATCGTCTCCTTCGCGCAAGATTCTATTTCTCGCGTGAAAGAGAAAAAGCCGCTAAATTCAAAAACCGAAGTACCAGAATCACCGCAAACTGGGACTTATTCAATTCATTAGTCGGCTGTTGGGAGGATGCCGTTGTCGATAACTTCGACGAAGAATACGATCGGCTCACTTAACATCTTCACGTTAGCGCTATGAAAGCTCAGAGTTCGAAAGTAACCAAGAGAGGTCTGTCTCCAGAAACACTCGAGCTGATACGCCAGCGTGGAATCGAACGAGCTGCAGGCAACCGCGAACTAACGTCCGACCTTGCAAAACAATGGAAACGGGCGATAAAAAAAGATCTTAGAGAGATAAGAGCAGCAGTAATGGCCGAAGCTGAAGAGGCTGGGGAAGGCATTTGCAAAGACCACCGAAGCTTCGCCAATTACAAGACCAAAATGATTGCACTCCGACGCCCATATGGAACAGTTACAGCGTCCAGAGAGACAATGGAGAAAATCATTCACGAATACTACTCGGATCTCTTCAATAGTCGCGTCCACCTTCCGTCATATGAAATAAAGGAGGATGGATTTGTTGTATTAGCGGTTCTCCCTTCCGAAATCCGACATGCCACTCCGTCGGTGAAAAATCTAACACCACCTGGTCCGAACAGGATAAGAACAGAACACCTGAAGAACCTTCCGCCAGCCCTCGTAAACACACTGGGTTTGCTCTTCAAACGTTACCTCTCTGAATGCAAGGTCCCTACTCAGTGCACGACCAGCAAGACCGTGTCATTGTTCAAGAAAGGTGAGCTACACGATATCGGCAACTATCGCCCAATCTGTTTACTCTCTCTCGTCTACAAACGTTTCACTCGAGTCATCCTAAACAGGGTTAACAGAACACTAGACGAAAGGCAGCCATGTGAGCAAGCAGGGTTTCGAAGAGGATTTAGTACGATGGACCACATCCACATGGTAACAAGGCTCATTGAAGTATCGCGAGAGTACAAAAGACCGCCCTGTCTCACTTTCATTGATTTATAGAAGGTCTTTGATTCAGCTGAGATAGAAGCAGTCTTGGAAGCCCTTGATAGTAAAGGAAGAGACTCAGTACATAAAAATTCTTCATGAGCTGTAGAAAAATTTCACAACCAAGGTATCGCCATTCTACAACGATATTAACAATGACGTCAAAAGAGGAGTTAAGCAAGGCGACACCATTTCGCCAAAATTATTTACCACCACCCTCCAGAACGTCATGCGAACGTTGGAGAGTAATGATATGGGAGTGAAAATCGATGGTCGGCAGTTACACCATCTCCGCTTTGCTGATGACATCGTCCCTATAACGCCAAACATGAACCAAGCAGAACGTATGCTTGACAAGCTTGATAAAGCCTATGGAAAGATTGGTCTTCGAGTAAATCTCACAAAAACGATGTTCATGAAGAGCGGATTGGTTTCTCATGCCCCATTCACGCCACGCTCAACGGAACGAATTTCTCCGAATGCTCCAGTTATATTTATTTAGGTCGTGAAATCAATATGATGAACGACCCAGCTCCAGAGCTGAGCAGAAGGAAAAGAGCGATTTGGAGAGCTTTCAAGAGCATCGAGGATGTAGTGAAGAAAACAAAGAACACCCTATTCCGTACCCACCTTTTCGACTCCATGGTGCTTCCTACACTAACGTATGCGTCAGAAACCTGGTCGCTGTGTAAGCAGGACGAAAGGTCATTCACCGTTATCGAACACGCAGTCGAAAGGACGATACTAGGAGTACCTCGTTCCACACAAGTAAGGAATGGGATCCGAAGCTCTGATCTGCGTCAACGATCAAAAATCAAGGATGCCGTTCTGTACGCCAAACGTTGAAGATAAGGTGGGTCGGACATTTAATGCGTATAAATAACAACCGACGCTTTTCCTCCTAACCTTTCCTGGAGAGCTGTCGTTTCGTAGGAAGTAGTAATGGCTACTTGTTGCACCATTTTCAGAGATTCTTCCATCTCCTCTGTTCTCGTGAACACATGGGTGGAAGTTCGAATGTTTCCTACAGGCTCCCATTTTGTGTTTGAGGAGCGAAAACGAAATTAATGAATCGGTATGTTTCCGTTAGTAGCATTTGGTTATGTAGTCGTTTTCGGATAAGCTGATTTCAACGTTTAAATGGAAGCTAGTCTTCTATCGGTTTCTCTCAGGTTAATTTTACGTACTCTAACTGTTCGTTAAATACTCAAAACATTTGTCCACCTCCTCCTATGCAGAGCAGATACCCAAACAATCATCTATAGAAATACTATAGAATAATCGACTAAGATCGATTACTGGTGCTTCCACTTTAAACATAAAGGCAACGGCAAGGGTTGGTGCCAGTCGCTGTCCCATTGCCAACCTTTTCATTTGTGCGCACTATTTTCTGAATACCACCTGAAGATTAAGCAGTTTAAGCACTCCTTCAAGACGGTCCTCAACTGCTCAATCGAGAAACCATATATATCTATTGCTCCCTTGTGCTACACAACACGCTCGCAGATGACTTGCGTATCGGAGTTGTTCGATAGCTTCGCCAAAAGAACGGTAACGTCGAGAGGTTCCATCACGTGCGCGTCGATAGGGTTTTCAAATTAAAGCTAAAAAGGATAAAGCTCTCGGAGGTGATCAATCCCTGAGGGATGCACCATGTATTCGACTTCACTAAGCAACGTTAGGAGTTGATTTAATGTATATCTGGCTTTTACAATGACTCGCGGTGAGCTACCCATGTATCAAACCAGTGCTGCTATCCTGCCGGACAAGTCTGGCACCAATTTGACGGCCCCGGAGGGATGGATGGCTTGGTGAGACATGGGCACGGGGATCGATCCTGTGTGTACTGCAGGGCGCTTCCGACCACCGCACCACACGCGCCCTTGTTTAAATTAACCTATCGGAAAACGGCTGAATAGTAACGAAAGCCTAGTAACAAAAACGTGTTGGTTCATTACGTCTCCTCTCACCACTGATAAACGAAAAGGCGCTTCTAAGAAACATGTTTCAAACACTATACTTCAACACTATTTCATCGTGTTGCACTGGTGTGCACAAGAGAGCAGAAGGAAGAATTCTTCTTGAAATTGACGCGGCAAGCAGCCATTTCTCCCAACGGTTTACCGCCTTATCATGGTTGGGAGGTGCTCTTGGGTGTTGGACTGCGATGTACAGACGGGTGATTCGTCCACTGGCAGGGTCTCCTAAGCTAAGTCCGGCGTTTCCGTCGGGAAGCCCAGCTAACAATAACCAGAATCAACCACCGTCCTGGTATGAAATTAGTCGCATGGTGGTAAATCTCCCTCCGATCCACAAAGGCCGGCGACTGTCTATGGGGGTGACGACCTGGAGCAGACTTTGGCCTGGCTGACCTCGAGACTCCACGGAACAATGGCTAGACCAGCAAGAATTCAAAAAGCAAAAAAACAGAAATTATGCTGGGACTCGCACAACCAATGAAGACGGGCTGCCCATACACGTCCAGGTACCCAAGTAATAGCCACTTCCGGCGGCTGCGAAACAGTAGCTTCTCGGGATGGGCAGAGAGAAAAAACCACGCCCCAAAACGATAACGCTAGCTATAACAAGGTCTCGTTTATACTGCCTTTCATTTCAAATGAAATAAATGTCGCTATAAAACGTTGCTTAGGAAGGGCCGGTCTAGAGAAATCGGTAACAGTGAAAAAAATACCACCAAACGCTTTAAGACGTCGGCAAATTGGTAACCGCTTTTATGACCATCTGTTTATCTATAACGGAAAATTGCGTAATATGCCTTGGTGGTAGAGACGATGACTAAATGAATTTCCATACGGTTTATCCGATCTCTTCTAAAACGTACGGGGACGAATATATTGGCGAAACAAGTAGACCACTGTGCATCCCTATAAAAGACCACTTAGCAGGTAAATTCAAGATTGAACCAAATACTCCACTATGCACGCACAGACATAGAGATAACGGAGACCTAGAAGGAAAAGTCACTTTTATCGCACAGTAATCTAAAGTACGTAAAACTCTTTAGGCGTTTTTGGATAAATTCCAAAAATTTAAAAACACACCGCAGGGATGGGTGCATTATGATTACGCGTTACCTCGTGCAATACCTTAAGGTGATTTGTTAGGTGAGCCAGGCACGTCCCTGACACATGTAAAACTAGGTACGGCTGGTCTCCACCGAATAACTGGAACGCTTACAAAGAACGAAACGGTGTTTGGAAGAACAGTTTACAATGCGAATGAAAATTCATGCATTAAGTTCTATCTGCAGCTATGGAAGTATTTGGTTGGATGGATTGTTTGTCAATTTTTTCAATTCAATTCTAGACTATGAAAAAGGCGAAACCTCAGAAACAAAACTCGTGTTTGCTCGTCAAGAAAACAGTAAACTATTGACCAAAGGCAATGTTAAGAGAAAGTCTGTCCTGGGATTTATTAAATGAGATAATACTTACTCGTATATAATGCTGAGATATTTGCAAAACTCATGATTGCTGATGGGAAAAGGTCAATAGAACTAGCTGAGAGACAGGCAAAACGAAGGACCCAGATGGTGTAGTGGTGAAGTGCGTTGCTCCCCGGAAATGACAATAGCGCACGTTCGTTCCCCACAGCATACACCTGTGGTCCGGAGTTTTGCAAATATCTCAGCATTATATACGAGTTATATTTCGCAACATACCCTGCCACTAAAAAAAAAGGCAGTAAATAAAAGGGTTAAGATAATACTTACTGTTTCGTGGTTGGTTGTACAATAACGGTAAATGAATTCTGTTACTATTTGCTCTTTAGCACAATCAAAACAACCGAAGAAAAAACAGGTTGGAAGAAAAGGAAATTCAGGTGCTCACTCTTGATGTCCTTGGAAGACGGCCACAGACTGTATAGTCTCACGAAAATCCCAGAGGCGAAACGTTGAATCTTTTGATGACGTGACGACGAGTTTCTGACTAGGATGCGCAGAGCAGTGATTGAGCTCCATCTCGTGACCGCTCAATATGTTCAGCACTTCGCCACGTTCTACGTCGTAAATGTTTGCGGTACGATCCCAACTAGCCGTAATCAATTGGCTTCCACCTAGGAATATCGAAAGTATATTGTAAAGGCAAGACTTAGAAATATAAGAGTAAACCCTAGTATTCTATAATCATGAAAAAAATGACACTGAGGAGAAGGCACAGTTTACTTCCTGATAAAGATTAAGGAAGTTTTCAATATGAGGAACAAACAATTGAAACACGAGAAACGAAGATTACCTGCTAGCCAATCACATCCAATCACCACGCCCGTGTGTCCTGTAAGTCTCATCATCGCATTTTTTATCCTTGTGCCTTCGACATTTGGTTGCATGGTCTCGCTATCTAGTCCACCACCGTCGACAATTGCTTTTTCTTCTTCATCATCGTCAGAACTGAGCAGAGTTTGTGAACAGATTGCGACTTTCCAAATATGCGCAGATTCATCACCACTTGCTGTCGCTAGCATATGTTCACCGCACTGTGTATCGCTCTGTGGGGCAAACGTTATGCAGTTCACCGAACCGGAATGACCAACGTAGGTGTAGAGACATGCTCCAGAATTCATCGACCAAACACGAGCAGTTTGATCTGTAAAACAATCAACAATGCTTCATATGTTTCTGTATGATGTTCGGATTGTGATATATTGACTCTAAGTGAATAACTTCCAACTTTACACATAGGTGATACAAGCATACATACTCAAAAGGACCTATTGAGCAACCTCGTAAAGTGGGAAGGAAAGATTAGTGGGCTAGTGTTCGTTCAATACCCTCGGACTGTACTCACTGGGGCACTTTAACATTAACACTTGTCTGGTGATGCAAGACAAAAAGATTGAGAACAACCTCTATGGACAGGCTGAAACGAAAAGATAGAACCCACTAAAAATCGTTTATGGTACCGGATAGAACTGTTCCTAAGAAATTACAGTAGTACACCTTGCAATCCGTAAGAGTCTCAGAATCCTCATAATGAAATACAATATATCATATTAAATTGCAGGTTCTGTAAAACCGATATAGGTACTTTTATCCACTATCGCCCACGTGGGGTAAATTTTATTGTCCCACAGAAAAGAAGGAGTTATTACACAATAAACTGGTAGTTGTTCACTTTCAAAAATGGTTTCCGTGAAGGCTTCGTTATAGACACAGCGATAAAGAGTACTTCTTGCTAATCCAGCACCTTCACGACACTGGAAAAGAAACCGAGCATTCGTACGTCATAAGGAGACACATGTCTAGAGAAATACTCGAATTGAGACGTCAAGAACAACCCGCATGAGAAGCAACCACAAACTTACGCTCGTGTTTTTAGAGGTGTGTAAACAAGCCGTAAAGGTCCTAGACGTAGAAGAGGTTCAGTATTGACTGAAGCTGTAGAGGTTGGTAAGATAATATGTAAGGACCTGTGAGAGTTTGTCAATTAAAATACCAAGACCACTACCTTCTTTCACTAAGACAGAAGAACCACTGTGCCCAGATAGCCAACTGTAGAAGATTATCAGCGATTTCTAGTGCTTTTATTTCAGAAATAGCTATGTCCACATTAATGAATAACGAAACACATTGAAATATGTAGAGTGTACGAGATGTCATTCTGTCATCGACTTGAAGAAGAGATTCAATTAAATTAAAACACAAATAACAATAAAAGCTCCACACAGCTACAGCCTCCTCTTTTCACAGGAAACAGGACTACAGAACAATTTGGCAACGAGAATTCCACCATTTTAAAGCGACTGTCATATGACGAAGACAGAGACCTTGCCAGCGACCGTTTCGGCCGCTGGACAACTAAAAGCAGGTAGATTATAAAGATAACATTTGCTTAGGTACGTGAGGACGTGTGTAGTACAGCAGTGGGGAAGCCCAATATCGGCGAGCCTCTGGTTCACTCCGCTCATAGACAACTAGGGACTCCCTGTACCCCTAACCCATAAAAGATAACACCTGTCTGTAAAGAATACCTGCGAGCGCCCCATCGCGGCTGCTGCAGGTTTCTAGGGACAATCTATTCGACCACCATTCTCCAGGTATAAAGAGTAGTGAAATTCCGCAAGCAGCAGATGAACTTACACAAATCTGAAGAAGTTTGTGTATGGCGTATGGAAAGAAATGAATTCACTGCAGGAAGTGCTAGCAACTCCACAATGTGTCATGGCGGGTCATGTAAGAAAAATGCTTACATGACCTGTCTTCATATATCGGGCGGTTCTCAGCAGATTTTGCAATCAACTGCAATCGCTTTGTTGTCTTTCAACCGTCTTCCACAGAGGTGGTCGTGCGCATTTGTGACTTTGGCTACAACTTCGGGCTAAATCATCTTCCCTTCATATTAAAATGCTAAATCCCAATTGAGCGCGATTTACAACTGAAAACACAGAAAGATGTGCTATCGGCCGTTGTAGAGCAGAGGAACACTTACTACCTTGCGGCCTAGTCGGCCATTTTCGTTGTCTCACAATGTTCTTTTTGAGCCTTTTGAATTCATTCGAGACCTTGCCCAATATAAATACCACGCTAGAACTATGACCAGAAAAATTTTTTTTTTACAAAAAATCGTTTTTCGGATAAGTTTAATGGTCTCATTAAATCCTGAACATAGTATGTAGTTGGTGAAAAGAGCGCTAAGAAGTGAATTCTTTTCATTGATAAGCTAACTTGAGGTCGTTACAACTTCCATCCGGCTAACGCCTCGGTATTTATCTGCGTGAGTTCCAGGATGATCCCTTGCAGTTTGTACCCATGTAATAACACAAACAATTTTGAAAATGAACGGTGTCATTAGCGATTCAGCCTTCTCTGGCGGCGGAATTTGATCTGCGTAAGCCAAATATGACCAATGTAACGAAAAACTAGGTGCCCTCGCGAATTTGTTAATATGCTGTTACTCACCATATGATAGGTGACTTCTACTGATGTTACAACCAAACAGATATGAACAGGATATTACGTTTCACTTACAATTACAAAGAAAGAAGACAAGAAAGCTGATCTGGAAGCAGTCCGATCATTGATAGGATATTAACATAAATAGTCCCCAAATAACAATCAGCTCTCTTGCGAAATTGGTTTTACCAGAAAAGCTCTACCTGCGCTAGCACTAGCACATATATTCCGTAACGAATCTGCTGTTACATGCCAAACACCGTCACGATGGCCATCGAAACGACGAGTGTGGCTGAAAAAATTGATTCCACACTCTTCAAAATTGAGCGTGAATTAGAATGCTTGTCACTTTTTTTGCATATAAACATCGATAAAATAGACAGTAAAGAAACACACGAACAGAAGAAGTAAATAGGAGAGAAAAAGTTATTTGTGACATGCCCACCGAAACCGCTCTCCATCACCGCCGCCTACCTTGAACACAAGACGTCCCGGCGGTCCACGTAGCGCTGTCCGTAATTTCTGCCCCACATGCATTGCTAGAAAGTGAAATTTTACGAAATGGGAATCGAAATCGTGGTAAGCACAACTGTAGTTGACATGACCGAGACCTAGACTTAGATGGGAGACAAAACTGCATAAACTAGGAAGACTTATTTAAACGGTCTTCAATCTGCATTATACTTCTCAATGAAATCTCAAAAACTTGATAAATACGTTGCTAATTGAGAAGCCAAAATTAGAATAAGGTAAAACAGAATATGAACTCATGATTACAAGGCGGGGAGGCTCGTGCTTCTAAAGAAGATTAATTGTAACTAATTCATAACTAGGGTGCAATTAGCACAGTGGTAGTGATCTCGTTCATTATGCGGACGAAACAACCTACTAAAGCGCTTGTTTGACCCCGCGTCGGGTCCACTAAGCCTTTCATTCTTCCGATGTCGAGGACCTGATAAAAGATCTGTCTGAGACAAGCTCACTCCCTCTAATCCACACGAGAAACCCCAGTACGGTCATCTCTGAGCTCCACGAATAATCGATTTGACCAGCACTCAGCGGTATTAGTGACGAAGACAAAAAAAAACTGTCATGTAGCGAACGAAGTCACACGCAAAAAGCCCGAAATCCGTCGCTGATAGTAGACGTGAGGAAATAAATCAAACGCCAGAAGTGCTGTGATTCACTCAGCGAGATACATGTGACATCCGGTCATGTAATAATAAACGAAATTTATAACTCGTGACATGATATTGTTGTCAGTACAATACCTACATTACCATTACGAATTTTCCAGACTTCTACTTTAGCCGTTACCCATTCATGAACATCTATGGAACAATATCATTGAAATTCACGAGTCATTTATGGTCTAACCAAACTTAAAGTCTAGAAAAAAAACGATTCCTTCAAAGTGCCATTTCCTCCTTGCACCAGATATCTTTGAACCTTCAAAAACAAGGCCAATGACGGATTCATATCGAAGTTTCGTAAGCATTGGGTGAACAACAAAGCAAGGAAACAGAAATTAGAAAAGGTACCAAAATTTAAGTCGAATGTAGCGTTAATATAATAAATATTTAAAAAACAAAAGTGGTTCACTACTTATGGCTGTTGCATTGAGGTTGAGAAGTGAAGAATTTGTTTTTTACACGATAAGTGATATCCGTCTGCGACTTCTTTAACGTACTTATTAATTTTGATACTTGGATGACTCGTCTTCCCTGGTGGTGCAGGCCCCAGCATGACTTCCATTCCTTTCTCTCGCGCGCAGCCGTCGTATATGGTAGTGGTCTGCTTCGAAAATGGTGACGTCTACGAAGCCCACTCCGAATTTTCAAACCGTCTTCATCTGCAAATGCAAGCGGTTGACGTTATCGTCTCTGCTTCATTGGTACTTCTTGAAAAGATGATGATATCGTCGACGAAACAAAGATTTGATAGGAATTCTCCATCAATACGTATTCCTTTTCCATCCCAATAGAGTGATTTCTTTTTCCACTGGAGTGTTGAAGTAAACAGCTTTACTAATACCGTATCGCCTTGGCGAACCCTTTTCCTATGAGTACGGTGATGGGTCGACGACGAATCCGCACATTTATACTATAGCTCCGACAATAGTCAGCTAGTGTTCGTATAAAGGACGGGTCAACCCCTTCGTAAACGAGTGCTGATAGGATTGCATTCGTCTCAACGCTGTCAAACGATTTCTCCTAGTCGAGTAGTAGCGGGGAGAAATGGTATTCCGGACAGACCTCTATGACCGTGCACATGTGGTCCAAGCAGCAGAATTCCTGTGAGAATGCTGTTTGCTCCACCGGTTTTGCCTGATGCAAGATCTTGATATGCGCAGTAGAGAAATTCTCGATTGCAGACATCTAGTACAGTACAAAAATACCTGAGTACATTTAACTCACTTATCGAAAAGTAGTTATGAAAATCGCTTTGGTCATCTCTTATGGGACGATGACCGCGCGCGACGTCCTCCACTGTTTTAGGATTTTCTCTTTCTGAAGGTGAGATGTCATGGGGTTGCGAGAAGTACATGTAATTTGTGGCCACCAGCTCCAAGAAAATGGGCGGCAATATTATTGGGCTCGTACTCTCATTTCGTCCTCCTGTTCCAAATTTCCCTATGTTGCCTTCATTTTCCTTGGCCCGTTACTAGTCTGATATTGAAGTATCCAATAAGCAATTCATGGAAGAACTTCTCCTCGCAGATTACATCCTCCAGCTTGTTGCAAAAGGTATCGAGTTCACTCTTATCAGCTGTTCAACTCAAAGAGTAGTAGTTCAGCAGCAGCTGATACTTCCTCTTCACAAGGAAGTTGGTGAAGAATGGTTAAGGGCAGTGATGAGATTTCCCGCAGTGACTACACGGGATATAGATAGGTTTGCGACAAAGCCAACGCCTCCGCCGTTTTGTGAAGGATATTTTCTTCCACAAATGACAAAGGTTCCGTCACCTAACTGGCTCATTTCGGTCTCCATATTTTTCGTCTTTTTTGGGACGATCACAAGAAATTTGATTCGTTTCGCCGCCTCAATAAGAGCGCAAATTTTGGCGTATGAAGAGCCTGTTCTAGTGTTATTGGTAGAGAGCAAGAAGCATCCTCAGAGTTCCGTGGTCGTGATCGTTTTGTCCGTTTCCAATGAGGTCCTTTGCAACGCGAGATGTGATCGCCTCTCAGCGGTTTCTCACTGCCCAACGCTGTAGAAGGGAACATCGTGTGCGTATGGTACGGAGACCACAGTTTTGCTAGTTGAGGCACTGTAGTTCCCTGCGGTCCCGACGTCAGCCCAGCCGAAACCTTCCTCAAGCCGTCACCGCCAAAGGAAGACGCTGGCCTTTATTGATCAGAGGGATACTTGCCACCTTGTGATTAATTTGGTACCAAGTCGGTGGCGGTTCCTGGTACTGGTTTACTTCTAGCTAGGCTTCCGGATGGAAAAGTCGTGAAAGACAACGAAAACCCTGGCAATAACGTAACCACATGTAAATACGAGTGATAAATCGACATTGCTTACATCCATTTCCGAACTTGTATGAACCTGAACCTGAACTGAACAATTTTCGTAAGCTAAAAAGAAGTGTCGTGCAAAAGAATATGCAGACTAGTCTCTGAAAACCACGCCATCAGAAGAAAATCGACCTGACAGCCGCAGATTGGAAAATCAAGTGGAAGTAGTGATATTACAAGAAAAAACATTGAGATGTCGTCATCGTCGACAACAAGCTACTCATAGACCCGTCTAACAACATCATTCGTGTATGAATAGACTAATTTTTGCTCAAGAGACTTCTGAATGTTATGAATGCACAGCAACAATTACATTAGTTAAATAGTTAAAACATTAGTAAGGTTTAGTAAGTGGTTTAGTGACAGCCATACGGTGAATATGTTGTAAAACACATAATCAACGCAGTTTTTAACATAACGAGAGGAATCTGGTGCACAGGCACGATCTACACACTACATCACCCATCTACTGAAGAAACTATGTTGGTCTGGTAGAGAACGTATTACGCATGTATGCTTCCATGACTCATCAACAATGACACCATCAATTAACAATTTCCCTTCTTAGCATCAACCCCAAAACTCTCAATCCACGAAACGCACTAGTAGGTTGAGTAAAGAAAAGTTTGAAATTGAACAAATGGACATAGGATAAGATAGAAAAGTTGAGTAAAGAGCATAAGGAAAGTTTATAAATGTCTCGGTTACGTAATTAAAGAAAGTGATTCTAGCCTCTTCTGTACAAAGTTTCCACATTTTACACAAAAACAGCACCGATCTATTCAACAGAAACTTCAGTGAAGTGACTACACCAGCGACAAAATTCGAAGACAAAATGGTGACAAGACTAGTGTTAGAAGCGTGTTAATGTCATCAAAACAAAATTTTATGATAGATTCGAAGCTATAGGCTGGCTGGCTACAATTGCACACCTAGAAAAATTTATTTGCTCTTTACTATTTCCTGCAGACCATTACTCACCTGCCATTCCATTCTGTCCCTCCATTTAAGAGCACTAGTAAGGCATTCGTCATTGTCGCATGTCATAAATACTTAGTCATCGTTGCTGGTTCGAAGGATATGAAGACAATAAAATTTTCCAACCACAGCATTCTTTGAGATATTCTCGACGATGCACATCAATTTGTGTCTCTTTTACTGTACACAGCTTTTTTAAAATAAATTTTGTAACCAGTTGATTCCTCGCATATGATGTAACATAGCGTGGCCCCAAAAAACCTATGCTCTACACTCACTGACACATAGGAAAGCCTATTTTCGTAGAAGCACAAGTCAATGCACAAACAGTGTTGCCAATAGGGATTACTGCTAGGAAATACCACCACTAATGAGAGTACCACAGGCGAGGAAGGTGGTAAGACATCTCTGTGACACAAATGCAGATCCACAGCGATTCCTTGTCTTTTGTATCAAACAAGTAACACAAGTACCGTCAATAAGCACGGTAACTGATAACTTGTTTTTTGAAGCGTCACAACGATTCGATTTCGTCGACTTCAATGATCGCCGCGCAGAACGAGAAATGAGGCATCACACGGTCGCAGCACTAAAATAGTGCTTTGTGGGGTGAGTATTGCTGAATCTGACCATTGGGTCAGTGATATTTCTGTTCTATGGCTAAGTCCCCAAGAACCTTGCTACTAACATTTTTTATCAATCAGATGATGTTACCACATTCCCACATTCACCACAACGCATAATCCTGCCTGACCGTTGCACGCGATGACTTTTGCTGTACTCGTTGCAACTTGCAGAGAAACTATACATGCGCAGTGTCTACTCAACGAATAATCTCACCCCTTCGATTATGCTTTTGCTCCGAAATGCAGTTCCTCCGCTTTATTTTCGATGAGTGGATTGCGCAGTGGTAGTGATGCCATTCAACACGGTCATGGTGGTGGTTGTATCACGTCCCGTGCTCACCAAAACTGTCATTATTCCATGGTTAGAAAATTGGTACTAAACATGGCTGCAAAAAATTCGCTCTTTACAGTCCAAGTGGGAACACTGTTATTCCTGGATTCCAGGGAGAATCGACTCGGCCAGCATTCAACGACATTCATGAAAGAGATCAGAGTACTCAGCTAGCAGCCGAATCCACACGCGAAATGTTAGAGTACCTTCGTCGATGATGGATGACAGGAAATGAATCAAATGCAAGAAGTGTTGTGTTCCGCATGGTACATGTCAAAATGGACCGTGCAAAAAAAAAATAAAACAAATAAAAATAGGTTTTCCTACGCGTTTTGACACCAATGTATGCGTCTTTCTCTCTATCTTCTACGTTCTTGAATGCGTGTGTACATTAACTGGAACAGTTCCAAACATTGGGTGTGGTGAAAAACTTGTCGCTCTTCTCAGAGTCGCGCTATAAGCGTTTGGCAGTCCGTTTCATATACGTGAAGCAAATGCGATATTTTTCATATCTGATTATTCTACAGAATAACCATAATTCACTCTCATGTGGCTGAAATAGTGGCTCTTCTGAACAAGACGAATCACATGAGATCAAAACACACAACTTTCCAACAAAAATACGCAAAGAATCTACAAATCTCGCAAAGAAGTGCACATTAATGTCTCCCATCCCAGTTAGAAGAAGACTGCAATTCCATTACCATATCACACATATAAGAGCAAATTTGTGACTAATTTATTCAAACTGTGTATGAAAGTTAGCTTATGGCGCATGAAAATATGATCCTTCCAGATTTTGGAGTGTGGTTGAAGGTAGTGATGAAGCTTACATAGTACTTATCAGATGAATGGCCACATTTGTACACTAGGAATTGGTATATTAGTGTCTCTTTGGCCAATAGACTACTTAAGAAGACACATGCAGGAAGGACAGCAAAGTCCTTAAAAGGGGCATAAGAGCAAGAAATTAAGTTAAGACGATTTGAAGCTCAGCATAATCGAAGAGCCTTAGATCAGCTGGCATATGGAGCAAGTGGATCGTCATAAGATGCAGCGTGTGTAAAAATATTCCTATTATATTTATTCAATAATGCTCAGAACAAGAGAAACTTGCGAAATGGACGAATTGGTTGCAATTATTGTAATTAACATGTAAACAATATTATAAGGGTCGCCAGAGAACGTGGAAACAGTGACGAATACCCATGCCTTTCACAGACAACAGTTCTATTGACCCTTAGCACGCATTCACACTACGTTTGTAAAAGTACAAATGACTTCATCGATTTGCCATCTTTTCACATTAAAAAGGTGTGTCACACATTAATACAGAATTTTTGCTGTACCCTTCTCACCAGTAACAGTCTCATGCTGCGAAACAAACTTTTACAAGCAGTTTCTTGCGAATTACTAAGTGTAATACGTTTTCTTTCTTTGAGAAGCTTACACAATGCTGATAAGCAATTCAACAATTCTAAAAAACAAACAACGTCTCTTTTAATAAACAGCTAAGCATATAATATAGATTTTCTCACTCAATGTTTGTCTTAAAATTCGTGTTGAATAAGCTATCAACTGATTACAATAAGTATTCTGCCACAACCTCCCAATGATTTACCGCCTAATCATAGCTGGGAGGTGTTCCTGTGTAACGGGTTGTGATGTTCAGCCGAAGGATTCATCACCCCAACAGGATTTTCCATACTGAGGAGTCCGGCGTTTCCATCCTGAAACCCAGGTAAGAGTAAACCGATAGCAGGAACCACCATTGTCCTAGTATCAAACTAGTCGCATGGTTGCAAATCTTCCTCTGATAAACAGGGATGGCGACTGCTTAAGGTGGTGACGACCTATGGAAGACTTGGGTTACGTTGACCTCGGGACTCCGCGGAACCACAATGGCTAAACCAGCAAATGCCCGGTCAAATGGAAACCATACTGGGGCCCATAAAACTAGTAAAGACGGGCCATATAAGTGTCCAAGTAAGTTCAGTGCCCAAAGTAAGGCAAGATAAGGAAGATGAATTGAAAACGAGTCGTGCCGGACATTGACTCCTACCCATGTATTACGACTCGATATCGGATCACGTTGTCATAAATGTGTTATGATGTACGTGCCAGGGTGATTCGCTTTCTAAACATTCATCAAATACGGAAACTCAATTTCTAGTCTTTGAATGTCGACGTAAGTCGAAAACAGAATTTCATTCATGTGGAGCTCCCAATAGTACTGAATATTCAGTAGAAATGAAAACTATTTTGTTCGTGGTGTACACTTTTACAAATAAGAGGAATTAAATGGATTTTAACTAAGAAATTTGTAATCGAATAAAGATTTCTTCAACTCTAGTCAGACTAGAAAGAACGAAGTGAGCGGCTAACTGATCCCAGTGATCTTGCGTCTATCACACTTAACGTTTTCGAATTCCAAATTATATAGGAAATATACAGTATTATTTGGTGCATATCGAGAAGCTCAAGAGCTTAACGCATAAGCCGCATCAAACGTAATGATCGAGAGATCTTTAAAAACAAATCTAAGAGGAATAAGACATCAACTAAATTGGGCAAAACTGTTATATTACATCCATCTTATAGGGGAAACTTTGGTCAGCAATATAAAAGATGATAGAAAACACACCTTTTCTTCCACTGCCTGTCTTTATGTTATCATTTGCAGAATTAAACGATTCACATTGTAATGCTGTCGTGTCACCATCAACACCCGCTCCCAGAACCTCGATCTTGGCACGAACTAAGGGAGCATAAATTAGTCAACGCCAAATAACAAGATATTAAAAAAAAAGTGGGACTTACGAGAACAGTTTTCGGCATACAATGTGTCGAACTCCCTTTCGATGAGGCTGAACAGGTGATAAAGCTTCGCCCTGAAAGGTATATACATTTCATTTCAGAAAAGAAAGCAAATAAAAACAGTAAACAGAAAGAATAACGGATACAAAATTTGTGGGATTTTTAGAATTTCACTCATGAATACAAACGTAATCGTTATAGGCAGAAATTAATAATTTGCTACCACTTACAGAAAAAGACCCCTCCAATTCCTCAATTTCAGTACTGAATTTGAATTTTTACTATTGACATGTTTCATAGACACATATCTATATCAAAAGAGCAAGTATAGCATAGTGGTCGGAGGCGCTATGCAATACACATGGGGTCAATCCCGGCGCCCCAGGACCACCTAACCCACCATCCTTTCGGGGTCGGCAAATTGGTGCCAGACTTGTCTGGGAGGATAGCAGCACTGGCTGAATACATAGGTGGGCCATCGCGAGTCATTGTAAGGGCCAGAGATAAGCATTCAATCACCTCCAACGGTACTTAATGAAGTCAGATGCATGATGGCGCATATCTTAGGGACAGATCAACGCCGAAAGCTTTTGCGCTTTTTTAGATCTATGTCAAGAGTACTGCAGTATCGTACCTGTGCTGAGCAGAAGTATCACTTCCATCGTATTCAATTGGACCCGACGTTGAAATCACGAAATCCGAATTGTTGCCTGTACGCTCATGCGACGTGTTCGCATTACGCTGTGATGACATCTTCCTATAATCCATTGATGACATCACTTCACTTGTGTGATCAAGAACCATAACTTGAATTCGTGTACGAAATATAGCTAAAGTTCAAGCTTTTGTAACGCAACTCTATAGAAACTTTTCAAAATCCAAGATTTAAGCAAATAGAATATCGGTCTCTAACTCTCATTCAGCTGTCAATGGCTGGAGAAACATGAACGAAAGAATGACAGACAATTCAGGACAAAACGTTAAATAATTGCTGTTATTAGGTAAGACTCTTAAAAACAATTTAAAAAAGAAAGAACCTTGAACTCTTGAATTTCTCCTTGTGAGATCATACATTTAGTATAAAAAAAAACAAGAAACAGAATGAAAGAGGAAATCACCATCAGATATAACTCTGAGCCCATCAGCGAAAAGGAAAAAAACAACCATATATCTCAAGGATAAAAGCTAACAAAAAATGAAACAGGAAACTTTTGAGAGAAAAACTGTGAAAAGAAAACTTAAGAGAAAGCAGGCCCTGGTATTTACTAAGAAACCGTCCTCGAGTATTCGGGACCAGCAACTTTGTAATCCAGTTCAACATCTAAGATAAATCGCGCATTCTGCCTCAAGAAAGAGATAAAATCATGAATACATGCGATTCGGACTAGAATTTCGTCCTCATCCGAATTGGTCATTCGAAATAACGCAGGAAGTTTTACGAACATACGCAGCAAATGCGGCAGACCATAGAACCTCGACGGTCGAAGCATGGAAGCTCGAAATGGACCACCGTCCTGGAAAATGTATTAGTGTTCTTATTTGTTTTACCGGACTCGAAATAATGATCGCAAACGAGGATATTGACACTTTTTGGACGTGTGAAGAATCACGTCGTATCTAACGAAGAAGCTAAAGGAATATCACAGCAGCAAACTAAGAAATCCGTTGTTGTGAAACTCACTGAAAGTTGTGAGAATGCTGACTGTGGCAGCAGCGGTTTTATGTCGCGGAGCGGCTTGCGCATTTTTCTCGAGCACGATTCCTGCGCTATCTTTAGCTCTTTCTCGTAATTCCCTTGTTCAGATTTCGAAAGAGCGTTATACTGAGGTTTTTCGAATTTATACAGAAGCTGGTAACCAAGCACGATATCAAAGTAGTCTCGAAGCCCTTCTGCTGTTGAGCGTAATGAATTCACACCATCTACACGTGTTACCCCATGCATTCTAAAACAGATGCAATAGAAAAAATCCAATTCCAAAAAAACCAAAAAACCAATCATGCCAATTAAAACGAAAATGCAGTGAAATCACCAGAGAAGACATGTAGTAACTAACTCAATATCAATTGCGGTCGCCTCGCCGTAACGTTCCTTTGAGAAGTCGATGTACTTCTGAACAATATCGTACACCGTTACTCTCGCTGGTAGCACGGCAAGCTTTCCCTGATTGACGACGGCGTCGTAGTCATCCACCAAGATCTTCTTAATTGAACGCGGCAAGTTGCTCAAAACTTCCAGCTGTGCGTCGATTTCTGGACCAAGTTGATTCTCAGAAGGTCTGTGCTGACCTGAATTACTATGGTTACCAAAATATCCAAAAACTGAACTCCAAACTCATCTGGTATTTCAATCTAAAAGTTCTTACAAAGAAGGATATAAACGCAATAGAATCGAACAAAAACTACAGTATTCATGTTGGTACACATTAGACTCATACCCAGTTTTCATGAATGGTACTTTGCCACTGAAAGTGCGGTAGCCTCGGAAATGTTTCCAATCTTTAAAACGGAAAAAGAAGAACTATAAGGAAACAGAAAACAAAAAAAGCATTGGAAAATTATAACATCGTCAAAATACAACACCCACACAAAGCCACGTCTTCGTTTTCCTGACTTTGGGCTATTCAGGAACAGAAAAATACATGGAAATGTTAACTTACGCTTTAATATTTCATAAAAACTGAAAAGATATTAGTTATTGACCTACTTGCGTCTTCAGATCCTTTCTTCGCCACTTCGGAAAGCTTTGAAGTGGTTGATCGGCGATCACTATGAGTACTGGGTGCCTGACTACTGCTGCCTATACGTAGATAACAGTTAAGATGAATAGTGAGTATATCCGGAAACAAAATAACAAATGTTGCAAATAGTGCACAAGAGATAAGAAACATTTGCTATAGGTTCGACAGACACGGCTCCCAAGGCTTACCGCATCATAGTGACTGGGAGGTGTTCCTGGGTGTCGTACTGCAATGTACAGCGGAAGGATGCTTACTCCTGATAGGGTTTCCCAAGCTGTCAAAGAGCCCGGCGTTTCCATCAGGAAGCCCAGCTAAGAGTAGACCAATACCAGAATCCACCATCGTCCTGATATCAAACTAGTCGCAGTGGCAAACCTCCCTCTGATCCACAAGGGCTGCGACAGCCTATGATGGTGACGACCTGGGGCAGACTTTGGCCAAACTGACCCCGGGATTCCATGGAAGCACAATGGCTTAATCAGCAAATGTCCGAAAAATGGAGATTATGCTAGGGCCCTCACAACCAGTGAAGACGGGCCATCCAAGTAACTAAGTAAGTATTAATTAACGCACACGTATAGAGGTTCCATTCTTACTCTAATGTATGAGAAACTGTTTAAAAGGCGAAATTTAAAGATGGCCATAACAACTTTGGAATATGTGCACTGGTAAACACCGATTATAAGCTATCGAACTATTTCTCAACCCCTTATTTCTTACGCTCTTAAAAAATCAGTCATAAGAATTGGGAACGCATTAGATATTAAAGCCACTTTAAATCGATTTCGTGAATATTCTACTTGAAACGATGCAATAATAACTGAACATCGAGTGCACACCAAAATTTGGGAACATTAATTAGTGACTTCGAAAGTGATTCCACAAAATACAACTTATCCCTTCTTTTGTCACTTCTTGCTGAGTTGTTCAACCAAAAAGTTGTGTGCAGACACTACAAAAGGTTATTATGAATGGAGAAGTCAAGTATTTTCAATCCGAACGAAGAGTTCTCTAGAAATTGTCCACTATTACTTTTGGCACTGGAAATGATTCTTCTAGACATAGTATGACAATACCCAATTCTTATCCTAATGCTAATATATAAACACAAGGATGGCAGTCTATGCCTTCGATTATGGGGAATCTAAAGTTCACGAGAATCTGAAGTGAGCCCACATGCCTGCATATGGAATTGTTACGTGGAGCCATCTACGTTTTCTTGTTCAGCAATCGCGAGGTTTTTAAACAGCATACATTTACTTCCATAAAAAACACAATACAATACAACACTAGCTGACGTTTCGGCAGTATCGCCTTCTTCAGAGCCGCTTTTTTACGTGACTTCCAATGAGGAAGTTTAGAACAGCTGATTATAGTCGCATATGGTTGACGATGCATATGGAAGTAAATGTATGCTGTTTAAAAACCTCGCGATTGCTGAACAATAAAACGACACATTCATATTACGAAACAGTGTTTATTTGGAGATACCTGTATGTGTGGCTGTCTTGCACCACACTTCAACATACATTAGATTATAAGCAATAAGGGCCACCCACGATTACTGTTTTCCTGAATAGAATTGACGTCTCTCTATTTCTTATAAGCTATGTTAATCACTATAGAAACTCGAACGACTGTGGGAACAACTCTTTGCACAAACTGAAATACAAGCAAAATTTCGGGCCGCAGGTGCGTGAGGTGGGGACCAAACCTGCTATTACTCTTTTCAGGGGCTATCGTTTCCATCATCACACTGTGCGGTCCCTTCATTTCACTTTTCACTCAGCCGTGTTTTAACCTATTGGTGCTATCAGCAACCATCCGTTAACGGGATTGATGTGGGGAGCACAAATCGGCACTGAACCCAGTTACCACGGGGCTTTGTAAATATCTCAGCATCATTGTGAAATATAAACGTTTCCTTCTTCTACCCAAGTATAGATAATAGCCAATTCGCACGAGTGTGCCTGACCTTTATACGAAACGTCTTCAAGTGCGTTAAATAGTTCTTTATAGCAATTTTCCTAAGCTATTTCTTTGCTTAAACTCTCTTCCATTATACAGGAGTTCTAGGGAATAGTGCAAAGAACACAATCATGAGAAATGGTTTCATTACAACAAACGCACAGTTTAAGTGACCGTAATCGCTACGTAATAAGTGATGGGTTACCTGCTCGATCACTTGGTGTCGATCCACGACTCCCCGTCTCGCTCTTCCGTGCCTCGTCATCTTCCAGCTTCTGCTTCTTACGTTTATTCTTTGCTGAACTCGCTTCCTGGATATCAGCTTTTGCTTTAGCGATGTTCGCATCTGTCAATGGCAGAAACATCTCCGAACAGTGCAACTGACGAATTCGTTCGTCATAGCGTTTATGCCATCCCTGATAATGGACAGTGTACACCATTTCGCCATCCTCTTCTTCGATTTCGATGATCTTCGCCTCGTAGAAGAACAGACCATGTTTGCAAAGAACTCTGTCGTTCACCTCGTATCGGTGATCCTTTTTAGGACCCATCTCTAAAAAACGAATTGATTGAAAATCTCATCCACCAAACTGTCAAATATAGGCGAAAAAAGCATATTGAATAAACAAGGTGGAAGGATTGTGAGAAGGATACGTTATTATAAGCTGAACTAGGAACTGGAATGTGTAACCTTTCATTACTTCGGCTTTCATCAGTTATATCCCATATAGCACTTACGTCAAAACCTAAATGACAAGTGACTAACAAGCAAATGAAAGGTTCGTGGACGATCTCACCGAATAAGCCTCATTCGTGCTCTGGGTGAGGCTGACAATCTTTGGGGGAATGTTAAGCGCTCACAAGTCACCCCAGAAACTACTCGTTGGTACTTATCCCACCAGAAACAATAGACATGAAAGGTCTCATACGAAAAAATACAGTCTACTGTTATTCTCAGGTTCTTCGTACGAATAAAAATTGCTGGATACCTCTGCTTCTCGACATGGTGGTTCTACCAATCTCAATCGTGTCTTTTGCTTGGCAAATGATCTAGCAGATAACTCGATTCGAAACAAAAGAACTAGAACAATGCTGTGGAATGCTATGTGAGCTGCTCAGCATCTTAGTCATCGTAGACAAAGCTGTGAAGATCACAATAAACACCTCCAGACTTTATATTCTTGTTTGGCAAAGAATAGGTGTTATTTTATTTCTTTATCACGATGAAGCTGACGTTTCAGCGGATTTCGCCTTGCTCAGAGCCTCGAAAGGTCAATTTGACAGCTCAGTAAGAATATAAAGAACTACTCAATCAATGCCGAGATTAATAGAGAGTCAGCGGTGGGAGCTACTACGGTTATACCTGTTGGAAAATTTAAGGCAGTTCACACTAAAAGTATTCGAAAAGAAGCTCTGTATATAGTAGCACGCATAAAAAACAACTGGAATTCCATTTGGTGACTAAAAAAATTTCTTAAAAATGTTAAAATTTAAACACGTCGATGGTGGGCATCGTCTAGGCTTACGCTTCTTGACGGACCACACGGCACGCACTTGTGCACCAAAGCGTTTTCCTAGTTGTGTTAACAATTTTCCTTAACAATAAGATCTACTTCCACCATTGGAAGTCTTCTCACCGCCGAAAAATACTAGTGTTTGCAAAAGAACTTAACTTAAAGAACACTAGAAGCTGTTTCGACGTCATTTTCTGAGTTCAGTTAGTTGTGTAGAGTGAAAAAACACACAACCGTCCAAATAATGTTAACTTTTTATTTGCTGCCTAGTACAATTTTTCATGGAAGGGTACTCTGTGAAATAGGACCATAGTGATGCTGAGGTATTTGCAAGACTCCGGACCGCAGGTGTCTGCGGTGGGGAACAAATGCGCTATCACCCTTTCCGGGGGCTAACGCGATCACCACCACACCATGCGGGTCCTTCGTTTCATCTATCTCTCAGTAATTTTACGATAAACACCTTACAGACGAATATTTTTATAGCAATATTGTGTTCTGTTCTTATAGAAATAGTTGATGGGACACGAACTCCGAGCCCATCATGAGTCAGTACAGCCTCACACCTCTTGTTGACCGTCAGGACCTCAGTGTCGAATGTATCAATTTGTTAAACCAGGTAAGAAGTGAACTCGCTTAAACCTAATGCTCAGGAAACAGGTTAAAAAACTTGTCTACTTATCTGTACAATGAATACTGTAATTAACCTAACTAGTTGGAAAACCATAGTAACGCAAGACGGCCGGCCATGTACCTGCGCGATCACGCCTGATTTTCGGGGACTATAGGACTGACAGTTTTCTAGCAATAGACAATAATTTTGCCATAGTTAAAAGAACTGAGGGATTATGAACAAGAGTTGATTGTAGAACAGACTTTGTTCTATCGTTGAATAGGTACAAATGGTACTCACGATGCCATTTACTTTGTGTTACTATGATCCATTATGAAAACACACTGCCGTCGGCATTCAGAAGCATTTCGCGGCTTATTTTGACCCAGTTTCGGTGTTTTTATACCACGTCGTTCTATGCGACCTTGTGATTCGCTGCCGCAACTAAAATTGAAATAGTAGTCGATTACTACCGAAATTTCTGGTCGTACAGAGTAGAGCTTTTTCCGAGCAACACCCGAAACAACATCTGTTGTTCTACACACCACCGATTTACTATGAAAAGTGCGGAACAAGAAATCAAAAGAACGTGCGCATTGAAATCAACATGTATGGTCCGAGGAATCCGTCAGCGAATTCGATGCGTTGTCCAGAAACGAAGGGAGCTGAATACCATATCACCACCTGACTGCGTATTAATAATTCTATAGTACCTCAGAAGACTATCCTTTTGTGGTGAAAACATTTAATGAAAATGTGAACAACTTTGATGTTCTTTAAAATGTTAAAAGTTTAGAATTTTGTAGGAATGGCCTCGAAGTTATACTGCACGAGAACATTCACAAGCGAAATCATCCCGCTCAACTCCACCGATGTCATTCCTTCTTATACAAAATGACACTGACAAACTGATTGGACATGCACGGCTATGTCTTATTCCAAATAGGTATGTCTACTTGAAGAAATTTCTACACCTGTAACATAGCCCACCATAGTTGCAACCCTTTCCACATAATGTTTAACGTTTTGTTTTCTGCCTTCTATAATTTTCATGGCAGGTTACTAAGCGAAATACAACCACAACGTTGCTGAGATATCTGCAAAACTCTGGAGCGCAGGTGTCTATGGTGGGGAACGAACGAGCTATTGTCCTTTCCGGGGAGTAACGCGTTCACCACCATACCATGCGGGTCCTTCGTTTCGCCTGTCTCTCAGCTATTTCTATCCATCTTTTTTTCGAGACAGGCGAAACGAAGGACCCGCATGGTATGGTGGTGAACGCGTTACTCTCCGGAAAGGATAATAGCGCGTTCGTTCCCCACCATAGACACCTGCGGTCCAGAATTTTGCAGATATCTCGGCAACGTTGTGGTTGTATTTCACTTAGTAACCTTTCCACATAGTTCTTTTGCAAGGATTTTACCGTGCTGGTCAAGAATACAGGCCGGATTCCATGCTTATGTGATCAAAATATTAAAAAAATACCAGAAAGGCGCAAAACGAGGTTGATAGAAACGTTGACTCCAAATCTCGTACAGACCTAATTCGTGCTGGATAGAATCTGTGATTGTGACGAAGGATTGTCGAGGCGTTGGACTGGGGAAACTCCTTATGGCGTCGTTGGAAGATGCTGCGAAAAGTTTCGGATTCAAAGAGGTATGATGTAACAAATTAACTTGAAATGTATACTTTTTGTACCGTTGACTGGCTAGTTCTTACTGCGTCGTTCTTCCTTCCATATACACATAATCATATTCATTAACTCACCGTTGCGTGTGTCTCCAAATAAGGTATAAAGGATAAAGGGTGAAGCTTTCTTGATCAATCCGTGAGAGCTGCGCCATGTATTCGACTTCAATAATGATCGTTGGAGGTGATTGAATGCATATCTGGCCTTTACAATGACCCGCGTTGGTCTACCGATGTATCGAGCTAGTGCCGCTATCCTCCCAGAGAAGTCTGAAACCAACTGACCGAATCCGGAGGGATGGAAGGCTAGGTGAGTTTGGGGAGCGAGGAACGATCCCATTTGTACTGTAGACTATGACCACTGCGCTACACACGCCTCGCAAATAGAGTAATGCACATTAATTCGGCGAAAGATTTGAAATCAAAAGACGGTGATGTATATGAGAAACGGTTCGTGGTCCTCTCCAAAAATAAGCCTTACATCTACTCTTAGAACGCCGAACAACTATGTGTACCAAACTCCCGCAGTGAAATCCGGCAAGCTATCCATGGCTATTTGTTGCACGAAAACGTGATGTGGAAGTGAGATGAATTCTGTGCCCGAAGGAGCCTTTGGTAAGGAAAGGTTATATACGGATATGGAGAGGATGATGAAACCAGAAGGCAGTTACAACCTTCCAAAAAGTTCCCAGTGAAGATTTGAATTTAAGATCAGATTTATTTGTTTTACTTAATAAGATTTTCACTGCAAGCTTATTAAGCTGAAAGTTATCGGATTAACCTGCAGAAGGACAGACTACTCGGTAGACATTATTTATGACACTGAAGAAGTTGTGTTTATATTGTTGAGCTTACACGAGGTTGGCAAAGATGTTTAGTCGGCTAACGTTTCGACGGTTTCATCTTCATCAGAGTCGATGACCTGCGTCGATGGTCCACAGTTGTTCATCTTCTCGATGTGGCGTCTTCATCTTCGTATCGAGTTGGAGCCTCCCCAGAAGAGCATCTCTCGAATGAGGCACACTCAGATGCTCTTTTTTACAGGACGGTTGTTATCGATAGCGCTGACTGTCCGGTGATAACCACTTGTTTTTCTCCGCCAATCCATCCTGCAGAAATCGGTGTCATTATCAGCAAGTACAGAGCGTGACACTGAGTAACTGTTCACCATACAATGCAACAGTGGAGAAGTTGGTGCATATTGATCTCTGCTCCGTTGTGTGTCATCAATAGGCACTTCATTCTTGGAATATTAATTAACTGAACCCGAGATTTCTAAAGTGATGTGGTCCAATGCCGACAAACACAGTCCTCATCGCTGAAACACCAAGAAATGTGCGATGTCAAGTCCATCTACAAACATCTGAATATTTCTTAGAAGGAGAATCATCCTTTCGTTGGTATGGACTATATCACTGCCAATTTATTTATTTTTTATTTTACTTGATCCGTCTTCACGTCTACTGTGCGGATCCCAGCACTTCTCACATTCGATTCGTTTCCTTGCATCCATTGTCCACGAAAATCTTCCAACTTTCACGCGTGGCTTCGGTTGGTGCTTGAGGATTTCCGTTTCATCTTGAATGTTGTAGAATGCTGGTTTAGCAATTCTCCTTGTGGTTCTGAGCCGAGGTAGAGCGTTCCCTATTGGATTGCAGACAGCGATTTTTTCCCAGACAAGTCCGGTATCAATTTCCCGACCACGGGGAATGAGAGGCCTGGTTTACCCCGAGAAGCATCAAACTAGCCTGTTGCTCGTGATGACGGACATCACTACCACTGTGCTGTCCGCCCCTTCACTGCCAATTAGTTTTGTCTATCTTATGCCCCAGAGTTCTAAATGGGACCGAGTATTACTTTCCAACCCAATTCTTCGTTTTCCTGTCTTAAGACATAAATTTATCGACAGTCAACATTGAAAAGGAACACATCCGGTTAAATAGACAGTTTCACGGCAATACAAGGGAAAGCTAAGAGTGAAGGCCACGAAGAATCGTTTATCTGCAGAAACTAGACTATGTGGTATTTTAAAACAGTATCAAGAGAGTGGTCACCAATAAAAGGAAATGTAGTCAAGTACTAAATCCCTCGAGGAGTATTTTATTCCACTTTTCGAGAAGAAATCGGATGTTCCGAGCTGTATAGTCGAAAAGTCAAAAATGAAGGACGCTACTCTATATGGAAAAGATTCTGATACTCAGATAACCTGGAGACGTCACTGATCATAATCACGATTGCTGTATAGAAGCAGTTAGTGACTGGATTCTATGAGTAGGCAAGCCCATATCAGCGATAGACACGACTGTCCAGATGGCTAGATTTCTTTACTAAGACTCTAAACGGAAAAAATGAGGCTCTTTGCTTTCCTTAGTTAGACAGAACCCACCCATTATGATAAATACGAATGGAGGAATATTGTGCTAGATAACAGCAGTAATATACTGGTTCAGGTCTACCTTTGTACGAAGAATGAGGTAATTTTCTACGAAAGATGTGGATACGAGAAGTGTGATCCGATTTTGCACTCGACAACGGCGACGTCTGCCTTTCCTGCAATAGTGGCCATTCAGGTATTTATCCTATTTTTGATTCGAATATCGGAAAACTTTAGATCCATCAAAAGCTTTCCGGAAGCTGCAGAGAAGTGCGTTCCGACTACGCCAATATTGTTAATGATTTGATGCAGCTAATTCTAGGAATCCAAATCGAACGAAGAAGGATTAGGAACCAGTGCCATACCATTGCAGAATGGTGTTGTTCAGAGGAAAACACCAGATTCAGAGATGTCACCACTTTTACCTGTTCCACCACCTCCTCCACTTGATCTCAAAAAGTCTCTTTCTAAGCCTTTGTCAACCTCAGACCATCAGTGTATGTGGAAAAAGCTGGACTAATGTTTTCTTGCACTGTACCAGCAGCTACGAAGTTACCACCGTTTTCCACCTAAGAGCTGAATTGACTAATGGATACGATGATTCAAATCCAGTATCCAATCTGAACATGGTGGAAGGAAAAGGTTTAGGTCATTATAGTTGCTATCTTATTAGGTAAAGCTATGTTCGGGCCGAGTTATATCGCCCCAAACTTGCTGACCAGAATCTCCTACTTTTCACGAATCATTACAACAATTAATATATTATGTTTGATCTAACACTGGAGGGATAAAATACCACAGGGTGAACCAGAAGTCTTCCGAATATTGATCCTGTGTACCCTTTTATAACAGACCTCTTTACGGTGAAGCAATCTAAAGATTGCGATAGCTTAAGCTTACGTAGGAAATGAGTATTCTGGATAAGAACATTGTAATTCAGTTCTTTTATGAGCTGTTCTAGATTCTTAACGCTTTTTCAGCAAGAATCAATGCCATACTGACTACCTTGTTCAGTCTTTATGGTCAAAGAAAGAACAAGTGTATACGAGGTAGCTTAACAGTTTAGAGGAGGCGATGTTGGCCACAGCGATTCGCAAGTGACAAACCAACCCAGGGGAACTCATCATAGTATGCACCAAACCATAAGCCCTTAAAGCCTATTGCCACTATACTGACATACTCCACTGCTTTTAGGACATACCTTGTGTCGCAAACCAAACAACATGTATTGGTCCCAATACATGTTCCTTATAACTGTTTCTCTTCTGTCGCATAAACTTTAGAACTAGTTGCTTTCCTAAGACAAATGTCCCATTCGGCGGGATGCGAGAAAAGTTGCTTTATGACAGTTGCAATGTAATAGAACAAAGCTTAAAACTGCAATATATATAAGGAACAGTTACTATGACGAATTTATTCAAGAAATTACTGCCCGTACTCAATAGAGTAATAAAGACTTAAAAGAAGACATCGAAATCATGGATGTAAGTAAAAACAGTAAAAACACAGCTCAGTAAAAGTATCAGTTTGGTCAACAAATGAAGGAAATCCCATGTAACGATAAGACAATGTCGATTTTGTGAGATTCTACAACAGAAAACTCTAACCACAGTCAGCGCATTTTGCACCAGGAACTACACCGAGTGTGAAACTTCTCATACAAACCAAGATTATCAAACTAGAATACCAATGGTTACTTATTACCAATGAAAAAGTACACAAACAAAATAAAACTATCCTTAAGGACGATAGGGTTATATCGATACTTTCACATGTATCATCACTGGCAAGACAAATTGCACACGGTGTACACGACAGTTCCAAACCACAAATGATCTTGTTCATACTTCTCGAGATTAAAATATGGTGTGTCCTAGATTGAAACGGTATGGAAGCTCATTACAAAACTAATGAAGGTGGGCACTGATGCAGCGGGATACTTTCTACTCAAAATCCGTATAAACGTACTTCAGCCTCATTCATGTGAAAACCCAATTAACAAATGGCGCCAAGACGAGTCATATATCACTCGTTTTCCTTCTAGGTATTTATTCTGCCACCACTGTTACTTTGCTACATTGTTGTCGCCCAAAAGAAAAACTATTTTCTACTCCTAGTAGTTTACAATGAAAAATCTCTCTTGGACGAATTTCTTCGACCGCATTGGGAGATTCTGCTGAGGATCAGTAAGACATTCTAACGAAGACATGGAATACGCCCTCATTATCGTGTTTCCATACGGAGTATGTCTAAGGAGATTACACATTCTCATCTTCGTCGTTCTCAAATATCGATGGAGAAACTGTATGTGAAAATGCCTACACAATATATGTTGCAAAATCAACTACCAAGAACTGCTAATTCTCTAAGATAGTGATTTATCCATTGTGGTCAAATTCAACCAGATAGCATGCTTGGCGGAATCGGTATTACACCCACACCTACTCCTCCTTCATGTGATCCGAGCGGCGTTGACAGCTCCCATTGATCTGTCTCTTCACGGTACACCTCCATCGACGAAAGATTTGACATGCCATCGTATCTAAAAATAAATTGTAGAAACGAGAACTCTAACGGTTGCAGGAAATGCACCCAATAAACCACTCGCAAAATTTTGCTCTATTTTCTAGTTTCGACGGCAAGTGCTACAAACTTTGGACGCTAGTATGAATCTCGCGTTTTTTAAGGAGCTATTAAGTTTAAACTGCGAAATGGAAATACGCGAAACCTATGAGAACGAGCGTGACTATGAGTCAACATGTAAGCAATACGATCACGATCCATAAAGAGTCCAACTTCAACAGATGCCTGTGATACATCCAAGTTATACCGTATCTCTAAGATATTTCTCCACACACCTTGTGAAGTTCGCACTCAGTCAAATGGTTGTAGTCTCTTTCACTATCATCTAACGAAGAAATACGGATGTAAGTAAAACGGAATTTTCGACGAATGAAGAAGAATAACATACCCGGCTATCGCGTAGATTGAGTTTGCATTTGATACCAATGACACCCTACTGCGCTTAATGTTCATTGGCGTCACTGGCGACCACTGCATTGTCTTCGGATCAAAGCACTCAACACTATTCAGAAACTGCGCACCGTCGTAACTAGATTAATATACATTTGAAACTGAATTAGCAAAACAAGAACTTATCCTACTACATATTTGTGTACCATTATTATCTAGTTAGTACTAGATTCTACTTAAGCAATCAAAAGCAACAAAAACTTCTCTATGACCATAAATAAGAGCGCGTGTAGAGCAGTGGTCATAGGCGTCCTGCAATACACGTAAGATCGATCCCAGCGTTCCAGGTTCACCAAGTTTTCCATGCCTCCGGGGTTGGCAAATTGATACCATACTTGTCTGAGAAGATAGCAGCACTGGTTCGATACATCAATAAGCAATACCGTGAATCACTGTATCAGTCAAATATGCACTCGATCACCTCCAACGATGCTTAATGACGACGAGTGCGAGGCGCATCCTTCAGGGAATGGTCAACGCCGAGAGCACCACTCTTTTCTAATCAAGATCTTGGGTCACCACAAAGACAAGGAAAAGAAATTAGAGATCTATATTGAAATTTAGCTCAGCAGAGGCAATTATGTGAAAAAAAAATAAACAAAGGCAAATCGTAGTCCTACAAGCCCACCCTCCGCATACGTAAATTTTCCCGTTCAAAGTTGCTGCACCTAATCGACATCGCTTCGATAGCATTGGTGGTACAGCCTCCCACTGACCTTTCTCAGCAGAAAATCGCTCCACCGAAGAAAAGATCGACATTCCATCGTGACCACCCATGACTAGAAAAATAGTCTTTCGAGAAATTGCTACTTCAAAGAATAGTGGTAAATTTTAAGAAAAAACCTCTAGATATCAGCAACACTATCTACTGACCATATAAATATCCATCCAGTACTGCCACTCCAGCTGCGCTTCGCTGTTTTGTCATAGCCTCACCAAGTTCCCATGTGTTCTTTTTCGGGCAGTAAACCTAAAATAGCATATTAAAAAAACAAAGCTCTTAGCGTTGATCAATTCCTTAGGGATGCCCCTTGCATTCGATTTCATTAAGCATCGTGTGGAGGTGACTGAATGCATATCTGGCCTTTACAATGACTCGTGGTGGCATACCGATGCATCGAATCAGTGCTGATATCCTCCCAGAAAAGTCTGGTACCAATTTGTTGACCCGGGAGGGATGGAAGGCTTGGTAAACCTGGGGCGCGAGGACCGATCCTATGTGTATTGAGGGCGTCTCCGACCACTGTGTTACATTCGCTCTTTATAACACATTAATAATAAACAAAAATAACATGATACCTGCGTAAATTATAAGGAAATTAGTTGTAATTTATCTAATGATAGTGACGTCAACATGCTGCTCACCTCCACTGTTGCAAGACTTGTAATACCATCATAACCACCACACACATACAGCTTATTGTTGTAAAATGCAGCGGCAAGAGCTGAACGCTTCTTTGTTAAAGGAGCAACCTGTAGATAGAACCATAATGCATAATTTTCTAGGAAACAAATGACTAAATCTTCACCGGTGTCCACTCGTTTTTATTGTAGTCATAAGATTCAACTATTTTTAGGCGATCGTGCCCATTGAATCCACCGATAGCGTAGATCTCAAAAGATCACCATTGTGCTTCCATAGACTTAACGAGAAAAAAGAGTACCTTGCGATCATGTACGGCGATTCCCACTCTCGATCGGAAACTTGTCATCGATTTTACGGGTGACCACCGTTCTGTTATTGGATCATACATTTCCACAGTTGACAGTGAATCGCCACCGGTTGAAAGACCACCTTAAAGCAGATATCCTACATCACATATTCAAAAATATGAGCAAATCAACCTGCCTATTGCAAACATAAGTCCAGGAACGTCATTACAACACCGAGCCTTTGTTCGAAATGTACGTAAATACGGTCGTCTTTCAGGAATTAAATGATAGTCCTTTGCTTCATCCACCTAGGTATTCTGCCATCTGCCATAAACAAAGTATATTTGAAGTAACAATTTTAACTTATTATTTACTGCCTACTCTTTTTAACGGCAGGGTACACATTGTGAAATATAATTTCAATGATGCTGAGATATTTGCAAAACTCCGCACCGCATGCACCTGCGATCCGGAGTTTCGTAAATATCTCAGCATCATTGGGGTTATATATTTAAAACAAATAAACATCTTTTGAAAATAAGTTTAAGAAAATCGAACTGCAAATGGAAACCGAACTTACAAGATCCCTACAAGCTAGGTCTCCACGGATTAACTGATGTCCAGCAACTTCATCAGCTAAGAACGATGGCTTCAGAAGAGGAAGGCGTACACAGGCAAGGATTCTAAAGTACAGCAGCGAACAGACAATTGGATTGACAACTGCGTTTTAAATAATACATTTGCAGTCCTACATCCAATGGTATACTACCTCAATGCAGGAAGCAAAGGGTGTTTCTGGATGTCAAACTACAGGTTCTGCGAGAAAGTGCAGTCATAGAGTGACGGCCCTTCCTCGAGTCCAAAGGCAAGCCAAGCCGCTTGTGGTGAAGAGCTTGTAACCATTGGTACGGATTTTTCGGGATTCCAGCGAAAAAACACCGAATAAGCAAGACTGAGGTAAGATAGAAAACGTCCTTAAGGCCATACTAGTCATAGTGTTAAATTTATTCATTGCGTAAGAGCAACACTATTATTTTGGTTGATATGCTCTATACTAGGTCTCTTTCAACCCTTGTAAACTCAAATTTAAATAAAGAAACATGGCACCAGCCACGAAACCCTTTAAAAGACTTCATTATTACCTAGAAGCAAATTTCTTCCTCTTATCACCATCACGCTGAATCCAACGTAATGCTGCTTCAAATACCTCCTCTTCTGATTCCACGTACAGCTCGTCCATGGACAATAGATCTACCACTTCCTCTATAGAAAGTTGAAGAAATTCTTCGCTACGGCTCACTGACATAAAATGTTTTTGCACAAAGCGATCCGCAGCCAAGACAACAGATCTAAATCGCACTTGAAGAACATTTTTCAACACAGGAGAATCCAATTCTTAAACAATTACAACTTACTTACAACCAAGAGCCAAACAAAAAGCTCGGATAGCTAGAGCGTTTGATGGATGTAACCGTGTTTGGAGATATTCCGCACATTTGTCAGCAACACCATCGAGCTCAAAACAGATTGTAAGTGGAAAAGTGGGCAGAAATGCACTGCTTTCCTTGTAGGACCATTCGGACTTCGCAAGAATGTCAGAAAATCGCCTGATTTGCAAATCACACAGAAGTGTTCTAATCGTTGTCAAAGGAGATGTCAATGAATACATCGAAAAAAAACTTTGTTTTGGCTTTTTTTCCAAACGTGAAGATGATTAACTCCTCTACTTCTAGTTAACTGGTACTAAACTAACTTTAAAACCATGAATGCAACAAAGTTCTGACAGAAATGCAATTTTGAGAGTTATTCTTGAAGATTACCGAAAAGAGGGTACTTTTACAGAGATTTTTTCTTTCTGAAAAATATAAATTACTTCAAGGAGAGTGCAGAAATCCAAACAACGCTGTGTTACTACTGACGTTAAAGATAACGCTAGGAACTCATTTACCTGAAGAAAATTTGCACCAATCATTATGGACTGTACATTTCCTGCAGATATTCGAAGCTCTCCACTGTAAGCGAAAGACACTAGTTGTTCAAGAGTGTCGAAATCCAGATCTAAACTTAGATGACAAAGCTTCAATGTCACATTTCTTCAATGTCTCTCCGAAATAACAAACCCTGAAGAACAACTTGAGTCTGATTTGCCTCCAACATATCCGTGGTGAACATTATACGGAAATATGGTACTGAAGCGGCTAGAACAACCTAAAATCAAAACTGTCATGAGCAGAGAAGATCTTCAACTATAAAAACTTGTAAGTGGAAAAGGAAGTGATTCAAAAAAGTGATCTACAACCCAACGGTTCAGTAAAGCACAATGGCGATGTGTTCCTAGCTACAAGATAAAATGTACAATAGAAAGTTCATCCCTCAGGATAGTCATGAGAAGATGAAGAGAGTAAGACATTGCCGCCTAGGAGCTCATCTACGAATGAACTAATGTTAGGAAATGCGCGGCCCTTTATAAGGTAGTCTTAAGACCCATACGGGCTAGTGACTACCTACGCTGATGACACGGGAAGGGTTTGGTATGTTTTTCTCGGGATGTCAAGGAAAATAATCTAGGACAATCCTTAACATATGTATCTCAGTCTTTCAGTTAACTCACTAAAATAAGCATGTCACAAACAGACACTTCACCTTATGCGCGTTAATTTTTCTGCCTTCCACAACAAGCACAATGTCGCACAATTGACCACTGCGTCGAAGGTCATTAAGGCTACTGAAAGCCTGGAAACTAAACAGAATTATGAAGAAACGTCTACATCTTCAAAATTAGACAGACATGACCTAATGGTAGCGGGAAAAATTTTAGGCTTTCAGCTTCAAACAAATATGGAAATTACAAACAGCTCTACCAACTTAATTACTTAGATACTTGGACGGCCCATTCTTACTGCTTTTGTGGGCGCTAGGAAAATTTTCACATTTCGGCGTTCCTTCTCAGTTTGAGAGGCCCTGCCAGGGAGATGAATCCGCCCGCTATACATCGCAGCCCAACATCCAGGGCCACCTCCCAGCCACGATGGGGCGGTAAACCGTTGGGAGGAATCATCTTTGTTAAACAGCACGAAAACCATAAGAATATATAGGCAATAGTCAACAAAGCTTGGCTAATTTCCCCGAAGAAATCACGCGTTTCTGTAGTCTATAAGTCCTTTTTGCCAAAACTAGAATCAACCACCTTTTACCACCCTAACTAGGCCATCTTGAGGCAGACTTTAGCTAGGCTGACCTCGAGACTCTAGAGAACCACAATGGTTGATCCACCAAAACTCCGAAAAAGTGGAAATCATACTGGGGCCGGCACAACCAGTGAAGACGGGCAATTCAAGTATCCAAGTAATTAAGAATAAAAACTACAACACCTGTGAGAACAGAGACTGCTTGTGGTCGATACAGACAACATCGTCATCGTCTTCAGTGTTTAACGTGAACCGTAAACCAGACACTGAAACAAAAAACTAAGGAAAAATTAAACGAGTCTGAATCACAGTCCCAATTTTGTTGAGACACAAAAATCTTAACCTTTTAGTAATTCAGAACACATTGCTAAGCAAACGTTGTAATGGTACCCAACGGCATTCACTGCCCTGTAATCGAAATAGTTTATGAGATACGCAAACTGTAGTGACAAAGCTACAAAGAGTGGAGATTAGCAGTTAGGAAATCAGCAGGATATGAAGAACATTTCATAGTAAAACTAGTTCATGTGTACTTTTGACTTTGAAGAAGTAAACGAGCTTAACACGAGAAGAGCAAATGAGTTAACTAAAGTAGCAGAGGCTGGAAAGGTTGAGGACTACCACCGTTCGACTTCGAGCGAGCGGCCATTAGATCCAGGATATTGGAAAGCACTTTTACGACTCGTGTGGTGGTAATTTTCATAGCCATGTCTATTTGCTATTGCATTAGCTTAAGGAGAACCTAGGGGATCCATAAGCCGCCCACATCTTTCCAGACTCTTGTATGGAGTTTCGTCATTAAGGAATTATGTACCAACACTCTCACAAAGAACTACACCCGAGCACTTGAGCAACCTACCACTAGTAGTTAAAGACATATCTGCTTTGGTATTATGTTAACTATTAGCGTGCAAAGTCTCTGGTTAGTGGATGACCAGTGGTACCATTCTCTTATAAAAGGAGCGAGATTTAATCTGCATCGGCAACTGCTCCCCAGTTTGTACGTCGTCCATTAAACCGCTTATCCGTAAAAAACCACCTATATGGACTATACCAAATCTCTGTCCTTTTCCGAAAACTGACGCTACTGGATTTCTATTAACCAAGCATTTTGTACTCTGAAAGTTAATTAAAAATCATAACACCTGGAAACCTGGTGCGTGATTTCTTTCGCTAACGACAACAGTTCTGAGGTTTTCAGCTATTGGTGGGAGATAAACAAAAGCTATACGAACAGACGACAACCACAGAGGAATGCATAGGCCGGACCAGATAGTTTAGCTCATGTCCCGTCATAAAAAAGAGCGCGCCTGAAACTTTGGTGTCCACTGCATTATCAATATTACATTCATTTAACATATTCAGTATCAACCATTTCCCTTACAACAATCTTCACAACTAATTCAAATAAAACTCATAGAAAACCCCGAAATAGCGTGTACATGGATCCCTGGTTGGTCCACACAGCAGATCACACGTTTGGCTCACCGTTAGTGAGCAGGGAAACTCGTCCGTTCGGCAACACCCAACTGGTGGTACTCCTCCGGATCGACAAAGTGGCGGTGATGAGCCGACAATTTTCTCATGATCCGAGACACATCACATTCTGTGTGTTAGCCTGGGATTTAGTAGATATGTAACAGAAAGATACCAGTTTTATTCGACATGTTAAACGTTGTAATTAGAAAAGCACCAATTATTCTGATTCATAAAGCTGAAATAAGCATAGTGTTATAGTAACTAACTCTTTATAACTGACAAAGATGCAGAAAAAAACAAGAACTACATAATGTAAAAATCTCTGTTAACAAACACCAGAACATACAAGTGAAATGAGATCGATTTCCCAAATATCATCTATATATTACAAAGAAAGACAGGTCAAATAAGTATATGTGACTTAGAGACCACATAGTTACACGGAATCCGGTGAGAAAGACTGATAAAGTGAGGAGTACTCGTAGAAGAAATCTCTAGCGATTTCACTCACATGGAGGAGGATGTTTGATTATCACATGTTGTTGCAAATCGACTAGGAAGTCATCGTGAGTGAACAGCTCTCGCAGCGAGTCGAACTCCAACAAATGGTCCCATTTTTTTTGCAACTCCTAAAGTAGAACGCTCGATTTATTTTCAATAGTAAAATGGTCTCTACGCGAGGAAAAGGGACTATGCTTTAAAACAACAGTTCCACTGAATGTATTCTCTTTACTTCAATTTAAAAAGAGTTAAAAAAGGATGCGGATCACTGGACTTAAGTATTATTTTGGAACAAATATTCACTCAACGTAGTCAACTCACACGTCGCTTCTTCTTTGCAATATCCTTTTTGCATCGACGCTGGCTAATTAGCTTTACCGCTAAATAATGAAGCCAGAAGCAATTTGATTTCGGAGTAAACGACAGCCAGTCCCCTCTGAAACAAATATTAAATGACTGTGCTTGAAAGACGGCAAACTGCTACCTTATGAGAAATCAGTCACTAGCAACATACTGATTTGCATTTCTCATCAACCTGTAGATATCGAACTGATAGTCTCCGTTACCAGTAAACAATTCCTCGTCATCTTCGAGATCACGAAATACAGTTGTCCCTTCTGAAATCATGAAAACATATGCCAAAACAACATAGTCGTTGTTTGCCTTCGTGTTTAGTTATACGCATGAAATACAAAAAAAAGCTCTCGGTGTTGATCAATCCCAAAGGGATGTGCCATATGTTCGACTTCGGCAAGCATCATTAGAGGTGACTGAAGGCACATTTGGCCTTTACCATGACTTGTGGTGGCCCAACGATGTATCGAGTCAGGGCCGCTACCCTCCCAGACAAATCTGGCACCAATTTGCCGACCTCGGAGGAATTTGGGCACGAGGATAGATCCCATTTGTATAGCAGAGCGCCTCCGACCACTGCGCTACACGCGTCCGTTGTGATGAAATATAAAGCTTCATTTATTCTAATACTCAGCAGCTGTTATATTTGCGGTACACATACAATTCCTTCGGGATGCCAATGGGAATTGCGTGATAATTTGGACAAATAATATGGACAAGAGAGAAGCAAGATTTCTAACTTATGTAGGCGTGGTTGGTAGCAACTAACTGGGTTGTAGTTCAATTGTTTGTTACATGTGAGGTTGGAAAAAATACTGTTTTTACAACGAAGCGATAAAACGAACCTTTACTCATGCGGCTAAGGGTAAAATCAATCAGATGCACTTTGACGCCATAGGAACGGAGGACCATGTCCCCACCAGAAAAGCGATACCTTAGAATTTTCCATACTGTGAAAGACATGAGAATATAATGTGATTTTTAAAGCCAAATGTATCAAAGAAATAGTCAGCTACGCCACATACTGTGAACCACTTGAACCTCACAATCACTTTCAGTGCCAGAAAAAAAGAAAAAAAATCATATTTAATGCTTAAGACATACTCCAGGTTGTCATCGTTTTCAACTACCAGCACATTTCCGACATGCAAGTCACGGTGTTCAAATTCCAGACGTTCTTCCGCGACGACCAGAGAGATGGCAATTTGGAACAACACCGATAGCACTTGGTTTTCGTTTGCCAGCTGCAACAAGGAGAGTTATGCACAGACGAACAGCTAAGTGTAATAGAACAAGATCAATGTAAAATTGCTCGAGTTTCCGATAAAGATTACCATGCGTCGAAACTAAGTTACCTGGTAGTGCTCCAGATCAACACCACCCATAGCCATTCCAATGGCAACGAACAGCTGCTGCTCACTAGCATATTCCGAGGGTCGATCGTTCTCTGACTCATAAGCATTATCATACTCATCCCAAGCCGCCAGAAACTCCTCAGGATATAACCCTGAAGCAAGTCTTGCTATGCACAATGCACAAACAAAAGCGAATTATAAGAACTACACCTTTAACGACATTAATTTTTAATAACTGGATGAAATTCGGTGTACTGAAGTCTTGCGATAGATCGGACAACGCCGATAATTCACGATTTATAAGAATCTGAAAAGAAACTTAATTAATGAACAGTTCAATACCAGGAGCATTGGAGGTGTACGAGTGAGGAATTTTCTTTTGGTGCGACCAGTATAGGATTTTGCTCAACAATAGTGGATTCGAAACTGGTAGAAGATTTTCACTATTGAGCAGTTATTCTTTTCTGCCGTAGCAGAGCACCAATTTTTTCTCTGTCTTACTCGAAGTGCTCTATTACTATGTTCTTTACATGGAATCGTTCAGAAACTTGTAGACAAGATACGCAACATACGTTGCTTCATAATGGACGACGCTGCGACAAGTTAATTTCTTCGAACATAGTGGAAAAGTGGAAGATGCTTCGCCTTAGTGGCTTAATTTTTATCTCTGCAAATCTTTATACGAACTACAAGAAGAAAACCTCAGGAAGGACACCGGCTGCATCAAGCAAATACTCGCCGTTCACTTTCTCCTTGTAAAAAACATCACCGTCGCAAAATGGGATTACCTATGAAAAGAGATAGTATCAACAAAACCAGTGTGAAGACAGTTTAATATGAATGAAGAAAGGAAACACCTTGAGGGCAGTAAGTTGTCCGTTGTATTTGGTCGCAAATACTTCGCCGTACACACCCTCACCAAGTTTACGTGGGTTATCAAAAACACTAAAAAATTTACCTAAAGCGCCAGTGAAACATACAAAAGCACGAAATTATATGAGTTGTAAAGAATACTCTTTCGGCAGGTCTCTCCATTCTATCACTTGAGCTTGTTCTATGATGAAAAGAAGTTGTAACAATGGTGTATTAGTACCACCAAAGTGAGGATAGTTGTTCAAATAATAGGGAATATCGATCTAAAATAAAGCTTCAGATAAGCAAACCATGAAAAAGGAATTCCACAAAACCAAAAAAGTTTTTTAAAACAACTACTCACAAAAGATTCGTTCCTCAGATGAGAGACGCTCCTATAAGTGTTGCTGACGGTCATGTTTGCAGTAACGTTACGTTCCATAAATTTCTCCGTGTTCTGCAATATGTATATAATCTTTGGAACAGAGCTTAAAGTCGAGCTATTATGCAATTAAAGCTCACTTTACTCAAGTATCGAAAAAAAAACGAAACTAACTGTGCATTGAAGCTCTCCTTCTTCTGCCAAAGTAAGTCCGTTATCACACGAATCACTACGCTCTAACACTCCAGAACAAATTGATCCACAACATGAAAAACAAGCCTATTTATACCAAAAATCTGTAAGGAACACTGTTTAAAAAAGTGCTCTGAACATCCATGTTAAAAATAATAACAGTAGTCTGCTCTACTGTCCCATTGTGGTCCAAATGTATACCTGGTTTTAGAGCTACGATTAGCACAGGTTTCCACCCTCCCCCTAGCCTAGGTGACTCTGACTAGTTCAAGTGTTTCGTATTGATACCCACAGTGAAGTAACTAAAACATATCAATCAAAAAATAGATGTTCTTACCATCAATGGAAGTCTCCGCTTCCTCCTGCGTTACGTTTAGTTCTACGGGAGGTTGTAAAATACTGATAGTGAGATTAGCAAAATTGTTGAAAATTGACGAAGAAACGGGTTCACCAATATTAGAACTATCTAAAGCATTGAATCGAGTTTGATTTTTTAGAAAAGCAAGTAAAAAAGGATTTGAACACTACTAGAAATGTCATGGATTTACTTCTAGATCTCATGTGCATAATACGTGATTTTGTCCTCATTGTTACGTTATTCCACCGCGGTGACAAACCGAACGAATGCGGACCATCTATACAAATATATCCTAATGACACTTCACAAATACGATTAAACCGATTGAAGTAAACCAACCTCCAGCTGATTCCCCTTCATTTCCGTTCAACAACGTCGTCACGAATTGCTCTTGCAAGATATTTTCGTTCCCATAGTTCTGAACAGCGGTACTATTTTGTCCCAAAGGTACTCTAAGGATGGAAAACTGTTTACTACACAACTATTGAAAACACAAAAGAAACTTCGTACATCACCGTCCATGCGCATTAAGGTTAAAAATCTAACAAAAACTTGAGAAACTTCCTGCCTACTCGAATTATATAATTGAACTACACCGTTTGCGACATAATCGCAGGTTTTTAAGTTTTAAAGTTTAAATACCTCGACTTTTTAAAAGAAAAATTGCAGTATATTCCGTATATCACACGTGATTGCATTTCACACTATTCAATTAGTATATTCTTCCGGGTTCTTCAACATTCCAGAGGTAACGATGAAGATCTTTGTTTTGGTAGACATTAAATAAACTCACTGACCACAGCGAAACGATCTAAAATGCACCTGAGCTGCCATCTTCTCCACCTTCTGCAGCTCTTCTTCAGTAAGTGGTGTTGATTGAGCTTGTGGAAGGCACGTCTTGCAATATTAATAAATGCGAGAATCTAAGATTGAAAACGATATCCATCTAAAGTGGAAAAAATATACCGGAATCGGAAAAGCGCTGGAATTTAATTCTTCGACGTTTTCCACAGCTGTGAGAGGAGAAAAAGAGAGGAATTCGTTTGAGTGGAAGGATAATGTTTTCCCAAAACTACCTGTAATATAGTTATTTTTATCTACTACTTATAGCGGGGTATGATGTGAAATGTAACCACAACGAAATTGAGATATTTGCAAAAATTCAGATTGCAGGTATCTGCGGTGGAGATCGAACTCCCTATTACCCTTTCCGGGTGCTAACGCGTTCACCACCATGCGCGCCTTTCGTTTTGCCTTTCTCTCAGTCAGTTTTCCATTTTATTCTATTACTACAGAAAAGGAGTCGAGTACACTGTTTAGCCACACTGATCTCAACATTAAGATAGCAGTTATATTGAAAGTGTGCTACAATCCACATGATTTATCGTGAAAACGGATCATTCCGGCATTCAAGGGCAAACTATACAACTATTGACATCTTTATGTTATAGAGAATCTAGGTATCCAATTCATCATAAACGCGAGATATCTAAACGATGCATAAAAAATACTGAAAGTTTCAAAAAAAGAATATTTACTTACCCCCACCAGATTTTGGGGTAACGCGTCCTCCGCGCTGAACTCCCGAAAAAGAAAATACTTGATTCTAAAGCTTCCAAGATAAGCAATTGGTCAAAAACTGTTTACCCACTTTTGAAAAGAAACATGGATGACCATAAAATAATACCTGGGGAGTTGCTTGAGTGTCCAGCGATGAGACCATTGCATTACCGGGAACGTTCATCGTCTTATGGAGATTTACCGAAGGTATTAAATTTGTTCCCATAAACTCCACCTCACTGGTTTCTTCAATAGGCTGGACTGCTAAATAAGGAACAAAAATATTTGTGTCTCTCACTTCGATGCACAATAAAGACAACGACAAAAGATAAAGCGCTAGTAATTCTTCCCCAGCAAACACACATGTTGAAAATCGGTTAACCGTTCTCATCCCCACATTAGTACCTATTTCCTTTTCAGCAGTTCTATCTGGCGCATTTCCTGAAAAAAAAACATACTTTCCACACAAAAGAAATGCCTATACTGAGAACACATTTTGGTTGCACCACTGAAGACAATTGAGAAAGGACCTTACTTCCTTGTGTTCTCAACATCTTTCTTACATACATCCAAGCAGCTCTGCGGAAAAGACGACGTTCGCGTTTACATTCAGCTGCATCCGGACTTGCCTCTCTAGGAATTTTCTGTGCAGAAACAACGTTGTCTAAAACGGTCTTGGCTTGTTCTCGAAATGGAAAAAAAAAACTAAGCAATGGTTCCAATAACGAAGTGACAATTAAACAAACCTCCTAATTTCACCCCATGGTAAACATCATACTTTACCAGCCTGTTGCCCACTGCCTTCATACGTACACCACCCCGATTCTCGATATATAACGAAAAATCTTCGGCCATATCGTGCTAAATATACACCTATACAAGCAGGCATTCATGTACGTCTACATGAGTATACACGTACATTCCATGGATACAAATACGTACACAGTTACAATGTGTCTATACATATATATATATATATATACATATATATACATATAGATATGTGGTAACTATGACTTGTACACACCTATGTGATGTGCATGCTTTTGTTTCCTGACGTTTGAAATATTGTAGACAGCAACTTAGCTTTCTAAAACTAAGAAGAAAACAAAGTTCGAAACTAACCTCAGCATTCAATTTCTCCATATCTATATGATCGTTGTCGACCTCGGAAATTACTGAACACGCATGCTCAGTTGCAAAGACCTTTTGAAAAATAAGACTGCTTAGTGATAAGACTTTGAAATCAGGAAGTATAACAGAAATGGCCCTCCCGCATAGAATTAGACCTCACCTTCGGCCGAACTTTTCTTTTGATTAGGGGTCTTCGCAATATTGGTGACCTTAACAAGACGTCGGAACCAGATGAAATGTCATCGAATAGCTGAACATGTAGGTGTAAATCTAGGGAAACTGAATCGCGCTAGCCGTCTAACTTACAATGCTGGAATAACAATCATCAGTCAGCTGTATCACCTGTAGTCCCGTTGATCGTCAACTGACTCGAGCATGGGCCAATAACTCTTCCATCTTACCTTTTCGCGTTAGCCCAGTGGGTTCTACTCGGTCTAGGGACTCGTTGAGCATCATACCTTTCTTCTAGTGTTTTCATGAAGAACTCTGACCATCGAGTCGGTGGTCTTTCTGCAGTATGTTTGACATAACGAGGAATCCGGTCACTAACGGCTGTTATCGGTTATCTTTCATACACATTTTGTGTCCGGCCCACCTTATCTTCGACAGTTTGGCGTATAGAACAGCATTTTTGATTCTTCTTCGTTGACGTAGATCGGAGCTTCGGATCTCTTCCCTCACTTTCATGACACGTGAAACTCTTAGCATCATCCTGTCGACTGTACGTTCCATAAAGCTAAGTGATCTTTCACCCTGCTTACGCAGCGACCAGGTTTCTGACGCATACGTCAAGGCAGGGAGGCCCGTGAAGTCGCGAAGTTGGGCACGGAGTCGGATGTGGCGCTCTTTGTTCTCCTCGTTACATCCCTTAAGCATTTAAAAATTCCCAAGTCGCTCATTTCCTCCTGCTAAACTCTGGAGCTAAGTCGTTCATCATGTTGATTTCTTGACCTAGATAGACATAACTGGAGTATTCGGAGATATTCGTTTAGCTGAACGCGAATGAGTCATATGAAACCAATCTGTTCTTCATGAACATCGTTTTTGTGAGATTTAGTCGAAGACCAATCCTTCCAAAGGCGTTATCAAAATCGGCGAGCAATCGTTCAGCCTGACTAATGTTCAGCATTGTAAGAACGATGTCATCAGCAAAGAGAAAATGGTGTAACTGCCGACCATCGATTTTCGCTCCCATATTATCCCATTCCAATGTTAGCATGACGTTCTGGAGCGTGGCGGTAAATAATTTTGGCGAGAGAGTATTGCCTTGCCTAACTCCTCTTCTGACGTCGACGTTGGTGTCGTTGTGGAATATCTATCTTGATTGTGAAATATTTCATTTCAGATTTCACAACCAAGAAATAACAATAGGAACAAAAACCTGAATAAGGACATATAAGTGAAAACTGGCTATAGCGTTTACCTCGATGTCACGATGTTGAACGTGAATTACTGGGATCTGAATCGACGGTCGAGTACGGAATGAGCGGCGAAGGCTCATCCGACTTCTCCGAGTCTTTACCACCATTTTGAGATCACCTTAGAGTTCGATTTTCCTAAAGACTGAAACAGTGAAAACAGAAATACGGGAATCAACCTTCCATGACATTCTACTAGAAAAAAGGCCAAAGATCATCAACTCTCTCATGTACACCGACTGCGCCCTTCACAACTATCATTTGTACGCTAAGCACACAGAAATTAATTTTAACCAGTGATTGTTATTTCATTTTCATCATTATGACAAATCGTGGCTATCGTACGAAATTGAAGGATACAAGGAACAACTAAGAATAAGGAAAAAGCTCGAAGTATTCTGAAAGCGAGTGTGAAGAACATAGTGGATGTTTACAGTGCAAAACACATATAAGCTAATAGGAAAATAATTCAAAGACCGACTTTCGACTATCCTCAGCATTAATTATGTTGGAATATCTTATAAACGGGTGGGAGGACAGCGCAGTGGTAGTAATGCACTCCATCTGGAAGCAAGGTGCTGTTTCGAACCCCTGTCCAACGTTCTCTTCTAATCCTTGTGGGAAAGCCTTAGCTCGGCAATCTTCAGTATTGCAAAGAGAATCGACTCGACCAGCAATCTATGAAATTCCTAAAGAAGACCACAATACTCAAGCAGCAGTCGAAACGACAGACGGAAAACTCGGAATCCTTCGTGGACGATGAATGCGAGGAAAACGAGCCGAATGCAAAAGGTGCTGGGATCCGTACACTTGACGTGATAACCGGAGATGTGAAATTAAAAAAAAAATCTTATGAGCTCTCTACTTCTTTGAGCTGGGATGAGGTTGCTCATACGTGCTCTGATCTTCGATAACTGATATTTCTGGCAAATTTGCCTTCTTCAGAACATAGACGTGTTGTCATACAATAGCATCTTCATTATTCGATGAATACTCTGTGTCCTAGGGCCTGGATGTCCTATATGTAACAGAAGCCCCACGATTCAGTGAAGTCCATGGCATGAATGAAGAACCAGTATAAAAGATGACTCCAATTTCCATGAACTGCCCACCGTGGTGTTAAACCTATGTGTTGTTCAAGGGGGATGATGAGTGAGACCCACCCACCCATGGGAATGTGTATAAAGAAATCATTCTGAGATAAGGTGCCATATCACGTGTGATAATGAGGCATTCACTTTTCCGGTTCATCACTGGGCTTCTAGAATTTATTCCAAATGCCTCAAGAGTCTTGCGCCTACCCAATACCCTATGCCGTCAGCTAGTTCGTAATCGTCTCTATGATCGTTTGTGCAGCTGAGAAACTTGAGTAATCCATCTTAACGGGAGGAACGGGGATTGCATGAGTTTAGTTACAATATACTTGATCTCGTGGAAGGCATGTGGCGAGGAATACATAGGGGGAACGGGTACTCTGTATCCGCATAAAAGAACATCTAAATGGAAAAGCTAAAATTCGACAAAGTACTCTACTGGGCACACACAGGACAAAAAAGCACAATGAGGATAATTTTTAAGTAGTTGTCCGGATCCAAGCGCAGGAATCTAAAATATCAACGCGCAATACTCTTGAGGCGTTTTAAACACATTTCAAAAGCCTAAAGATGAACCCAAAAGGCGAATGCCTCACTATCACACGCGATATGGCAACGATTTTTTGATGCACATCTTCATGGGTGGGTTTCACTCATCATCTCCCGTGAACAACAAACGAGCGGCACAAGAGCATGGTGAGTACCGCCTGTTTCATCCGCCGTCCCGTTGATCGTCGAGTGACTCGAGAGGGCACCAGTAAATCTTACAGTTTTCCTTGTTGCGCGCTAGAGTAGCCCAGTGGGTTTTGCTCGCTCTATAAACTCGTTGAGCATCATACCTCTCTTCTAGGCTTTTCGTGAAGAACTCCCATTGGTTCAGTGGTCTTCCTGCAGTACGTTGGACACCCCGAGGAATCCAGCCACTAACGAACGGCTCTTGTCCATTGGTCGTCATTCATTCGCATGGTGTGTCCAGCCCGCCATATCTTCGACAATTTGGCGCATAGAACGGCATCTTTGATTTTCGATTCCTCATAAAGGTCGGAGCTTCGGATTCCTTCCCTTAATTGGATGACGCGGGATAATTCTAGCATCGTCCTTTCGACTACGCGTTCAATAACGCTGAGGGATCCTTCACCCTGCTTACGCAGCGACCAGGTTTCTGACGCATACGTCAAGGCAGGAAGAATCGTGAAGTCGAGAAAGTGGGCACGGAGTCGGATGTGGTGTTCCTTGTTCTCCTCGCTTCATCCCTTAAGCATTTAAAAATTCCCAAGTCGCTCATTTCCTCCTGCTAAACTTTGGGGCTAAGCCGTTCATCATATTGATTTGCCGACCTATATAGACATAAATGGGGCCGTCGGAGATAATCGGCAGGTGGAGCTGGAATGGGGCATACGTAAACAAAACGTTCATCATGAGCACCATTTTCGTGAAATTTAGTCAAGAACCAATCTTTTCAAAGACGTTATCAAAATCGTCGAGCATTCGTTCCGCCTAGCTAATGTTTGGTGTTATAAGGATGATGTCATCAGTAAAGAGAAGATGGTGTAATCGCCGACCATCGATTTTCATTACCATGTTGTCCCATTCTGGTGTTCGCATAACGTTCTTGAGGGTGGAGGGAAACAATTTTCGCCAGATGGTATCGCCTTGCGTAACCCCTCCTTTGACGTCGATTTTAATTTCGTTGTAGAATGTTGATATCTTGGTTGTGAAATTCTTATACACTCCATGAAGAACCTTTACGTGCAGAGTGCGTGCGGACTCCCTATCGCTCCAGGGCATGACTGTCTCCATCTCAACTGGGTCAAAAGCCTTTTTTAAATTGATGGAAGTGGGACAAGGCGGTCTGCTGTACTCTCGTGATACTTCAATAAATCTTATTATCGTGTGGATGTGGTCAGTCGTATTTAATCCTTTTCTAAACTCTGCCTACTCGCTTGGCCGCCCTTGATCCAGTGCTCTATCAATCCTGGTTGGGATGACTCGAGTAAAAAGTTTGTAAACAACAGACAGCAAACAGATTGAGCGATAGTTGCCGATATCGTGGAGGTCACCATTCTCGAACATTAGCACGGTCTTGCTAGTCTTCCACTGAATTGCGAACTTACATTCAGACAGCTAACGTACCAGGTGCTGTTCGATTTTCCACTGAAAAAAAGGAATTTTGCACGGAGTGGATAGTCTGATCCCGTGCAGAACTTTGGGACAACAGCGACAACGGTTACGTTATGGTACTCTCTGTCGGGAGACTGCTAAGTCCAGCATTGAGAGGCTCTGGAATTTCGAGTTCCCATGAATGGCCTTTTGTCGCTATGATAAATGCAGACAACCGATCATCATCCTCGTTCCATTCTTATCCGTGGATTCCAATGTGATGTTCCTCAGAAAGTTTTTCTGGGTCCAATCTTAGCTTTGAAATCTCTAATGTGACGTTGAAGAATGTATGGTCTTCTCTGTAGAGCTTCTTCAAGTCCATACAGAACACTTCGAATTCTTCGTGATAGTATGATGTCGGTGCATAAACGACGAAGATTATCAAAGCCGGTATTGATCCACATCTCTTCAATCGGAAACGTCCTATTCGGGTTGTTAATTGTTCGAATGAATCGATGATCACGGCCAAACTCGCGTTGAGGAGAACGCCGACGCCGTCGACTCCTCTACTGTAGCAAGGAAATGTTTTTCTCCGGTATCATGGACGACGTTAAATGAGTGACGTCGTCTTGTCTCGGCCAGTCCGATGACGTCATACCTTATGCTTCTTGCCTGTTGTAGAAACAGATCGTCGCCTTAGTCCTTTGTGGTTTAGGCAGCCTGTAATGACCTCGAGATGTTAGGACCTTCTCCGTACTCTTCCTACCCAACGCTGTCGAATCTGGGGCTCTTTCGAGATCAGAAGAATCAGACTCGTTTATTTTACTGTGTTTAGCATTTTGATACCCACGTATAGCTTGCTGGGCTCTGAACGTGGGAACTTGGAGGAACACAGGGTTGTTTTTGAAAACTGGCGTCTTTTCACATGCTGGATCCTCATTAATACTACGGAGTTCACAGAATTGTGGGGCTACTGTTACACATGATACGTCCAGGCTCTGAGGAAGGCAGTCGCCGAAATATCAGCCACTGAACACAGCCGTTGAACAATGACAACAATAGCAATAAGAAGATCTATACCAACCTCGCCTCAGCTGAACAAGGGCAGTCCGTAAGAACATATATGTAGATATATCGACTACTTCGCCTAGATTTATAAAAGTCGACCTTTTAAGTAATTCTGTCCCTTAATAAGAACCTAATTTATATATCAGACCCAATATTTGGCGTTAGGAAATAATACCCGTTGTCGGTTCTGAACGGTGAGTCCACTCGTGTGATGATCAGAACGGATACGGGTTGTTTCATTCTTTCAAAAATATTTCAAGCTATGAACAAATAATCAACATGTGTTTCTATTGCTGAGTTTACATCAGGTTGCTAGAGATGTTTATTCGACTGTCTCGACGTTTTCGTCCCCATCAGAGCCGACGGTCCTTGTCAATGGTCCACAGTTGTTCCTCTTCTTAATGTGCCGTCTTGGTCTTGCATCGAACCGGATTTTCCTCATTTGAGCATCTCAAATGGGCCGAAAACATCCGGCGACGTTTTTATACAAGGCGGTTATTGCTGATGATATTATCCGTCGATAATAATTTGTTTTTCAACGGATAATCCACCCTGCAGCAGTCGGTATTTTGTTACCTAGCAGATGGCGAATAGCAAAACAATTTGAGAAATAACCAAATCCAATCCGTATGGGCAAACTATTGATTGAACTAACGCGTTTTTCTTTCTAAGACAAAACACTAAGAGCTTCGCCGGGAAAGTACGGCCCATTCGAGATGCTCAACTGAGGAACATCCGGTTCGATGCGAGACAAGGACGCCATATCGAGAAGAGGAACCACTGTGGACCATCGACAAGGATCGTTGGTTCTAACATCAGCCAAATAAACATCTCTAATAACCTCGTGTAAACTCAACAATATAAATACATGTTGATTGTTGTAGAAGCAGTGTTAAATGATGGCCAGTTTCAAAAGTATTTAGAACAAATATTTCACATGTTTCATCTTGGTTTGATCTATGAACTAAGTTTTCATTAAGACCACTGAATACTCACTGAATAATAAAAAAATGGGTTTACAACGATACTTCCTGGCTCCGAAGAAGGCGATGTCGCCAAAATGTTGGCTATCGAAGATCAAAGTACGTGTTAAGAAGCTCGTGTCCAGTTTCAAAAGAAAAGAAGAGTTCGCAAGATGATAGTAAGGAAATAACTAAGAACGCTGACAAATACAGGGTAAAGCACGGGAAGGTAAGAGAGGCAATGAGCCACCTGGTATGGAGCAACTGGACTGGGATGGTTTGATCCAAACCTTCCCCAGGGCGGGCGAAAAGTTAGGCGTTATGCAGATGCCGCAGTACTTAGGCGTTGGACCTTTATGTGAATGCTCCAGTGATTCGCAACCGCTTTTGGTAGAAGCTGGTCGTCTTTCATGAATTTTTCTATTTTTTTAAGCTTCATTTAAGAGATAGAGAGGTTTTCGTTATGTTTATGAGAAACCCAGAGGTGGCAACAGCATTGAGACTTCCCTCGCTATCAGAAATGCGCCCAGATCTGCAGGATTCTTTGAGATGAAACCTTTTCAACTTTAAATTAAGTCGAGTGAAAGCGCTATAAAATCTTACTTGTAATCGAAATCAACTCCGTCATTCTGTCGTTTTGGTGTACAGTGTAATACTGGACGAGCATCCCCTGGCCATTTTGTCTTCGTGATGAATGCCAGATGAATTCTTTCAGATACTATTGTTATTTTAGTAGATTTTGCACTTTCATGTGATTCTTGTTTATAACACTGTTCTATGGTTTTTTTGTCTTTAGAAGACGATGGAGATACGGCATCGCAAGCCGACAGTACTGGGTGTGACTCGGAATCTCACAGAAGTCTTCACACTCTTACGAACCAATGCTCAACAGAATAAATTCATCTACATGAACAGCTCGGTACAGAACAAAAACGGAAGCCGAGAGGTTGCAGGTATTTCTTATCTTGCTCTTTAAAGCACCACAATATCTGTATCTATACGCAGTATACTTATGCACTAGTTATGTAGCCTTAATATTTTGATATCTATATAGCCCGTCTTCAACAGTTATGCGGTCCCTAGCATAACTCTCATTTTTTGGAGTTTTGCTGGTCTAGCCATTGTTGTTCCTTGGAGGCCGGAGGTCATCCTAGCCAAAGTCTGCCCCTAGAGCCTTAGTAGTAGAAGAAAAAGCGTTGGGTTTCGATTGATCTCCATGATTCTCGATAGGCTCTATGTTTAAGCCGTTTTTTAACGCTTCTTAATCTTTTGCTGTCAATCGATTTGCCTCATTAGTACTATGTAATGTATAGTTCCTCCTATCGGTTTACTGCCTCATCATGGCTGGGAGCTGTTCCTGGGTGTCGGGATGTGATTTACGGCAAGGGAATTCCTCCCCTAACAAGGTCTCCCAAACTGAGAAGGAGTCTGGCACTTCCATCAGGAAGCGCAGCTAAGAGTAAACCAATACCAGGATCTACCATCATATCAAACTATTCGCATTATGGCAAATATCCCTCTGATCCACAAGGGCTGCGACTACCTGTGGTAGTGACTGCCTGGGGCAGAGTTTGACTAGGCTGACCTTGGGACTCCCGGAAACCACAATGGCTAAACTAGCAAAACTCCGAGATAATTGGAATTATGCTGAGACCCGTACAACCAGTGAAGACGGGCCATTCAAGTATTCAAGTAAATTTATGGTTTGTGGCTTCTGGTAGTGCAGTAATGAAAGTACATTGCCTGATTTGCGTTTCTCATTTTGTTGTAAGATCTTTAGTGCACAAACTCAGATTTCAGAAGAAAAAATGAGCTTAGTGAGTCTTGAAGAAGGTGGAGAACATGATGAGAACTATGTCAAGCAGCCATTATGGATTCATACTTGTGACGAAGTGGAATTTGAATTAGGACGGTTAGTCAAGTGACAGTATCTTCGAAATCCAAAGGAATATTTTCACATAAGCTCACCAGTTTATTCTGCAAACTAAGCCATTCTGACCGAGAAGTTTCCAGCATAATCAGACAGGGATCTTGTTCTTCGTTGTAATTGCTTTATGCCTTTCTGAAGACATTTGGAAACCCTGGGAATTCTGAAGACTTTTCGTTTCAAGATACGCTATATTAGTCGAACCTTTCTATACATTCCTGGTTCATAACTATTGATCTATTTATGGAACTGTCTTATTTCTATGAACAGCATTTTCTAAAGAAATTTGCAGAAACGAACCACGTTATTGTTTACATTTCTAAACTACAGGTACAGTAATAGGTAACTGGGTGAGGTTAACGTATAAAACAGTACTAACTAGTGTTGGGGTACTACCAATTTTCATTGTTTAATTCAATGAACTTGAAATTGGGATGGTTTCTACGATCTTATTTTGGACTAGCGGTTGTTTGTCTCTTACGACAAAAATGTACTTCATTGCCAAAGTTGTTCTCGGTCTAAGCATAAGTTTTGCATCCTATTTGTGTATTCGGATTACAACACCTTGTGTGCTAAAGTCAAGTGCTCATTCCCGTAAATGCCATATATGACATCCCCTGATTTTATTCGGTAAGTATTTTCGAAATGATTTTAAGGGTTCGAAGTCGTGTGGAGGAGTTGGCAAACACACAGCAAAAGCATATTTCAAGACCGAATTTCGGTGACGAAGCTTTAGAAGCTGAAGAAAAACAGATGGAGGAAATGACAGAACAAATTACGTTGATGCTGTCCCATTGCCAACGGCTGATCAAGTTTGTTATCGTTTTCAAGCGCAATATTCACTGTAAGTGCTGAAAGCATCTGAAAATCTTCCTCATTTATTCCTTATAAAATTGTTACCACGGTGAAGTACGCTTTATGTTGTCATTCTTTGACTTCAGTATTTCGGTCTTGGCCATCCTATTATTGGTAGGATCCCATCAAAAGTTTTTTCCTAAGTATGCATGAAGTTTGAAAATGTGTGAATTCACTGGAAAAAGGAAAGGATAGTGGGTGCGAGTGGAGATGGTGAGGTTAGCTAGAAGAATGGTAGTGGTTAATGTGGATTTCAGTATAAAGCAATCCAAAATCTTCCAGTGATTAATAGAGGATCTGGTCACTGAATGAAAAATTGTTCTAGACGCTAGTAGTTTCAGAATAAGAACAGAGAAACTTTTCACCTATGTCAATTTTTCGTTTTCAGCATAATTTCTACTCAGAGTTCTCGTTGTGAAAGTAATTCTGAAAGGAGATTACGAGAAAACACGGTTTCGGCTCTCGTCTTCACGTTGAGCCAATTAACCAACGAATTCCGCACCAGGCAATCGAAATATCTGAAGGACATCAAGGTTGGCTGACTTGAAAAATTTGTAGGAATCTTTACACGCTGAAAATTAGTTGTAGTAAATAGTTCTGCTTTGTGAGGGAACTTTATGGAGGACGTTAAGCCGGTTTATTTTGAATAGTATGGAACTGGTAGTGGCTTAACATTGAAAGCCATGCAGTCTTCTTCTTGGTTATTATCAAATTATAAGTTGTAAATTTTGCTGTAGAATCGAACAACTAATGTGGATAGCTTTCTTGTCACAACGGGACAGTCTAACGACCTCCAATGGGGTGAGCTCGTTGACGTAACACCATCAGATGAATACACGATGGATCAGATTCAACAAATGTTGGTGAACGAACAAACTGTGAAGGAAAGAGAAAAAGAGGTTAGTCAAAAGGTTGCCCATGATGTGCGCTTTAAATGTCGTAGCACGATTTATGTTGAAGTTTTTCGTTTAGGTGCTCGTAGTGAATTCGTCTATTCGAGAACTGAATTCGCTTTTCAAAGATTTATCATCAATGGTGGTCGATCAGGGTACAATTTTGGATAGGTTGGCTCTATTTGGTCCTAGTTGTAGTTTTACTTCTCTAAATTTAGATTATTTAAGAGCGTATGAAGGCGATTTTACTAGGTTTTCTGCTATCAAATTAATATTGTAACATTACAAGAGTAGAAGGAAATCTGGCATTGTATCGTGATGAATATCAGTTAATTTTACTGATTGTCGTTCTGTGATTTCGTTTTTATTGTTCTTATCTTTCAACTTTTCGTTTAAGGATCGACTATAATGTTGAGCAGGCGTCTATACGGATTTCGCAGGCTGTCGGTAGTGTAAAGAAAGCAGAGAGGTATCAACGGGGTGACAAGAAAATGCACTGCATTTTCTGTCAAACGATAGCGATCGTTGTGATTGTTCTACTAATTGTTTTCACAAAGATTTGAGATCTCGATAAGCACCAAGTGTCATTTACATCCATCCATGTTAGATTTTTGAGCAGGAAGAGAAGGATGCTGAAAGTCATGACAGACTTCTTTATCCATTTCTTCCACACGCATGACTGTATCAGAAGTTAAGGTTTTTGTTGTTATCAGCATCGTTACAGTCAAAGCGTTTTTGTCAACACCATAAGAGCTTCTGATATCCAATTTAAAAGTCGTTACTATTTGCGTCAAAGAAACATTAGGTGTTTTCTTTTCGAATTTGTCAATTTTTGAAACATGAAGCTCGATATGCATTGGTTCCAATGCACAAATGCGGGGAAATATCCGTGTCACTCAATTTTAAGCAAATACATCTTGGCTATTGACGAATTTACTAATGGTATTGAAGATTTCTCTATTTCAGAGATCTTTGCTAAAGCTTGTATGTTTTCTTACTCTATAACTAGAAAATCTGGTTATTTGGCTTGTAAGACTTCATGTTTTCGCTTTCTTTCCATTCACGTATATTTTTTCAACAGCAAAACTATTGAACAAGCGCGATCTCATGCTGTAGGATATGACAGTGTTCCATTTTGTATCGTTTGTATTTGCCGCTCCTCTCTGCTATTGTTGAAAACTTAAAACTCCGGGTTCAAAGTTAAATTTCTTGAGATTTTTAATCCTAAGCTAGTTCAGTATAGGAAGAGCGCTTCTATGGAACTCTCAGGAGCGTTGAAGGGAAGTTCTTTTTGTAAATCTGTCAATCCTTAACTTTTCCACTGTTCAATATCTTTTCAAGTATTCTCTTTCTTGAGAGATCATCGTCTGTAGTCGAAAAATTAGCGTCGAGGCTTATTTATTAACACATGGACTCGGTGTAGATTTCTAAATATCGTACATATTAACCACTTGGTCCTAACCATTAATTTTGCCGTACGGAGGTTTTTTTTATAATTTTTTTAGCGATTTGACGGTTCACCTTACACAGATTACTGAGTTGGTCGTCGGACCAGAAAATATTTTCCTCACAATTAGCAGTTCACCAGAAGAAAACTTTAGACGAGTTTGCTTCGTCGACCTTAGATTAGTAAGTCTTTAACGACCGCGAGTCATCGGAGCGCACTTGAGGTGCGCATTGAAATCGATATGTACTGTCATGAATGCTTTAACGGCGAAGGGCACATCCATCGTAGAGACGGATGCTGTTTATACTAGTATAAAGGTGTCTTTGCTGTATCTTAACAGTTATCTCCAACTTTTACCTGCGATAAGATAGTACACCATTGGAGATACCTGTATGGGTGTAACTGCGTTAGCAACCTGTCGTTAAAGTGGCTCACTGTATACCATTAGGGCTTCTTTAGGACATTACTCGAGTCATAAACCAAGAATTCCTGGTTCGTTGTTTCACCAACGATCATGTGCCCATATTCAAATGCCAGTTTTTTGAATTACTGGTGCTTTTCCCGTTTCCAATCATAATGACTCATCCTCATGGTTCGCTATGCCAACGTACCTGGGCTGTTCTTATGAGCCAAGGAACACTTAACCGTTCCAACTTTAAACGACCCTATCATAATGAGCTCTATTGATTGGAATGAAAATTAGTGGAGTCGACAATTATATGCAGCAAGAAAAACTCGTTTTATTCAAGAAAAATAAGATTCTCATTTGTGGACAGAAGGCTTTTTTATCGAAATTCTCATAATTTAAATTGTAAGGCCATTTAGCAGACCAGATTTCGTCGAGCAGAACTGGATGGTGTTTCACAATGTCTTGTTAGCTCGTCCTGCTGCCGTCCTCCAGAATTTTGAATGTCGTTTTCAATTCTCTTAAAGATTTTAGTTTTAGTAGAACATGGGATTAAAATGGTTTTTTGGAGAAGCTACACATATCCTTGGAGCAAAAAAAGCCGTCTTCCACAAATCTATCCGGTGAGAAGTTGTCGGGAGTTCGGTAGCAGCAGCTGTATGACTTCGGGTCACCGTGAATTGTATTTCATTGTAGGTGTCTTCGACTTTTGCTTGCTGATATTCCTTACATCATGAATATCGTTGAATGCTGGTCGAGTCGATTCTTATTGGAGTCCTGTAAAAGCCACACTAGAGAAATAGCGTTCCTACTCGAACTGCATGGAACGAAGTGTTCCTAGATAAGCGTAGTACCAATTTGTCGGCCCCGGAAGAGATAAGAGACTTGGTGGTGCCGGAGTCGAGGTCGAACCAGCACACAGGACAGTAGGAAAACCATTATTATTCATTTTGTTAGAGAAAGAAGGACTAGGAAAGATTTTCAAGGTTTATAAATACTCCAGAGGAAAAAACAGCTTAAATAATTTGGATTAGAACTAAGAAGATATAAAACATTTCTCCTCGTAACTTTGCCTGATTGATTTTCATTGATATCTGGCTGACCTTCTCGGCTAGATGTTTGTGGATTCCAGTACTGCAACGCTACTAGTAATGGCATGGCGTTCCTAATAAGTAAAAAGACGCCTATTTTTGTGTGGCACGGGCTTAGGACTACGCCTAATTTATCCTGGCGCGCGCGCGTTGTTCACTGAGGAATTCGTTCGAGAAGAGGTTTTTCGTGAATTCTTAAGTGTAGAGAAGGGCTTTCTCATGGGTTGCATACGTCTGGAAAGGCATCGGTGTTCGATAGGCTATTAGTTGAATGCAAAATACATGGCACATACATTTGTTTTTCTGCCGGAGTGAACACTGCGAGAGCATATGCATTGGGATCAATGCACTTGCACTTAGGAGATTACATATATCGATATCAGTCTATACGGTCATTTATGTGCTAGCTTTGATCTCATTATTCTATAGCTATGGGTTTTGTGGGTTTCATGTTGGTTTGTTCATGGTTTGATAATGATTTCTTTGTATCAGATTTTTAAATGGTCTGTCTCTGATGCAGTTGATGTTCGAAGTGATCTAAAGTACTTCAACTTAAAATGGTTCCATAGTTTTCTGTGCTGTTGTTCATTTGTACTGGTAATGTAATAATGAATATGGTGAATGAAATATTTTTTAATTGCGTTACAAATTCCTGGTTCACGAGCCATGCGATGTTACCTGACAGTGGTCGGCCAGTATCGGTCTGGCTTTGTCCTTTTCCGCATAGCTTTAAAATTTTGTGAGATCAGTGGTATTGCTGGACGACATGGATTATTTTCACGTTTTACCGAGACGATATGAAGCATATGTGTCTCATTAACGCTTTAGGTTATCTACGTACGTTGATGGAGTAAACGTGGAGTACCTTCTTTTTCGTTAGTAATCATTCCACGGGTTATTCCGTTATTGGTATTGTGTGTTTAACTGTATGGTCTTAAACGCTTCTACCTTTAGAAAGTCTATGACTTTCTAACGTTGTTAACCTTTTTTTGTTAATGCTTGGTGTTCTTCTGTACAGATTCTCTTGGGGTTTTTTGTTTATGATATTATAGTTCAGACTGCAATCGAAGAAATATTCAGGATTGAATGATATCGGGATCATCGTATTCGAAGGAATCCAACAAAGGTTTTGACACATCAATATTCCATAAGGCAACAATAAGTTATGAATATCTCCATACAAACAGGTAACCCCTAGATGGATTAGCCGTATCCATGTGCCAAGGGAGTTTAGGGCTTCCAAGGACATATTCCATTTTGATGAAGTATTGAAACGCATTCGTGTTCTAGTTCATTTAGCAGTACATGTTTCAGTACAACTCATGAATTTGTTTATGGTGCTATCGCCGAATTGGTCGACAATTCTCGAGATGCGATGGCAAACAATTTGCATATAGACTTTAGTAAGTGCAGTACTTTCAAGGCCATATTTCTGGTGCTTTCGTTTTCTGGAAAGATCTCTTCTTTAATTTCTCTACGAATGGAATTTTGAAAAAAAAAACGCAGGAAAACGCAAATGTTGTTATTCCTAGTTTGGGAAAACCCGACAATTTTGCGGATTATATGTTTTTTCTTTACGTATTTTCTTACATGTAAACTATAGAGGAGAATTTCAGCACCAAATGGTGAATATGGTGGACTTCTATCGGTCCTTGATGATGGGTGTGGTATGGACAGAAAAGAGGTGCTTTTAATTCTTATGCGTTTTGGACTTGCGAAGTTTGATCCGTTAATTTAGCTCATTGTTATGATTTTTAAGGCCATTTCTGTTGTCTCATTTGGTCATTCCTTAAAGAGGATGGAACCAGGCATGATTGGACAGTACGGCAATGGGCTGAAATCGTAAGCTTCCACCTCTTCCACCTTTTTGAAAGCATTGTTGTGCCTATTGCGCTTGGTAGTGGGCAACTTGCTAGTTCATTGTATATGTTCATGTTTACGAATGAATTTTTGGTTTCCAGCGGTGCTATGCGCATTGCGAAAGATTTTATAATGTTTACCAAGAAAGATGGACTGTTGACATGCCTTCTGCTGTCTCGTACTTTCCACGAAATGTATTCGTTAAAAGAAGTAAGCGTTTTGAGTATCTTAGTCACTTGTTGCTTTGTCAGTATCCTGTAATCACAAAGAGAATTCGCTGACCAAATTAAGTTATCTCCCAAGTACGACTTTCTATTAACCTATAGTAGTTATGAGTTGAGAGAAGAGAGTCTAGAGTCTAGAGTTATTTATGTTTGTTTTCCTACTTATAGAACTATTTCCAGGTTTTTGTACCAGTCGCATCGTTCACACTCGAAAATGGATCACGTGCCATGTATTGCGATTCACACACACAGGCAAAAATGGTATTTAATTGGACTGTATTGTTCTTATGAACCTTCTCAATGGTTTACCGCCTCATCGTGGCTGGGACGTGTTCCTCCGTGTCGGCCTGCGATGTACAGCGGGGGATACATCCCACTGTCAGGGTCTCCCAAACTGAGAAGAAGTCCGGCGTTCTCATTAGGAAGTCCAGCTAAGACTAAACCAGTACCTGGATTCACGACGGTCTTGGTACCAAGCTAGTCGCATGATGGCAAATCCTGATCCACGAAGACGGCGACTGCCTGTGATGGTGACGACCCGGGGCGGGCTATGGCAAGGCTGTCCTTGGGACTCCAGGAAAACACAATGACTAAACTAGCAAAGTTCCGAAAAAGTGGAGATTTTGCTGAGACCCGCACAACCAGTGAAAACGGGCCATCCAAGTATTCTTGTGGCCGTTTGTTAAATTGTCCTTGGTTGGCTTTTTTTTCCTATTTCGGGAAATTGTTTATCAATGTGTAGTCTTGTTCGCGAAGAACGGCAATGTTTCACTGCGAAGCGGCAACTTTATCTGTTTCAGCATTCCCAATCGATGGATGTCATCTATAATCACACACCATTTGATTCACAAGTATGAGATATATTTTGATTCTTAAATACTGTTCGTACATTTTCGTTGGGCATATTTCTGCCTAAATATGTACTACTTGTGCTAAAGTTTAATAGTTAACAATAAGTCGAGTATTCCACTGCTCGATGCTTTTGTGACCTCTTTGTTAAGTATTCTGTTCTTTATGCTTTATAGGACGCGCTTTTCGAACAGTTTGAACGTATAAGTGGTGCTTCGGGCACGCTGATTGTGCTCTTCAACTTGAGGCGGATCGAAACTGGCGATTTTGAACTGAATTTCGACGCTCCATATGATGTACGGCTGTCGAACTTCGAAGAACAAAGGTGTCTCTTTTATTGGTTTCTTGGTGGTACGATTGTTTTTGACATCATATTTCTGTTCGATACTTTGTAGAGAAGAGGAACGAAACTCTTTGCGAGCTTATTTGTCTGTGCTGTATCTAAAACCACACATGAAGGTTCGTAGATAGGTTTTTGCTTTGCATTGCAAGCAGTTAAAGACATTAAAGACTACCTAAGTAGGTTTATCTTCGCGGAAAAAAGGTTTTAACGACAAGGATTCTCGGTACGTTACTGTATCCATACAAATATAATTACACTGCGAAGAATATGAAGACTTGTGCCATCAAAGAATTTGAGAGATGCGAGCAAAAAGTCCGGGAAGGTTAGTTTCTCGAAATTCCTTTGTTTCACAATGACATTGTTCGGTTTTTTATCACTAAGAGATTCAGTAGATTTTCCACTGGGGGTTTTTGCTTCCCGCCACGAGAGCTACGATTCATATGTGGTTGTCGATCAACCCAAATAATGACCAATCGCTAAGGAATGCCATAAAGCGCGATGGCCAATTGAGCTTTCGCCATTGTGAAAACGAAATTGCACTGTGAGACACTGTAATGTTACTTAGTAAACGAGATGCTTCGCATGACTTCATCTGCTCTTGGTGAATTTGAAGCAAAATATCGTGGACAAAATATACACACCAACAAAACACTCCGAATGGAGCAGCGACTTTTAGCAAAGTGAGTTTTTGAAATGTTCTTACTGTGCAGATTCTGTTGTGAATAACGAATTCATTTCGTTTAGAGCTCGCTCAGATATGGAAGCAAAGAAGGATCAGGCTGAAAAGCGGGCTGCTTCAGCAATGAAGGTAGATTTTTCGATTAAATGCGTTAGTAACAAATTCTAATGTCGGCAGACAATGTTCAACACGGAGTCGGCTTTAGATGTTTCATGTTGTTTGGGAATTAATCAACGACTTCGACATGATTCCTTTGATTGGCACTAACTTTATTGCTCGAAGTAATAACGACTAGAATCTACGTCTTTGCCAATGAGAAACAAGTTTATTTACACCGATAAATTTTTGGATTTCTGAAGGCAGCGAAGTTGCTGAAAGCCATTTCGACTTCGGATTTGTTTCTGAAGCATTTGTTGCGCAGGACGTCGGAATGCTTGAAGAAATGGTAGTCAGTAGGCGGCAGGTTCAGCGAGCATTGTAAATGAGAAAAAACTGTTCTTTCTCGTTATGCGGAAATAGTGTCGAGTGTATTTCAACACGACGATTTCTTTGATTTTCGTTCATTTCATGAAACATGCGTTTGTCGTGCTTGGACTTTCTAGCTTTTTTAAATGCGACGAAACAGTTAGCATGATTAAACCGAGTTTTTTCAAAAATTGTAAAACATTTGTGCATGTATTTGATTCCACTAAAGCTTTCAGTTCATCACCGTAAATTGCGGAAGGACATCGTCCCCCTTCCTCATCTGTAACGTCGAACACGCATGATGAAATTTTGAAACCATCATCGCATTACACATTCGCCAACACTTGCATGACTCCATACCTCATCAGTGTTTCGTGCTGTTTTCGCAGTTCACTGTTTGATCTCGTGAAAATAGATTCGTCGAGATTTCTGTTCCTGCATCAGAAGCTCTAACCTTTAAAATTTGTCAGTAGTGCGGTTTAGATACTTCAGTTATACTTGGATACTTGGATGAACAGTCTTCAACGGCTATGCGCGGGCACCAACACACATTCCGTTTTTACGGCATTTTGCTGATTTAGAACTGTGTTTCTTTGGAGTCTGGACGCCAGCCTAGCCAAAGTCCGTCCCAGGTCGTCACTAGCGCAGACAGTTGCCATCTTTGTGGATCAGAGGGAAATTGGCCACCATGTGGCTAGTTTTACAACAGGACGGTGTTGGAACCTGTAATCACTCTACTTTTAGCTGGGTTTCCTCATAGAAACGCCGGACTCAGCTTGCGAGACCTTGCTAGAAGGATGAATCCCCCCCGCTGTACATCGCGACCCAAAACCAAGGAACACCTTCCAACCATAATGAGGCGGTAAATCGTTGGGATCACTTGGATCACTTCAATTGTATAGGTTCAAAATATATGAAGTAAGCTTCCACTAATCTAGAGTGGTACAGAATTAGAAAAAAAAATGCCAAACCACATATGAGTTGAATAGAACCAGAAGTCGTTCATTAATTTCCTTACAAATTCATGTTACTGTCTTTAACCATCTTTTTTTTAGGCGAAGAACAACCCAACTCCACTCACATTTTATTTTGGGATTAATATTCATCACAGGTTTTTTTCCTAGCTTCTAACCGCTAAGTTTCACATCACTTCCAAAAATCTCTGGAGGAGCTCTATCCATTTTATTTTTTGTCATTTTTAGAAATCGTTACGGATGTATGTTATATAATAACGGTCGCCTAATTGAGATGTATGTAAAGGTACCTGTGCAGAAGGAAAAGAACGATCTCTTAATGTAAGATAATCGTTTTTAACCATTATTATTCAGTACATAGTTCTTTTCGCCACTGCTTTCACAGAGGTTCTAGTACGTTCATAGATTAGTGATTTAGTGAGAATTTTTTGAAAGTTAAGCTTTCTTCACTTTGTGATCTGTCTTAATCATCCTTTACGACCTTACGGTTACTCTATTTTAACTTGTTCCAGTCAGTTTGACCTACTCTTGTTTCTTATTCTTCCTCGCTGTTATAATTTGCTACTACATTTTCGTATCATCTTCCATTATCGCACACATTTAGTTGCATTCGTAAACATAATTCATTACCGTAGAAAATTAAATACGAAGTCACACATCGCTTCTTGGTCCTCTGCCATTTTCAACGTATTCTTCCAATTGTTTGTCCTCATCTACTTGTCCGGTAGTTGTCGCTGATGCTTATAGTCACTGAATTATACTTCTTGACAATTCCTTCTGTATAGAAAGGATAAAAGATGATAAAACTCTCGGCGTTGATCAACCCTTGAAGGATGCGCTGTGCATTCGACTACATTAAGCATTGTTGGAGGTGACTGACTGCATATCTGGCCTTTATAATGATTGGTGGTGGCCTACTGATGTGTCGAGCCAGTGCTGTTATCCTCCCGGACATGTCTGGCACCAATTTGCGGATCCCGGAGGTATGGTGAGATTGGTGAGTTTAGGGCGTGAGGCCAATCCCATGTGTATTGCCGGGCGCCTCCGACCACTTCGCTACACAAGCGCTTTCCTTCTTTATACACATAGAAATTTTTTTTGCAATGTTTGTAACATTCAGAGTTTATCCATTGTTGCATAAGATGATAAGCTTGTAGGAAATGTCTCGGAGTTGTCGGCGTCGTCGATGTTCCATATTCCATCCTGGAGCCTACCCATAATAAACAAAGCTTTGAAAATAAGCGGTGAGTCGTTTTCGAATCCTCCTCTTGGTTTTGCAAGCTATTTATTTGCATTTCCAGAATAGTTAGGATTAAATATCCGTCAAATTTATACATTTTTGAAGTTCTGAAGCCTTATTTCAGAGAATATCTTTCGTTACTTCGAGCTATGAATGATCATATGGAGCAATATTGGAAGGACATCAATTTGGCTGGCAGCGAAGGTCCAAGTGGTGTGAAGACGTTTTGGTAGGTGTTATGTAAGTAGCAGTAGCTTTGAGTTTGGAATTTTTTATTAAAGGAAGAACTTCGGCTATGAGAACTCTGATTGGAGTTCGGAATGTACAAATCTGGCCGAGTATCGAAAAAAGCGTTACATGAGGATTGGACATACCATACAATGTGGTAAGATTTGGCTTATTTGTTATCCACTCAAGTGTGCCAAGAGAGCCTAGCGTGAAAGCAGCGTTGTCAACATAAAAAGGAGGTTTTCCGTTGGTTAATTTATCACTGTTAATGTGTCTAAGGGCGCGTGTGGCACAGTGGTTGGAGGCACCATTGTGACACACGGGAAATCGATCCCTGCGCCTGTGGCTCACTAAGCCTTCCATCCTTCCGGGGTCGGCAAATTGGTACCAGACTTCTCTGAGAGGACAGCAGCACTAGCTCGATACATCGATAGGCCACCGCGAGTCATTGTGAAGACCAGATATGCATTCAATCATCTCCAGCGATACTTAATGAAGTCGAATGCATGGCGCATCCCGCAGGCATTGACCAACGCCGAGAGCTTTTTTTAATGTGTCTAAATAAAATTTTCTCTCTTCGTTTCCCATAGATGTTATTGTGAATAGCGTTCGCATACTTTTTTTAGACAAATGTTTAAAGTGGCGTCATGTTGAGTATCATGCTCCATATGAGATAAATGGAATACCGGAAAATTGGTGTTGTAACGACCACCCGAATAGTATTTTTCGCGGTTGTTCAAAGCCTGAAGAAATGCCAAAGGTACATATTGTTCTTTTTTCCCAATTTTATATCATAGTAGTTCACAAAAAAATAGAGTAGAGAGAAAGAACAAAATAGAATAAAATAGAAAAGTAGCTGGGAGACAGACGAAACGAGGGATCCGCGTGGTTCAATGGTGAACGCGTTAGCAGCCGGAAAGAGTAAAAGGGCATTCGTTCCACAGCACAGACACCTGCGGTCCGGAGTTTTGCAAATATCTCAGCATCGGTGTGGTTGTATTTCGCATAATACTACCTTGCCATCAAAAATTTTAGTAGGCAGCAAATAAAAGGTACACAATGTTCAAGCAAGTAGTTCGTATGATGTTCCACCAACAGTAATTTCTATGTTTTTGGTAGGTATATTTCATCCATTCCGTACTTACGTGTTGCAAGGAGAAAAAATTTAGAACGATTACAATTTTAGGTTAAAGAGGGAAAGCTGGTACGTCAGAAATCGCCAGATCAGCCTGTAAAACGCCACTCTTCACCAGCAGTTCGTTGTCATTTTTACCTCATAGTGTTACTTTACGTTATATTTCTTGGAAAGCAATGTAACTACTTATAAGTTTTTACATAAGAGACTGTGTGTAGGAAACTGAGACTGGTTTTGCGAATAAGTAGAACTGGATTCGGGGTGGAAAGGAATAACTAGGAGCGTAGGTATAAGATTTCGGATATTTTGTAATTTTAACTATTGAAGAGTCGTGCTACTGAGCGCAAACCAGACAATTATAACCGAGTTTCTTCGTCAGCGACAACAAACGGGAACGCTTTGGCTCGTCGAATGAGTCCACCAGCAAAATCTGTTACTGCATCAGCGACAAGAAATAGCAGAGAGGTTTTTGAGAGTATTTAGTTGTATGGAAGGGTTTATGTATTTGTACTCGTTTTTATTTAAGGCGTGGTGATTGCTCTAAAATTGTAGTTTGTACCGAAATTTTTCTACCTACACAAATTTTCCAATTAGAAATGCTGCTGTTTAAGGCCCAGCGTCGACCACCAACACCGCCTTCATCACGGCCGTTGAAACGGTCATCACGTATTGTGCAACGTAGAGAACTCAGCACTGAGTCAGAATCTAGCCCAGAGAGACCTCCTCGTAAGACAAGCAACAAAGCCTACACCGTGACGACTAAGGCTAGCTAGTACTATGCTCTTATTTTGTGGTTCCTTAAGAATGACTTCAATGTAGTCTGAAGATTTTTCGGTATTAAAAATGAGATTTCACTTGAAGACAACTGAACGCATCAGCTCAATTGGTCGACCTCCCATGAAAAGCGCGGCAGGTGTGTCTGGGACAAGAAGACGTGTGATGTCGAGTGAAGATAGTGACGACGAGGAAACAGTTACGGCACAAAATTTGGTTTGTCTTGTTTTAGGCGGCATCTTCGAAGACATTTTATGACATTACTCCGTAGTATGGAGATAGTGTTGCAGATAGTCAAAGAGCTGACTTTTACATGACGTTGCCATAGTTTCCATTGTATTCGTTACCATTATCGTTTTAACATGTAGTATTAACATTGTAGTTGTGCGGTGTCATTTTTCTTCTCTATTATTGTGGCACAATTCTGTTCTAAAAATTCTAAGGAAAATTGATTACATATATGCAAAGTTCTGAAGTCATTTTAGACTTCGTGAAAGAATTCGCTTCTCATTAGTTACAGCATGCAGATGGCTTGTTTAAGACCAGAATTTTTACGAGAAAAGCTTCTTATGCGGCACGCGATGTGTTTTATGACCCCTTTCATTTTTCAATTTTAGTCGAGAAAGCCGAAAACTAAGGCAGATCTGCGAAGACAGTACGAAGAAAAGAAGGAAAAACCGCAGTCTGTTGAGGAGTTTTCTGATGTCCAGCAAAAGGCACCGGACCAGTCGCCTACTCATGGTACGTGACTTGTGCAGTTGAAGATGGTCGTTTTTATTTTCTCTATTTCTTATCCTTCATTTTTTTACGGCAACGTCAACAATGGAAACGAAAATCTAGGAGCATTTTCAGTGACAGTAAGGTTTTGGGACATTCTTCACGTGTTTTTGACGCTACATTGTGGTCTGTTTGAATGTTGGACATAATTTCTCTAGGATTTTTACATCGTGGAAGATTATGGAATTCTTCTAAAATAAATAATTTCAGCTTGCATATTTTGTGCCGTTTATTCTTTTATAGATGCTAAGCCGTCTACTTCCTTACCTCCTACCACTCCATCTTCATCAAGTAAACAAGTGTCGACAACCACTAAACCTCCATCAACGTCGGTGTCGGAACCGCTTTCCAATGGCACAACCATAAAACATACCGTTGATAAGGAGGTGGTAAGTTGAACGGTGTTGAGTGGTTCGTCGCTAGCACTATCTTTTCTTTTCTCTGCGGTTTAACCCGTTGACGACAACATTGTTCTTACTGCTGTGGGTTAGGCGTGGGCGGAAATATGGCTGTTGAACTTTATGCCCACATTTCCCATCTCATCGTTTGTGTCATCTGTAATGCCGTTATTGAATAACTTGAGCTAGCGCAAGTATGGTATCCCTTTCATTTTCATACGACATTTGGATGGGAGTTTTTCTACGTGATATACGTTCAAAGAAATTACTTAAAAAAATTACTACCAATTCGAAATCAGGTTCTTGGAGCCTACGCTGGAGTTTTGCCGCCATTGTCGTTAGCACAATTTATAGAGCGGAGGAATGTAGAGTTGCAACTATCTTTAGGTGGTTGGTTCGAGTCTGGTTCGACGGATTGTTTTATAATGTTAGACTACGTCCAAATCTGCAACACATCAAGGCAAATCGCTAATACAATGAAGATTTTCCAACAGAGTGTGTGGTCGATAAAATTACCTAACTGTAGCAATTCAAAATCGCATTTTTTGGCACCTACCCTGGAGCTTCGCCTCAACTGCCGTTGATAGAGCGGCCTGTAGAGTTGCAGCTATCCGTACATGTTTGTTTCGAATCCTGCTCTACGTCAGAACTACCGCCGGCTCTGTTTGGGCGAAAAAGGCAAACAGCATACTTCTATGATAAAGCCCCTTATTTTTGTGGTTTGGACAATGCTAGACACGAGTAGCCAAGCGATTATATGAAAAATTGGAATAATTTTTGTATTTGGGGATAATATTTCGAAAAATCCTTTTTAGAGCGAAATTTGTTTCGAAAGTGTGTCATGAAAAATTGTGGTTTAATTTGCTTTAAATTGGTCTTCTTTTGAACTAAAACTTTAAGCTAGAGTTGATAGAGAGTAATGGGAAATGTTTTTAGTTCGATCGTGAGAAGGAACGAGGTGATCGTGCTGTCGGACAGACACGCAAGCTGTTAAATTTTTTCATGAAGCAGGTAAGTCAGCGTATTTTTAAGGTTTTGAACTGGTTGTTGATATCTCATTCGATCTAGTCTTTCACAAGGATGTGTTGCTAGCTTTAATTCTGTAGCTTAATTTGATCGTTACATGTGTCTGTCTACCTTCAGGGAGTCTCTTATGCGGAACGATTTCGAAGAATGGGCGAGGGCGAGCTGTTGGAACAGGACATGGAACAGTTTGGAAGAAATGTTTGGGAAGAGCATGTGCTCAAGGTAATTTAGAGAGTGAAATCTTTCGAAACAAATATGGAGAAAGTGTTTAGGTTGTTCGTGAGCGAGATGAGTTGAGAATGTTACGAAGAACTGATAAAGAGCAGATAAGAAAGTTATGCGAAGATGAACTCCGCTCTGAGCTGACGATTATTTTGAAGTGGGCTATGGTTGGTATTTTGATAAACATCATGGCCCATAGTTTCTCACGCATGTACTTTTGACCACTTTGTGTCACTTAATCTCCACTTTATTTCTTTTCTTTGTATATCTTCTTTCATTATTGGGCTTTGTGGTTACATTAGGTTAATTATACAGGAGGGACAACTCGGTTTACTAATCGACCTTGGGTTTTGCTGGCTTTTATCATATCATTGAAATATGTTACTTATTCATCTGTTACTCTAGGTTGATTTGTATATCATCACCGATCTTGTTCGGAATTCTTGTTCTGAACCAGTGGTATGGATGCACCAGGAACGGCGACATCAAATTGAAACGAAATAGGCAACCAAAGAATTCGAGTTATCAGTTTTTAGAGCACGTGTTTCACAACATCACGCCGACAACCGTCAAGAAAACCAGTTCATTTGAACCGGATGCCAATAACAAATGGACGACGTGGGTGTGGCTTAAACGGTTTGACTCGCCGCAAGTATCTGTATTGATTTGGACTACCAGTCTACCAGTCATGATTGTCGAAGACACTGCATGGTGAATCATGTCAAGTCGATCTATTGTCATACTTTTGTCACGTCATAAGTGAATCTGTGCTAATTCACCTTCAGCCACTAGTCTCTGTTAGAGATTTTTACTCTAAATGAGGAGAACGTTCTGCATGCATGCCTTTGCCGTGAAGGGAAAGCAATCGAAACGATAACGAGTTTGAATTTTTCATGGTAACATCATTCTCACATCGTAAAGTTTTTTTCTACACAACTAAATTCTTTGAACTGCATCACCATACTCCAACGGCCACACAGCACGGACGTAGCACCTTCAGACTAATATCGTACTTGTTCTGGACTGTGAAGCCTTACCTGAGTCAACAAGAACTTCGTTGCGTCATCTTACACTTGGACCTTACCACCAATATCTGTTGCATAAGTCCTGTTTTTCTGAACTGAAGAGATCTAGGAATTACTGGTATGGTGATGAATTTATCGATTCCTAAAGTTGCGTTCGAAATAAATAAGCAAAAACGAAAATATTTCTAAAGTTGGTAAGGGCTTATTTTCCAGTGTAATAGTTCCATCAACTTATTTTCTCTTCATTAATCTTCGTTTTTTGCCTGTAATTTTTTTGTTCTATGTGACCCGTATTTCACATGTGCTGTGCGGATACCAGAAGTTTTGTTCCCGCATTCATCATTTACAAAGGTTTTCGAATATTTTTTTTCGTGTGTAGGGTTCAGCTACTGATTGACGATTTGTGCTTTCTTCATTAATGTTATTTAATGCTGGTTAAATTGATATCCCCCGAAGTCCTGAGATAACTGGGTTAGAGTGTTTTGACTTGGATTACAAAGAGTGGACTTTTCCAAAGAAGTCTGAAATCAATTTCCCGATCTCGGCGAGATGAGAGGCTTGGTGAACATGGCACTGGATCGGCCCAGCATTTTGCTCGGGATGATCGGCATGATTACCACTGCGCTACCAACCTCCTTAATGCAGAACAGGGAACATGGGCTCAGCTCCTCTTGGCGACATCAATACTCAGCCGAACTCAAATGTTGTATTCAGCGCACCGTAGTACGATAAGTAGACCCTATCACAACAAGATCACAACCGCGGCCGAAGTAGACATCGGATGAGTTTACAACGAATATCTTGAAACGTCTTGGTGTCGAACCACCTCTTGGTGTGTTGGATTCTATGGAAGTAACAATTTTGGCTGCATCGTACGATAATTTCGAATATGGATGTGAGGACATCAACTGTGAATGTATCATCAGTGAGTGGTACAACACCTTTCCCTAATTCACTGGTTTTCTGATATTTCCTCAAAATTTATTCACTAGATAGGTATGGGTGCAAAGTTCACTTCGTATCCATTAATTTCATTCCAATATGTTGGTTAATTTTGGAGTCGAATTTTCGTTGTTTGGTGCATTACCATCATCCAAAATCTGTTGCCTTTCTTTTGCGTAAATGAAATCCCGTTCAGCCTGATGACGTGGTCACGTATGAAAATTGCTTCGACATGAAGGACAAACTGATCGGGATGTTAAATGCGGACGTGGAAGAGGAAGACTTGTCGTCGCAGCAGCCTGAAATATTCGTTCCAGATCCACAACGTCCAGATACCATTACTGAATAGAATTCGGTCACTTTTTACGTTAATTATGTTCATTCATATATTTTTGTTCATTTTCTTAAGTGAGATACTCATATTCTTGCCATTGTCCATACCTCGTTACATTAGAAGTCCACACTCCTTTAACAATGAGATGCTGTACTATTTATAGAATCATCCTCGATTAGTTTCGAACAAAGATACAATTCATAACCATGGCTGCGTTTTCAGCTTCAATGACGACTTTGTAAAGACATGATGCATAAGTTTAACAACGGGACTCATAGGTAACCAACCTGTCAACTTTTCTGGACTTTGCGAGTATTTATGTTTGTTCTCTGAAATTCATGGTGATGAAAATATCGCTGTGGCGTTACCTTCAATCTCTTGATTTGTTATGTCTCTTTGCTTTTATCCATCTATCATTTATTGACAATGGATGGCTTCGATGTCTCCGTTTTTTCCGCTCTGGTTCTTGTAATGCATTTAACCGACATTGCATAACGTTGATCTCAACCGAAGCTGATCTAATCACTCTTTTCTTGTAACCCAGTGTATGTATTCCGCCACCTCTTCTGCTAATATGCTGTTAAGGTTTAATTGCTTTAGTTCCTTATACATCTACATAATCAAATTTTTCCATACTTATGTCACTCGGCTTAAGGGCTTAATATTGACATAGTAGGTTGCAAATTTTGCACGTACTAAGAATCTGGCCACTTACGCAAAATCGCGTTTATTTTCTGTGTCCACTAGTCCACTATACCCATCCTTTGCATAACCGAAAAATAAAGAACTGCGTTCAGATTGGTTGTCTTATGATTCATGCACATGGATGTTTTATTAATAGACCCGATTTTTGTACAATTTATGTGCTCTTTGTTATGGTGTACAACAACGTTTAAAATAGCCGTAGATGTGATGTTGTTTAGCATCATGTGGCCTTTCGTTGTACGCTTGGTCACTACTTGAAATTCAGGGCTACGGGTCTGCGGTGAGGCTTTTCATTGAAGGGATTTTGTGGTCTTAACAAGTGTTCTAGCTCCCAAGACCGACTTTCTATTAACCGTATTGTATATTAAGTGTTGTAGTATAATGTTACTTGAATATTTTCTTGGATGATTGATCTTGCGCGAAGTTGTCACAAAACTCTCATTCTGCTAGTTTTTGATGCCTTCGTCTTCTTTAGTACGGCACTGGTCGTTGGAGCGATGTAGGTCTTCGTCGTCGCATTGAGTCGGATCTATTCGAATGGAGCACAGCTTGAATGAGGAATTTCACTAGGCATTTATCTTTATGCAGGGCAGTTGTTGATCAAATGCCAAATATCATGTGCTTTTCTTGACGACAATTAAATACTGCAATGAACCTCCTTCATAAATGACAGAGAATCATGTAAGTTTCAGCAAAATTTCGTTCAACTAGTCATTTGCTGATTAGGCCATTTCAATTCCCAGAACCTAAAGGTTTACTGCCTCATCATGGCTGGGAGGTGTTCCTGGGTGTCGGGTTGCGATGTACAGCGAGGGATTCAACCTTTCAACAGGGTCTAAGCTGAGAGGGAGTTCAACGTTTCCACTAGGAAGCCCGGAAGACCAGCTAAGAGTAAACCAATGTCAGAATCCAACACCGTCCTGGTATCAAGCTAGTTGCAAATCTTCCTCTGATCCACATGAGCGGCGACTTCTTGTAGTGGTGACGACCTGGAGCAGACTTTAGCTAAACTAACCTAGGGTCTCCAGGGAACAACAGTGGTTAGGCCAGCAAAACTCCAAAAAAAAAATTGGAAATTATACTAGAGCCCGCAGAACCAATGAAGACGGACCATCCAAGTATCCAAGTAAGCATATATCGCAGTTCAGCATACAGAAACACCACCGAACCACAATAATAGACACAAGGAAGATTTTCGATTCTTCTTTGGTAATTCAAAGGCATGACGTGCTATTGAAGATCCCCTTTTTAGTTCAGCAAACTCTAATATAACTTTTCATTCGTAAACTTTACGTCAAATGTTTTTCACGTCATATTACTCATACATATACATATATATGTTTTTTGAACTTCAAGAATTGTTTTCTGCTTTGCCGTTGAATACGTTTTCGCGAAGACTCTTTGTTGTTGCCGTTTATTAAAAGGGAAAGGATGGATAGTCGCTTAGAGATGCGCCATACATTCGACTAAACCAGATGATTGAATGTATACTTGACTCTTAAAATGAACTGTAGGGTTTACCAATTTGTCAAGACTGGCGCCAATTTTTCAGCTCCAAAGGGATAAGAAGCTTTTTTGTGTTGGGGCAATGAACCCAGCCAAGGATCATATTTAAATTGCAGGAGGCCGTTCATCACTTCCACCACTTGTGAGGGAGGTAGAGCGCAGTCGTTAGTAATGCAGTCCATCAAGAGCCAAGATGCTGGCTCGGCTCCCAATCCTTTAGTTGTCCCACAGTTCACATGGGAACGCCTTAGCTCGGCTATATCCAAGACTACAGGGTGAATTAACTCGACCGGCATTCTACAAAATTCGTAAAAAAGACGAAATTCCGAAGCTGCAGCCAAGATAACACGAGAAATGTTTGAAGAGCTTTGTGAGCGATAAATGCGAGGAAGACAAATCGAATGCAAGTGCTAGGATTTGCACAATAGATGTGATGACGAGTCGTAAGAAAAATCGCTTTGCTACAGATACTCCTAGCTGCTGTTTGTACCTGTATAAGGCTTATTACAATTCAGTCTATCTCCACTTTTGTTCTCTTTTCAGCAACTCAGTGATAGTTAAGATGTGGTCTAAATGTCTTCGATCAAAGAAAGCGTGCGACTTACTCAGAGCCCTTCTAAAGTCCTTTGACATGTCCTTTAGTTTTCTGTAGGATTTTCTCTATTTCTCAACCATAATTAGAAGTGCTTTGCAGTACATATATGGTCGTTTTTCGACTCCGTACTCAGGAATAAATAAGCCTTCATCCCACCATCATCGATAACTTGTGCCGGACCGAAACACAGATGGTCTCCAGCTGGTTTTTGATAGGCAGGATATGCATTCAGTCAGCTGTACAATATTCAACGCATAATGCTGGACACTCAATTTTGTGTGGCTGGCACATGGAACAACACCTAATTTGCACCCTGTACGAGCCCAGTTTTATATCAATAAGTGACAATTTTTCGATAATTGGAGAGCTTCAGGGTTTGTGAACATGACGCGATTGTAGAGGAGACTTTGAGCTGTCACTGTATGGATATGAACATTATTTATGCTACCGTTTACTATATTATATACTTTGGCCCGTCATATAAACATATAAACACGCTGTCACTATTTGGAAGGCTTTTGCACCTTACTTTCGGCCTGTCCATTCCTTACGAAAACTGTTGTCCATCATAGTGATTAGGATTGAAATAGCAGTCAATTGCCTGACAAATTACCGGTCTTTGAATTTACTCGAGCGAAGGTTTTCCTGTATTTCAAAGTGCAGAACAGAGTCTATGTTGGATACGGAACCAGTTGCAAGAATTATGGAAAAGGCTCCTATGCACCAAAATAAGCTATTAGAAAGAAAAAGACCCCTCTACAGCTCATACGGTGTGTCGTGTATGATTATATTGAATGCACACTGTCCGTTATATCTTAAGACCACCATTGATTTACATTATTCTGCTTAAACAAGAAGGTTCGATTTCGGTTATTAGTGGTTCGTCAAAATCGGAAACGTTCATAACACCATTTCAAGAACCGACTTCACTCTAACCTCGTAATGACTTCAGTAATACCTTACTAAACCGCCTTTCATTTAATCTCGGCGTGAATAAAGAATTAAAAAAAGGATAAAGCTCTCGGCGTTGATCAATCCTCGAGGGATGCGTCATGTATTCGACTTCATTGAGCATCGTTGCAGGTGACTGAATACACATCTGGCCTTTTATAATGACTCGTGGTGGCCTACCGATGTATCGAGCCAGTGCTGCTATCGTTTCAGACAAGTCCGGTACCAATTTACCGAGCCCGGAGGGATGGAAGGCTTGGTGGGCCATGGGCGCGGGGATCGATTCCGTGTGCGTGTTGCAGTGGCGCCTCCAACCACTGCGCCATATGCGTCATTGTAGAGGCCAGATATGCATTCAGTCACCTCCAAACGATGCTTAATGAAGTCGAATGCATGGCACATCCATAAGGGATTGATCAATGCCGAGAGCTTCATCCAGCTTTATCCTTTATAGGCGCCGTAGTGTGGTCTTGAGACTTTTATTTCAGCCGGTACGAGTTGGTGGAATGAATTCCTCTATTTTTCACGTTTTCAGTGACATCTTTTTCTCCCATTTTATACATCCTGTCTTTCAAATCTACAGTGCGAATCTCAGCACTTCTCAAATTCAATGTTTCCTCGTTTCCATCATCATTGAAGGTCTTCCAACTTTCACATTTGGCTTTGGCTGCTGCTTAAGGTTTTTCTTTTCATCGTGAATGTCATTGAGTGCTGGTCGAGTCTATTCTCACTGGAGTACTAAGATAGCCGAGCTAGCGTCTTGCCAATTGAGTTGCAGAGAGCGATTTTTTTTTCTGGAAAAGTCCGATACCAGTTTCCCGAATCTGGCGGAATGAGAGGCTGGGTGAGCCCTGAGCAGGATTGAACCAGTGCCATGCTTGTGATGACCGGCATCACTACCACTGTGCTATCCGCTCC